AGTCGTTCGGTTTCGGCTTTCGTTATCGTCGTCTTTGTGAAGCTCAGCTGTCTTCCTTCGTCGAAGGCTCCGGAAAGCAAACAGAGAATAAATTGGAATGTGTATCGATCGACTCAATGAGTCTCGCCATGACGACCACGGCGTCGGCGCGACGTCAAGAGGAAATAAAAAGCTTACGGATTCAAAGCAAGCGATAATGGCTTCCGATATTTGGCCGTGGTTTTCCGGGCCTGTTCAGAGGGGCTCTCTCTTCTTTTTGAATCTGCTTTCAATTTTTCTACGAGTTTTTCCATGGATGCACCACCTTCCACTTTCACTCACGGAGAAGTCATCCGTTCTGGAAGTTAGATCGTAACATGTCAGAAAAAGAGGAAAAATAAAAAAGATCAAAACCGAACGCCATATGGTTTTCGATTGGGCGCATCATGGGAAGGTTCGCTCGCCGGCGCAGTTTCTGCTCATTTTTCGTCCGCGTCGGCGTCCCCATCATCCAGTCAATCACAAAGCCAGCCAGCAAATAATGTCAACTTCTTCCGTTGTGCGCGCACCAGAAGATCAACGAGAAAACTCACTCAGAAGAGGTGCTGCCAGGTTAACGACAACGGAGCCTTCTCCATGGTCCCGTGTGCTCTTCACACATGAGAATGGAATCGGATCATTCGGATCAGCCGTTAGGGGTTAATGAGGCCGTCCCGAAGGGACCGTCCGCACGCTTCGGCGGGAGCGAGCAGCGAGATTCCGGGAGCAGATAAACCTAACTGACTGAAAGAGAAAGTTCGAGGGAAATTCATTCCTTGGGATGGAAAGGAAGAGTTCGCCCTGGAAGCATTACGCCCGCGTAGTCTTCGTCTTGCCGTATCGCTTTCACTCCCGTCTCGCTTCTGTCGGCGTCCATGTTGACATGATCGTTTTCTATCGCTTGACGGAGATATCGTCGTCCCCTGCCCCAGAAGACACGGGACCGAACTTCGACAAATATCTGCCGCACTCAAAAGTCCACATTGGATGCCGCTTCAGACAGCGGTCTTCCCTCCGCTGCGTACCTCCGATCCGCTTTCGTGTCTCTTTCGGCAGAGCGACCGAAGTTTCGAGTTCTGGCCCGTAGTTTCCGGCGTCCACGATCTAAAGCGACCGCGGTTGAGTTCGAAGCGAGCACATTGCGATGCTTGTCGAGTTTGAGCCGTGGATTTGCTTTCTGATGGTCTGCGTCCGATAAGTTCGCTTTGTTACTTCGTTCGTTCGGATAAGTCCCTGTGGAGCGCCGGAGGAATTGGAGTGGCGAAACTGTTTTTCCGCTTCGCGTGCTCGTCTCCGATCTAAGTAGATTAGAGATGAGGGTTGAATTTCGTTCTGCTGAATTTTCTGTCTGAAATGGACGTCTAGACCATGCTGGCAGCATTAGCATGTTGTAGATAGGCCTTGCGGCTCAGAAATATTCCACAGCAGAACAAGACATCTCGAGGAGAATTCTTTCTCTGTAACGGAGGCTGCTCGTGTATTTGGGCCCCGTACGATCACGAGAAATGGTCAATTCATCGAGTTTCGAGCGGAATGGACTGCTCTGGAGCGATGCTGTCATATGGCGGCTGTTCGAGAAAAACGCTCAAGAAGTAGCGGATTGAGCTCAATCGAGCTGGCTTAGAGTTTCTTCGTGACACCAAGCAGAGGTAAATGAGGAGCAGTGGAGGGGAAAGCACGTCGCAATCGGAGTGAGTAGCAGCCGAGACCACGTAGTTGACCGAATTCAATAAATTGGTATTATTTTCGACGGCGGACCGGCTCAAGATGTTCCACTGGGTGCAGATGCTACAGTCCGAAATTTCACGCTCAGCTGCTGGGATGAGGTAATTTGATTCTTATTTTCTCTCGACCTCTGCTCAATAACTGCCACTGCCGCAGCCAACCGAAAATCTCCCGCTGTAACTGCGTTCTGTTGCAAAAAGAATTCACTGCTTGTCGGCTTTCCATTGACTCGGAGTACTCGAGTGATGCTCGCCGGCGGATCAGAAGCTCTCCAAGGTAATGATTCGGCGCTCATTTCGCCGACTCCTACGGACTTCGCTCTGACGGGGAATTCGGTCTACAGCGAGTGATCCAGACTGCCTTTGGACACTTGTTGTGTAAAGCGTAGAATTCGAGCCGAATTTCCTCGTCGGTGTCTTTCGATGTCGCCACTTCGTTTCTGGAGCCCTTTCCTTCGCATTGTGTGCCTGCTTGTCGCCAGCTTGCCGATAGCCGGCTCTGTCGTCCGGCCGTTCTTCTGCATAGCTGTGCGTGTCCGTGCGAGAGTTGACCAAGCGTCAAAGATTAACCGCGAATCTGGGAATATCGACGGCAAAGACAAACACGGAACCGCAATGCTCCGGTGAGATTCTGCGTTTATACGCGGTGAACGGACTTCCCGGTGGCATCCAGAGTTTCTTTTCCATTGGAAGAATGTCTTCTTCTCGCGTCGGATCGTTTCTCGAGCCATGGGAATTTCGATGCGGAGAATTCGCAGAGAAGTCCGCGGGGCTGCTTCCCCTCTCGCGGGGAATACCTAAACAGGGGACAAAGCTGCCAAGTTGGTCAATACTTATGCAAACGGTGATGATAAATGACGATACGGTTCGCCAGTTCGGGATGCCACTGACTTCGCTCTTCTGAAGTTTACTTTTGCGGGTCGACGATTTCTTTAAAATCTTCGTGGAACGACCCGTCAATCGAGCGAGAAAAAGAGCAAGGCTGCGAAAGGGAGCGAGTTGAGCGACTCGGATCCTGAATAGCCGACTCAGACGAAAGCGGGGCAGACAATCAAACAGACATTCGTCCTTCCATTCACATTCTTATGGCGGGGAAAGTTGTTCCACGCTTTCGTCCTCTATCCGCCGCATCGATGGAACACCGTGGAACTAGCGTAGAAAATCAGGTCGATCACGAACACCTACCTACAGTGATCAGTATCATCATTCCGAGCCCACCGATTGCCTTTTCGCCCGCCGAATAATTGTATGGTGTCATTCGGGTTTCCCTGAGTAGAGAATTACTAGGCCTTTGATTCCCCACGCTGCCGCCGGGTTTGAACAAGCGAGTCGAGAAATAGCCTCCTCGTTGACCCCTCCGCGGCAGGGTGAGCATCCCAGACATGCCTATGTTGAATTTTAATTAAACATATCAGACCGATCCAGAATCGACTAGCTCGATGTAGCTCTGGCCGAGTGGCACTACCCTGCGAAGCAAAAGCAAGAGCAGCTTTAGGCGAAAGGCGGTCAGTGAGCTGCTTCTTGATGGAGACGAAGGGTTTACCGCGGAGGCCATCAACTCTCTTCGCATCTTTTTTGACTCTCTTCGCATCCCCTCTGGACTCTCTTTGCATCCCGGGGACTTCTCTTCGTTTCTGGGCACTGACTCTCTTCGTTACTCTGTAGATCATTCGCTCGCATGAGAGTAGACTCCCTTCGCAACCATGGAGACTCTCTTCGCATCCGAAGGGACCCTCTTCGCATCTCTGTTCACACTAGAGCTGCCCTTCCGCTGCTTTGCTCGGACAGACCACCATGGATGCCGGTGACAGAGTGAATCGCCGCAGCTTGTCGATTACGTTAATCGCGGCGGGCTCAATCGATTCGGATGGTCATCCTCCGGCTTCGGAAATCCTTGCTGGGATCTATGATAGATTTGGGGGGGGGGAGGTGAAAAACAATTCCATCTGCGGCGAGAAGCTCCCGTGGGGATAATCAATCTCCGCGGTTGCATCGATTCTCCCTATCCGTTGCGCGACTGGGCTGGAGCACTTCTACTCGAGTTAAAATTGGGATCCGAGAAATTCTCGCTCTGTGCTCCACGAATTCGTGGCGCGATTTCTAGGGCCCCGGAGCTCGACTCGTGGTTGAGAGGACCATCACGGTTTGGATTACCCCTGTCCCAGTCACAGAACGGCACCTTCAATTTCGATTCGCGGAAGTTCAATCCAGAATTCCCATAATTCTTTCCTGAAAATGCTATTCTGAGTAGACTGCCTTCATTCCTCGCTGGCAGCCGTTTCCCTCACCTAGAAATATCACCTAACTTGAGAAGATTACGATAGTACTGAAGTCGATCAGCTCGTCGAAACAGCTGTCGCCCGACCGTCGGCGTAGCGGAATGGTCTAACATTGTGGAATCTCAATTTACAATATTTCGACTGATCGGAATTCGAGAACTCGAACGAGCTATCGAAGAAATTGTAGAGAGAGTCGAGCCGGGAGATTGCGCACGACCTATAGCTTCACGGATCCCGGTTCGTCTCCTTCCCTGGCTAATTCCACAGCGATTCTCTTTTAGTTTCCAAAATGCTCCTCAACCACCTCCTCGCGCTGTTTTCTCTATCGACGCTTTCTTCAGCACAACAACAGGTAATTCTCTGTTTTTTATTCGACATCTTAACTTGGTTCTTGAGCCGGAATTCAAATTCTGATACCCCGTCTCTTCTGCTTTCGGTCTGGAGTTCTGAAGACGCTACTCTTCAATCTGAACCATAATTATTATTTCGAGCTTGAGATCTGAACCTCCAATCCGTTTCACATTTCCCAGATCGAAGACTACTCACGGCCAGGATTTTCACAAGTCCCCACCTCTTTTCAACGCCGCTCAGATAATGTGGTGAGTTCTCCCATCAGTATTTGGATCGATTCGGTCCCAATCCAAACGCGATTCCGCGGGTTCTTCGAGAATCCCAAGGTTCATTTCGAGAGTGCCCTACTCCGGCACTAAGTGGTGCTCGAGATCGAGAACCCACCCCGGAAGCCCCACTTCGACATCCGAATAATCGATCGTTTCTATCTCTTTGCGCTCAGGAAAAACCCAAAGATGCCAAGTTCATCCGACCGTTCGGATTCCGCCGACCAATCATCATTCGACGGCCAGTCGTAGCTGTCGCTCCAAATTTTGCAACAAACGCCCAACAAATGCCTGTACGACCGATTCGACCACTTTACGTCCGACGACCGTTTCGACCATTCCGTCCGATTCGACCTTTCGGCATGAGACCCGTAGTGGGTCGACCCATGGTCGCTCGGCCGGTCATGAGTAACGTTCAGCGGCCCGTGTACGTGGGCCAGTCTGCGGCGCCCGTTCGAGTTCAGGCTCCGCTCCCTCTGCCGTTTCCGCAATTGAACTCGAACGCTGGACGTCTGCCCGACATTGAGCTACGCACACAAGAGCGTCGGAACTACAAGCAGGAGTTCCAGGAAATGAAGAAGCCCCTCCTAAAAATCCTCAACAGTGGTGCGAAGATCGCTCTGCAGAAGGTCCTTCAAAAGGCTTCGGAGCCCAAGGACCCCACTGCGCAGAAAACTAAAGGCTCACAAGTGGGTCTGGAGGAGGTCATCAACGGCGCAGAAGTCATCTTGCGACACTACCTCGAGCTGAAGAACCTCAAGAACAAAACAGGATCAACGCCTCAGACTCGTGCGGACAATTTCAGACGTGCCAGCGCGACGGAATCGAATCTGTTCTCGAAGACCACCAAACAAGCGAAATCCGAAATTCATACGTCATCCACGACGGGAAGACCCTCGGCTCCGATGTCGGCGACGACGACGACGACAAGAAGATCGCAATCTGCGAAAAGCCCCAGGACCACAATCAAGAGCAATATGAGCGAAGGCAGCACAGACCAACCGACAGAAGATAATACGCACGTCCGATCTACCGCAGTGCCAAACCTACTCAGCCCGTGGCAGTCATCGAATCTCTTGAACCTGATAAAGAACAGTCCCCTGTACAACTCAATCCAGAGCTCCGTTTCCAAATCCTCTTCTCAAGTGAATTGGAAAGCGGCGAACGTCTCTTTGGTGAATGCGAAAATCGTGAACGATACCAAAGGACGTCGTATGGGATACATTCCCTCCGCTTGGTACTCCGAGGACTCGGACGAGATCTCGAGGCAATCCACCACGAAATTCTCGTTGACCTCTCTCGACGGCTCTTCGTCGTCAGCGGCCGGAACGACACCTGCGTCGCGTCAGACTTCCCGATCCGACACGGCCCTCGGTGGAGGAGAAGCTTCGACCGAAGGCGTGATTTCTTCGAGTGAGGAGACGCCGATTTCAGCTGAAGGCACGGTGATGTCGACGAAGTCCCGACCGGTCGATTCTAGTTCTGAAGAAGTTTCCCGAGTAGTGGTTCTAGGCCAGGGATCCGCGAAACCACTGCTCTATTCCTCATCGGATGAAGTCCGATCCGCGGAGGTGCCTCTGTGGGTGTTGACGACGAGGAAACCGACCCACTCGTTCGGCTTCGGTCATTCAGTCGTTATCAACAATCACAGGGCGCCTTCACAGAACGGCGTCAAGCGTCGACGGACAACGACAACCACGAGGAAACCGACGACCCTGTCCATCGACAATAGCCCCTCTGAATCACTGCTCTTCTCCTCGACGACGCCGGCGACCTCGAATTCCAGATTTCCACTCGAGGTCTTCGATTCGGACGACTTCAACACGACGATCGTTCATCAGAACATCATCACGATTGCGAAACCGACTCGTCCTTTCGTGATCCACCCCACGGAAAAATACGTGACCCAGTCAAGTCCTGCGGAAGGTAACTCTCACGGATCATCGGCGGCGTCGCCCGAAGACCCCATCGCCGAATGGGACGAATCCGATGAGGATTCTTTCAGCAACCGCATCCCTCAGGAGAGCAATCTGGCTCCATCCCGAGTGAAAGCTCCGAGCACCACGACCCCGATGCCTCACCCCAACCCGTCGGCGTTGACACACAGTCACCATCATAAAAAGAAACAACCCTCGAAGAAGGTGTCTCAAGCCGAGAGCTCGGCCGTAGCTGAAGCCACGACGTCGAAACCATGGGTTGCGAACTCTGAAGCTCAATATGCCAACAAACCGATCACGCAAGTGCCTGCGATTCTGAATCCTATTGGCTCGGTGATCCAGTTATTCCCGAATTCAGTTTTCCGTATTTTACAAACCATAGGCGGCCTTGTGTTCGCCTTGCCGACTTTATTAACCTTCGGCTTCATGGCCGCGATGTTGATGGTATAATGAAAGCCTAAGTTAGGAATGTGACTGAATGAGTGCATTCGAGTGCAAGTGCCTGCTATTCCTACCTCAGCCCCAAATTTCGATTCCGATCTCTTCGCTCCGAGATGGAATCTGTTCCTAGGAACTCATTGAATTAGCCGCTTCTAAGTCTAGCTCAACTATTTCTTCTCTGGATCATTTTTCCCTGAATCTCTCCCAAACCCTCGATTCACCGAACATGTGCTCGTCCCCCGTATGTCGTGGCCGTAATACCCCTGTGATGCCGATTGACTGTGATCAGATGACGTTATCGTTGTGATGTTTTACGAAATGAGCCAGAAAATAATGATTTTCACCTTATTTATTGGAAGCTATTATGTGCCTAGGGGAAGCTCGTCTAATTTATTTTTACGTTCCTCTGAAGAGAAGAGATACCTTTTAGTTCACCGTTATGTGGTGCGAGTCATCGAGCAGTCAAAGCTGTATACCTTGTCATAGAGTCATCTTACTATGCTTGGAATTTCTTCTTCTCAAAACCCTTCGGAGCAGAACAGCGATGCCTGTTTCGCTTCCATTGTTGGATGTTGTACGTAGACGATGATCTCTTCACTTCCCGATTTAGCATACATGCAGTGAGAGCTCATTGCAGAATAACGCCAAGATAAGAGAGGGAGAATAAGAGAATGCAGTCGGACGTGCCGAGTACAGGGGGCCATTGTTGTACTCCTTCTTTACTCGCGCAACACACTCCCCTGTTAGATCTGCTATTTATTTGCAATGTGGAGAACATGAATAAAGTATTAATTTTGAGTTCAAGGAAAGGCTCGTATACTGCTTGCGTTCGTCTGCATTGCTGCGTCAGGGCAATCAGCGATGACTTGAAGTTCGCCGAAAGTTGCCGTTCCAATTTCCGAAGCCTTCCGCCTTAGCTCCAATTAATTCCGAATTTGAGATCCGATGGAATCAGACAAAGTCCTCCATGGGACGCTTCCTTCGATCTCGGTAACACCTCAGCCGAGGGAAAATCAAAAGCCCGGAAATCGTGAAATTTTTCCTCCTAGGAAAAATCTCCGAGGAAGAAGGTGGGTGATCTTATCCTGTTCGTTCGGAACCCACCGCCAGCAACGATGAAAAGACCTTTCCAGTGACCCGTGGAGATAACTAACAAGTAAACATTCTTTTTAGAAAATGACAATCGCCTGGTTTGACATGCTTTTCTGGAAGTTTCCGAGCCCCGGAGCAACCCCGAGTCGTTTTTCCCTGCTGCCCTGCATTTCATACCCCTTTCCTGCAGGCTCCGAAACCCGGAAAAAACACCATTTACATTGAAATCCGGGATATTTTTCTCGGATTTTGATGGAAATGTTTTTTCCCCAGGTTCCGAAGCGCGGAAAGACTCATTCCCATTGATATCCGAGCAAAATATCCCGGATTTCGATGTAAATGGTGTTTTTTCCGGGTTTCGGAGCCTGCAGGGAAGGGGTATGAAATGCAGGACAGCAGGGAAAAACGACTCGGGGTTGCTCCGGGGCTCGGAAACTTTCAGAAAAGCATGTCAAACCTGGTGATTGTCATTTTCAAAAAAGAATGTTTACTTGTAAGGTCGGTGGTGCCGTGGCCACTGAGTCAGAAAATCGCCGGAATCAGGCATGAATGAGTTTATTATTGATCCCTGGCCGCTGCTGCTCGATCGATTAGGATCTGGCAAGTCACTCTTTACTCTTTAGATACCGCCGTTGCTCAAGCATCTCTGCACACTCAGTCAGACCCGACAACGATTTCGGCGACTATATCGGGCTCCAGTGAAAACGAAGATTTATTTCTAAAGAATGCGGAGTGCCAAAGATCACGAATATGCGAGCCCCGATGCCAAGAAAACAAAGAAATCAATAAAGGCCCCTACGAAACCCTGTTCCGATGAAGATGCCGAGCTCGAGGTGCACCCGTCTAAGAAAGTGACGACGTGCGGAGGATTCCCCATGATAAGTGATGGCGCGTTGACTCTCTACCTGGCGTTGATGGGATGTGAATTCTTGACGATCCTCGTTGCAAGCGGCTTATCTCCGAATGTTTACTATGCGCCCCTGCTGAGAACAATAACATGGTCTCAGCTCTTCACAAATTGTCTCGTCGTCGTGATTATGCAAGTGTCCGAGAATACAAGTGAGTATTGTAAATTGAGAGCACTGACTCAGTGCGTATCGAAGGCCCATTCAGCGAATTCGCTCCCTGAGCTCTCCGATTTGAACTCGGAACTGAACTGATCTGTAGCTTTCGTTGCAGCAATGCCGGAGCTCTACGAGCTGATGCATCATTTGAATGCAGTCGTGCTCCAAGCGATAGTTTTCTTCTTCGTCATTGAAACAATATTTTTTCGTTCGGTAGTTTGATGCTCACGCTCTTGACTGTGGGCCAATTGGCATTATCGATTCTATTCTTGTCCCTGATACATCCGATCAACATCGAAGTCCAAGAGCCCAATGGGGAAGCACGTCAGAGGAATTCAAAGACGAGTAACACGATTGAGGATACTCTATGATATTCAATTTGTTGCTTTGTATGATGTTCGATTGTACATACATATTCGCTGTGGACGAATCGTCATATCGTGATTGAGTTTTATTATTCTACGACCAGCTATCTTCATTTGATGAAAAAAATTTAATGGGGTAGACGAAGACGTATAGCTGCTCTTCGACAGGAGTCAAGATCCGTTAGAATCCCTCCATTCGTTTTTTTCGGGGTTACTCCAAGAATAACACGATCGCATTGTGTTCGATCTTCCCTTGCTAGCTGAAAATACGTGGGATTTTGGTCCTGGGAACTCGTTGCCGCAATCTAATCTCGGCTTCTGACGAGCTCTCGTTTTAGAGTCTCCACACGCCTTGACGGATCCGCTCAAGGATATTTTCGTCGAAGGGCACATACTGCTGTCTAGTCACGTCGAGAATAAAAAGCGGATCTTTCACTTTGTCTAGGTCGTAAGCTTCTTTGACGAGCTGTGTCTTGATGAGCTTGAAGGTGCTAGTTGCCTCTAGCTTCCTGGTCAGTCTGACCATGATTGGGATCGCGTACGAAGGTAGTTCGGTTTTGATTCTCGCCAGTAACTCCTTCAAGTGTTCTCCCTTGGCATAGTCCAAGTTTGGATCGAGCAACGCCACCATGCCGGCCTTCCCGTCAACACCGGGAACAGAAATGCCGTACACGACGCAATCGTTCATGATGGAATACTTGCTGATCACGTTTTCGACTTCTGCTGTCGATACGTTTTCCCCTTTCCATCGGTACGTATCACCAGTCCGGTCCTTGAAATATAGGTTCCCAAGCTCGTCGTACTCCAAAATGTCACCCGTTGCGAAACACAGGTCTCCCTTGACAATCACGTCGCTGTAAGTTTTCTTCGAAGAGGATGATTTGTCTGTGTACCCGTCGAAGGCGAGTTCCGGTTTCTTCGGATTTATGGTCGCCACCCACTCTCCAGCTTCCCTCGGACCGCACAACATGCACAATCCGTCCGGACCCCTCAGGGGTTTGCCCGTGAGTGGATCCACCTTGATCAGAAATCGATTCCACGATAATCTTGCTGCGGTCATACTCAACCGACAGATCGTCGGTATGCATCCAACACTCCCTACAACGTTATCCATGTTCATGATGTTGGCGTTGCCTTCAGAGGCGCCGTATAACTCCTTGATGTCTCTGACGTTGAAGCGCTCGATGAATTTCGGCCATAGGGAAGCTTTCATGCCGTTGCCGTACATCATTCGTATGGAATGAGCTTTGTCCTCTGGCCTCGGTGGTTGCACGTGGAGATATCGACAGATTTCACCAATGTAGTGACTGACAGTACAATTGTATCGGATACAGTCACTCCAGAACTTCGACGCGCTGAACTTCGGTGCCATGGCACCCGAGGTCCCGAACAGAATCACGGGACCGACTCCCATAATTCCGCCGGATGTGTGATACATCGGCAAGTAGATGTAGAGCGTATCTTCCGATTTCAGTCGAGCTAGATATTTCGCGACGGCTGCGCACATGAGATACCGATAATTTTTCACGATTGCTGCTTTCGGAAGGCCAGTCGTTCCTGTAAAGAGGGCTTCCGATGAGAAGTTACTCAATGAGTTCTAGATTCTAGAGCGGAGGAAAAATCCGAATGAAAAGCCCGTGAATCGCGGGATGCAGGCATCGAAAGATACCTGAGGTGAACACATAGAGGAAGCGGTCGTCGAGTTTTCCTCGGTAGGTCGGGGGCGTTGCGCTCTGTTGAGAGATGAGCTGTTTGATCTCTGAAGCGCCCAAGTCCTCTACCGATCCACACATGCCGTAACAGAGCATTTGTACGCCGCCATCGGTCGAGAGCGATTTGATATCCTGTCGTACTTCCATCAAGGAGCCAGCAGTCGTGGGAGTGAAAATTACGGCTTTCGTTTTCACGCTCCGGATAGAATGCAGAAGTGGTGATTTTCTGAGATTCGTGTTCACCAAGGCGGAAGCCACTCCGATCTTGGCTAGTCCTAGGAACATGAAAACCATTTCTGGACAGTTCTCCATGACGATCGCAACGTCGTCGCCCGCCTTGAGGTTGAGGTCTTTGAAGAAGTTGGCGATTTGGTTCGTATAACGATCTGCCTCCCCGAAGGTCCAAGTTCTATCGCCATAGTAGAACATCGGTCTTTCCGGGTGTTTCTTGGCGAACTCTGCGAAAAACATGGTCGGAGTCTTCTGCCTGAGCTGCGTGAGCCTCAAAAAGGAAACCAGCTGCAAGTATCTCTTGATGGCCACGGCATCGCGCGGCAGCGTGCGAATCACCAGCCATGCGGTCTTCCAATTAAGAAAGACCGAGCTCGTCACAAGTAGCACCAAACCAGCGGTCCATCCGACGATGTAGGTGATCGCAACAGCGGCGAGGACAGAAATTCTGGACACGAGTCTAACAAGATCGACAGACATGTTGCCAATGACGGCCCGCGATGATTTGATCGAAAGCTCTTGAGAGGACTGCATGCCGAGTTGTGTTGCGGAATCCGTCATTGTTCCAGGCTATCTCCGCATGCTGCACTTTGATGCTCGGTCCCCACTGGAGACAACGAGCTTATAATTCAGAGAACTCAATACTCGGGGACAAGGTAGTCACAGTGGCTGACCTCGCATGAGAATTGATACTGATACACAAACACGGGAAAATGGAAGCTTTGCGCAGAAAGTTGACCTTCGGAATTTCAAGGGTTCCGGTAGAGGCGGTCGTGACTCTGGAGTATGGCAGTGGATGATTGAGATAATCGAGCTAACGTAGGATGGTCAAGTCATCGGAGAATTCTTTGAGACTCATGAGCGATTCCTGCGCAGGAAGAAGTCCCGTTCCGAATGAAAGGACGAATACCCCTCTGTGGTAGACGACATTTTCCTTATGCGAATCCCTGGAAATCCCTCTGCGAGCCGCTCCAGCCACAAAAAATGACCACGAGAGCACCGCTCATCAGAAAAAGAAGCGCTTCGGCTTGATTCTCTCGCTTCCTTTTGCATATTCGATCTTGACGCCTTGCATAGAGATGATTTTGATCCATCGGAGCTTTAATCTGAGTCTTCTTTTGAAATGAGTTTTGAAAGCGGAACCAATACCCCTCCTCGAAGCGTCTCCAAAACTCACTCAGTAGCGGAGAAGAGGGACTGGGCACGGAGGCTCCGGTCGTCCACAATCGTTCACTCTCGAGAACGACAGTAATGGAGCGGGAAGCAGAGAGGAGGTCAAGGACGATATGAATGCGCAGATAAGCTACTCATCCACTGAGCTGCTCCGGTGATGGACCGCGCTATCCGTAATCCCTTTTCCAACGATGAGCGAACCCCTTCTCGGGTAGAGACGGATCCACTGCCGTGCGGCGACATCGATTCATCGTCGTCTAGATCGAGTCATCCTGGCTCTTGACCCCTATAATTGCAACGCGACGATCAATCCCTGCGGGTCGAATTCCTCGCTCTCGAGCGGGCCCACGTGTCCCGTCTGTCGAGAGCGTCTTTCACTCTGCCTCGTGGGTTTCGTTCGATTTTAATGGAAAAGGTCCTTCCCTCTCAAACCGCTGCATTGACTTACGAGGGAAGTCAAACGTTGAACGGTTTGGATGGTTGCAAGCGAGAATTAGAACGCATATTTTCCTAAAACATATATTTTTGAGCTTTCGTCTCCTGCTAAGTGTATACAATTATTATTCACAAACTTGAACAGGTCTCGCCGAAGATAAACACTCCGAGCACCGAGAAGGATCTACGTGTCCGGATGTATACACAAAATAGGTACTTGCTCTTTTCAGAGCCTCCAGACCCCTTTGTGCATCTGCTCTAGAATATCCTCGTTGAAGGGCACATACTGCTTTTTCGAAATGTCAAGAACGTAGAGTAGGTCTTTCACTTGCGTGAGATCGAAACCCTCCTTGACAAGTCTTGTCTTTGGCAATTTATAGGTGCTGGTGGCTTCGAGTTCTCTAGTCAAACGAACCATGATCGGAATCGCGTAAGCGGGTAGTTCACTCCTCATCTTCTCCAACAAGTGCGCCAGGTTTTCTCCTTTAGAGTATTCCAGGTCTGGATCAAGTAGAGCAACCATGCCTGCCTTACCCTCCGCACCCGGAACAGAGACACCGTAAACGACGCAATCGTTCATGATCGAGTACTTATTGATAACGTTTTCGACTTCTGTCGTGGACACGTTCTCTCCTTTCCATCTGTACGTGTCTCCAGTGCGGTCCTTGAACGACAAGTAGCCCAGCTCGTCGTACTCCAAAATGTCCCCCGTGCCAAAAAATAGATCGCCTTTCCTCACCACGTCGCTGTAGGTTTTTTTCGACGAAGACCCTCTGTCGGTGTAGCCGTCGAACGCGAGCTCGGGTCTCTTCATGTTGATGGTGGCTACCCATTCCCCGGGCTCATTGGGACCGCACAAGATACAAAGCCCGTCTGGGCCTCTCAGAGGTTTGCCCGTTTCGGGGTCGACTTTGATTAGGAATCGATTCCACACCAACGCCGCGACGGTCGTACTCAGACGACAGATCGTGGGGATGAAGCCCATGTTTCCCACGGTTTTGTCCAGGTTCATGGTGTTGGCGTTGCCTTCGGTCGACCCGTAGAACTCTTTGATATCGTCTATGTTGAAGCGTTTGATGAACTTCGGCCACAGCGAGGGTCTCATTCCGTTGCCGAACATCATGCGAATCGAATGATCCGTATCTTCGGGCCTTGGAGGTTGCAAATGCAGATAGCGACAGATTTCGCCGATGTATTGAGTGACGGTGCACTGGTATCGCTTACACTCACTCCAAAACTTCGAGGCACTGAACTTCGACGCTATGACACTTGTGCTCCCGAACAGGACCACCGGAGCCATAGCCATCAAGCCACCGGATGCATGGTACAGTGGGAGGTACGCGTAGAGGACGTCGTCCGGTGTGACGCCCGCGAGGTATTTGACGACAGCGCCGCAGAGTATGAAGCGATAGTTTTTCACAATAGCTGCTTTCGGCAAACCCGTCGTTCCTGGAATCAGAAATAATGTACCAGACTTAGTCGGACTCTTTCGATATTACGAGCTTGTAGATACGGATAGATAATATATGAATCATAAATGATTTCTTAGCCTCGGATCGTGCCGTCCAAGCGATTTTTTCCGTACCTGAGGTGAAAACGTAGACTAGACGGTCGGTTACTTTTCCCCGGTACGCCGGTTCTTCGGGACTTGCTTCAGGAATCAAATCTTCGATACAGGTCGCATTGAGATCGGCCATATCTTCATGACTTCCGTAGCAGAGCATCTGAACGCCCGAGTTCGCGAGCGATTTCAGTTCGTCCTTCACTTCCAACAGGGAGTCGGAGGTCGTGGGAGTGTATATGACGGCTTTGGTTTTCACGCTCGAGATCGAATGCAGGAGAGGAGTTTTCCGCAGATTCGTATTCACCAAAGCTGTCGCCACTCCGATCTTCGCGAGTCCGAGGAACATGAGGACCATCTCTGGACGGTTTTCCATCACGAGCGCGACGTCGTCTCCGGCTTTCAAGTCGCGCGACGTGAAGAAATTCGCTACGCGATTCGTGAATTGATCCGCTTCCCCGAAGGTCCACGTTCTTTCGCCGAATCTGAGCATCGGCCTTTTCGGCTGCTTCTTCGCAATTTCAGCGAAAAATCTTGCCGGAGTCTTGTCGCGTATCTGTGTAAGTCTCACGAAGATGATCAGTTGCAAAAATCTCTTGAAGGCTGCGGCGTCGCGAGGTAGCGTCCGAATGAAGAGCCATGCTGTCTTCCACCGATACAGACAGCCTCCCAATGCGATGAGCAAGAAACTTGTGGGGCATACCAGGACGCAGATGACTGCGATCGCTACGAAGACGGGGATCCGATACACGAGGTCGAAGAGAGCCATGCTGCCAATGACGGCCGGAGACGTTGCAGGCAATGTTTTGTTGCGAGGATTCTTGTCGGGGAGGCTCACGGGATCAGTCATTGTGTCGGGCTATCTCCGCGTGTTGAACTTTGACGGGATAGGCTCATTCAGTGGTGCTACTTAATCCAGTACACAAGATAAAGGTACTACTCGTATTGAAGGCGTAGACTTGGCCTTGGCGCCAGCATCTAGCAGCTGAGACAACAAATTAGAACACGCACGCTAGGCTTCGATCTTTCGTATCGTTTTGGAGGGGAAGGATGAAGGCGCTGAGAAATAATATATAGGCTGGCTGTTGATCGCAGAGATACCAAAGAGTTTCTTTGATATGTTCATTCTGCTGGCACGAGCTCCTGGAAACGGAATAAGTACTCACGCAGTTGAGTCACTATCTCGCGCTCGATATCCGCGTCCCAATATTGCATCTCACCATGTTTTTATCTCCTCCTCAGGTCGACATGAACTTTGAAAGATTAGCTCTAAGGCTTGCTCACCTCTCGTGTAAAGTTCAATCCTTCTGACGAACGCAATAATTATCAACGCGTGATCCGTATTAGGCTTCCTCGGCTGATGGACTTTGAGATGAGCTTCGGTGATCGTACGAGCACTTGACTTCCGAAGCGATTCATCCGGATCTATTGTTGCGGAATTCGCTCGAGATAATGACGGAATTTTCTCCAGCCCATTGCGGAACGAACGGGTTCCCGTAATGCGAGCTCTATCCCAGCGTCAGTGGATCAAGAAAAGCTTGAAGAAGAGCACAAATTATCCGAGAAAATCCCTACGACTGATTCTCAGGAACGACACTGCGCTGCCGATAGGTACGCTGTCTAAGTATGATCATGCGAGCCTCGCTCCGACTTACCTCCTGTCCATGAATCAACACGAACGCTCGCTTCCGATGCTACGCCGGTATAGGCCACACATGGATCCATGGACAAGACGATTGAGCTGGAAAGGGCCTCCTGTTCATCGTCGTTTCAAAGATCCTATCTCACCGATAACGGAAGTATTCGAATCGTTCAGTTTCGATTCAGTACATTCGAGGTAGCATTTCATCCGTGACGGGGATGCTCGAATGTTTCGCATGCTTGCGGAAAATTTGCCCCGAAAGCCAAGCTGAACTCTCCGAAAACCCACGGAGCCGAAAAACGTCTGTGGATGCCACGGATAATTGGAGCGATTGGTGCGATTATCGCTCGTTATCGGGACACGCCTTCAATAAAAAGGATGGATCCATATCGGGTTCCTTTATCTTGTTTCAAGGCTCTACAGAGCAGTGTCCTCAACACAATAAGTTCAAGCAGCCATGAATCTTCTAGCCTCAGCTGCCGGTCGATCCTACCGCAGAAGTGCCATTTGAGAACTTCCGTCACCGGCGCGAACGTCTCGATCTAGCTGTGAATTGTCGACTGGGGATGGAGGCCCCCAGAGCATTGCTCTTTGAATCAGTCCGAGAGCTGTGGAGAAGCGCTCAGGAGATCGTCATATGCATGAGGAACAGAACAGCGACACCGAACCAGAACGACCCAGAACAGCCACTGACATAGGGCTGACTCTCGAAAGTGAGCCTGACATAGCCCTATGCATATCATAAGCACTGGGCGTTGCCTCGACTCGAGGCGATCTGCCCGGACACAATGTTCCCGCCGAGTAAACGTCAAACGAGCACATACTGTGTGACTCCGCTCTGACACTGGTGACGATTTTCCGGGCCACTAGAGGAGATGATTCTCCGGGCGCGAAGCGAATGTCTTCCCTCACAAGGTTCGTCACCAATTTCCGACGGGATCAGAACCATGGAGGGCTCGCAGTCATCCCTTGTCGCCGCCGAGTCTGGTTGACACTGTGTCCTGAGAGAAATACGCGCCGCAGAGACGCGCGGTTGCCGTTTCTGCGCGCCTACTATTGAACACCACGTATTGCTCGTATGACTCAGGCGATGTCTCAGCGGGATGACTTATCGGAGTACTCTCGTGACCGCACGCTACATGGAGGCAAAAATTTTGATCACTCCACCCTGGGTCGGCAGTATTCACAAAGATTCATTCGAAACCTGAATCACGTGATAGCCGAGCTCTTTACCTTTCTCTCTCGCCCCGGACGGCTGTAACTTCTCCGAGGAACTTCAGATCGCTAGGTTCCGCATGATCAAGCAGGCCGATTGATAGTCCCTAATGCATAATAATGCATCACAGAGACTCACGGGCTGAGATGCACACAACCAGTGCTACACGCCTCCGAACGTCATCGAGGGAACAGCGCAGTAAAATGAACCATCAAGTCGACACTGGTACCGTTGCCAGAACGGGGGTGAATCCAACGTCATCTCGCGAAATAACACGAAGGACTAGGTAGTGTAATTTATAGGACAGGTCGTAAGAATCGCGGAAAAATCACGATCTCAATCCGGGAACGCATTTCCGCAGCATGGATCCGCGCTAAGAGAGTACGCCGAGAGGCCGCGTACTAGCCGTTGTCGTATACACTGCTTCCGGAGCAGTATGTGTATATTTACTTGTATCTACTTTTATTCAACATATTCTTCAGTCATGACCTTGAGACGAGCATCCACATGTTAGTTGTGTTATGAAAACAGCATATCTACCGTTCCAGAAGAGGACGATCTCTATTTGGCGGGCAGACACTAACTGACGGGCGCTCTCTGGAGAGTTCGGGAGAAAGACAAACGCTTACTCCAATACCAGAGTACTCTCTCGGCGGCGGCCCCTCACTCATCAGAGCATTGCTTTCGGCCCGAATCAAACATCGAAGCGCTTGACCAGTACATCGGAAGCTCTCTAATTTTTTTTCATAGATACAGTGCGGGAATAGATGACCGAACCTTTTGAAATCACTGCTTCTGAGCGGTGTAGGCTTGTATCAGCGCATCCGAATGTTGTGTGTCGCCTATCCAATAAGAGTCCTTCCTTTCGCTTACCGGCACGACGTTTTCACGGCTGCTTCAGGAGGCGGGCTACGCCGCAGCACATGCGAGCGATTACGGAATCGAGAAACAGGAGAGAGCTTCGGAGGTTGCGTCTCGCGAACGAGTCGGAGCTTTCAGCATCGTGATATGATGAGATTCAGCAGCGTTGCCTAGGGGAATCGGGGGGAGGCGCGGAGGTCGCGTGCGCCGAGCACGAAGTATGAGGGCGGGAAATTGAAACATCGATTCCTCAATCGACCTGATGATTGAAGTTCGAGACGCCTTGTTTGCGCCCGCATAGATTTGACTGAATAAACGATTCGAATTTCTCAGTTGCGGAAGCCCAATCTGTGGGAGTTCGCCGGGAGCGTCAGCACGCAGCCAAGCTCAGTCAGTCTGACCGACGGCCCAGTTATGCGATACCACGGCCTTGGAGTTGGCTCCATAGCCGAGCGGTCCGGAGTAGTTATCAACTAGAGAGCTTCATTGTGAGCAGATCGATTGGATCACCCCCGAGGCTCAAGCGTCCACTATGATCGAGTGGGTGTGGTCGAATCAATCGAGCAGGAAGAACCTACCGATATATCGGAGCGTCAGAGTCCAAATCGACTGCGATCGGCGAAGATGGATGAGCTCATTGACTTAACGCTCACCCAGCTCGGCCACGGGAACGATGATTCATCATATCATCAAACAATCGAGGAGGAACAAACGGCTTGTGGAATTCCATCTCGATACGTTTCCGGACGTCAAACACGATCATTTCTACTATTTCTCCTCTCATCTCTCGATATGTCCGCGGAAGTTTGCTAAGTCCTGCTCATTAGTCTTCCACGGAATCTTTTGAGGCTGGCTTCGTTGCGCCGGCCGGAATCTCGCTGATCAGAAATGCCATGAGGCTCATTCTCGCCGTTCGACGGCTTTCAAGCTCATTGCCATCCATGGTCGAACCCTCAGCACTCTGACCCGGGGCTCTCCGATATCGCGCTTCATATGACGTGGAAGAGCTGGTATGAATCGGGATCTCGTGATTCCCTATTGTTCTGATTGTACATCAGATGAATTTTGAATTAGACGCAGAGTTGCCATTGATGCGGCCGCTAAGGCCGGGAAGGAGCGATAGTCGCGATTGTCGTCCGATGCGAGGCGAGATTGCGGCGGCAAGACGCCTGGATTTCCTCCGCCACTGGACTCCGGCGCCACTGGAAGGGGACATCGACGGTCGCTTCGAGAACTTACTGAAGTGTAATCCCGTAGGCATCGGACTCTCGGAGATCGAGCGGGAGCGATTCCATGTATAACATTATTTTGAGGGCGGCAAACCTTTCGTGGTGGTCCTATCAGGTCAATGCGCGATCGCATTGACCGCCATTGACTCTGACGCTCATCCTAATGAATTGGATTTCAACCGCGGCCATCCGTCAGGCGCTCTGCCGAAATATTTGCGGAGTCGAGGAATACGGATCCTGGAATTCGAAGCATTTAGAAAGCTTCTTTGCCTTCGACAGATTGAGATTGATGACTTTTTAAGTTACCTACTCTGTGGGAAACAAGAGCGCAAGGATGGTCTACTCGCATCAATATCGAGTGAGCTAGCCAAGATGCAATTGCTCTCCGCTATATTCCTATCTGTGAGTTTGACTTCGGCTTCAGAGGTCAAACTGATGGAATCTTTTGACCACGACAAGGTGAGAAAGAGGTCTCCACCTCACAGCACGGAAACGTGCTCATTCTTTTATGATCAGCTAGGGGTTCTCCCCCTCCACACACGAGAAAAAATATCCCAATATGGCAGCTAAGCATTTCTCTCCCAGATCACCGGAACTTGGCTGGTGGCGAAACGAAATGCCCAGCTCCTAAAGAAATCGTACCGCTGCGTGAAGGTCGAATTGGTCCATGCTGGCGAGGGAAAAGATTTCGTTATGCACGGGAACTGGATCGATGAAGAGTTCGTTTCTTATGTTTGCTCAACGACATTTTCTCCCCGATGTCATCGGAGAATTCCCGTCTGGTCGCTGCGCTCTCGTCTTGAGGAGACGATGTCTCGCAGAGTCCGCGTGGGGACGTGAAAGTGCGCCCCCACTGAAGGTGTGCTATCGACATTCGAGAACTCACAGATATCTCTTCCCGTCCCTACAGGCAGACAGTGCACAACAACACGTTCATCGTTATCGAAGATCAAAGCCATCCAGCCCAGTTCGTCTTCAAGTCTGACGGTACGTAACCCTTTACGACGAAATTCATGGAAACATTGCCGCATATTTCTCCTTCCTGGGGAAACCGACCCGTTCACGGACGAGTCGAACTTCGCAGTTGAGAAAATCGCGCTCTCCTTTCTGGGCTCCGACTACACTAATTGGGCTGTGGCTTTCGGGAAAGTCCTCCTGAAAGGTAATTCCGTCCCAAGGATCATTCCGCACCTATCAATAGTGAACTCTCATCAACACAAAATTCAAATCCTCAGAGTCGTACTTCGTGGCATATCGGAAACTTCCCGCTGACCCCGCTTTCGCTCCTGCGATCGAAGAGGTTCTCCGTGCTAATAATGTCGGTCTGGATTTTCTGACAATCGACCATTCGAATTGCTGAGTCCGCTTCGAGGAACCCAAACCCTTAAAATTTCCAAGTCTGACACTTCACGACGGAATTATTCCAAAATAAAAAATCTTCGACCACGCATTCTTGAGATATCAAGTCATTCTGGTCTGAACTCAGGCTTTCAACAGAGGCCTTGTAGGAACGGAGTCATTTATTCTCTCAAAACGAATTTCCGAGAATCGGGCGATGTCATCAACAAGCCGAAGGGACAAATCCTGGATCTAGAATTGTGAGGGTTTCGGCCCAAGTCGGTGAGCATCTTTGTGGCAGCTCGTGCTTTCGCCGCGATTGTCCAGATCAGGTGGAGGGACGGCTGTCTTTGTCCCCGAATGCTCATCGTTTCATTGAAAGAATTGGAAAACTTGCCGGGTTCCAAGGTTTTGGACACCCTCACGGACGAAAATCTGGATCTATATGCGCGGAAAAGTATTCGAATATCACAGTGGTCCATCCCTCGTTGTGACTCGGTTCTCAGGTGATCCTCCGGGTGGCCGACCTAAAAGTGATGTTCCCCAAGATACTTCACATATCTCATTTCATTGCGATAGCTCTCGTTCAGGTCAGGATTTTTCCAATATACATCCGAAATACACAGGGAGCCAGGCTCTTCTTTCCTCGGTCATCGGAGTCTCCTTCCGAGAGACGCTCAGCAGGCTGTTGCGGTTTGAAGTCTCCCCCTCGGTATAGCCCGAAAGTGAATTTTTCATCGTTAGGGTTTGACGAATGGTGTTTTACAACTAATCACGGCAGCGACACCCGGGAAATCCACTCGATCCGCTCCCGACAAGGTGCCTGATTCAGCGTTCCTCCACTCGGCTCTTCAGATCGGTGGAATCATATCATGTATAGCAGGTGAGAACTCGAACAGCCAATGGGCTTCACGATTCGGGTCACCTTATATTGCTCCATCCCGGCGCGCTAGGAGCCGAAGCACTTCAGTATTTCCATTGCAGTGATGGTTTCGCCGGATAAGAAGCCGATACCGATCCGCACCGTTGTAGCTGGGTCGCTTGTGATCCGGTCAATAATCCTTATCTGTCCAGTTGCCGTCAGAGACCTACCGATCTCGCTGTATTTGGCCGGATTCCTTGGTGCGATCGATGTCATCGTGGAGATTGGTTTGTGTCTTAATCATCAACATATTACTGCTCGTATCTGCCAGTCAGAAATTCTCTCCGTCGACCGGAATACCTGGAATCAATTATGAGGATGCGGATTGGGTTACGTAGAAACTAAATCATCCTCGAATATCTGAACCGCTGAAATCGCTCAGGTGTCTACTCCAACTCGATGGCTCTCGGTCCTAAGGTGGTGCACCTTGTGATATTTCTATTCAATTCTCTGGTATCTTTCGGCCAGCTCACATCTGCGATTGCTGAATTCCTGCGAGTATTCAACGATAGGTTTGTACCTGGGAGCCTGAATAGAAATAGTCATGAGGAAGCATGCGCGTTCCTGGATCTCGATTCTCTTCCCCCGACAATTCCGTCCCCGTCTCAAGTCAGTATGATTGGTTCTCCTACAGCCCGTCCTCACCGAAGTCCCTTCTATTCTCAACTTCGATTCTGACTCTGTTCCTTGGGATGCTCTCCTTCTTCATTCTTCTCCCATCATCAGAAGCAACTCCTCCCTCACCAGCATCGAAAGCACCCTTGGTTTCGGCGGCGTGCGGCAGCTTCTTCAGTTCCGCTCTCGTTGCAGTGGTTGTGAAAGCTGTGCCCTCGCTCACAGCGAGCGGAAGTCACCCCCAAGAAATTCCTTCGATCGGTATTTTTTTCTGGCGTTCACAGCGTCGCGCATCATTTCAACTTGTTTTCTGATAAGTAATAGCTACTCCGAAGCTTTCCGACTTTTCGTCTCTACCTTTGCTTGCGTTCTCTCGTCGATCGCTGCGAAGCCATGCGGTGTTTCGTTCAATGCCGCAGCTCTTGGATTCGCGTTAGGACCATTATATCCAGCGGCAATTTGTTCCATGGAAACTCCGGCAACTCTCCTCAATATAAGTCTCATTGTAATGTTAGATCGACTCGGTAGAACGGCGACACACGTCCCTTCGATCTATCACCGTCCGCTACTGTTGATTCTTTCGATCCTGACCCTCACCGTTTCTTGCGTAACCTACTTCTCCACGCGAAGGCCGAAGAGATCTGCCCGACTTGCCGTCATGAATGCGTAGTAGTGTTATCCGGGATTTCCTGCCCCACGGGTGCTCCGCCGACTGAAATAAGTGATTAGAATCCTCCGCGATGTGAGACCTGTCGGAGTATCCGCCTCATCTTCTCCGTTACTGTAAGGAGGGATTTCGAGTGACACACTGGGGCGCTTCCAAGTGAGACAATTCTTCAGGCTCTGGGAATCGCCAGCGGCTGACCGAGCAGGTCAATGAATCGGTCCTCATCGTTCACAACCTTACCCCCAAACCACATCGTTTGAGCAGGGAAGAGAATGCTGCGCATCTTCTAGATTGACTCCTGGGACCGAGGGGGGAAAAGGATCCGACATCACGAAGCACGGATCGTCCCATAAACGGGACAGAAACGATAAGAAGGAGCAGACTCGCTTGTTTCGAGGTTTAGATCGAATCATTACAGCGGAAGATTAGAAATTCAATTCGTGCCCATGGAGCAGTCCGGATCCAAAGTCAGCAGAGCAGTGAAAGCCGGAGAGTCTATCCGAGCTTCATGCTTCGTAGTCAATACATGGGCGTTCTATCGGTCACCGTACCACATGTGCCAGCCGATTGACGGTGAAGTCGTTGGGAGATCAAATGACGATGATGTCGAGCTCCCCTTGGCATCATATGATACCCATCCGATTCGAGGCCCAGGTCATCCGAGCTGGAACCCGATTCTGGCGCCTCCAGGACTCCAGGAGGGTATCTCAAGAATGAGAAGCCTGTCCCGATTCGGAGAGTTTTTTTCGACCGGAGTTATCCCTCCTTCTATCTGGACAACGGGGTGTTTCTGAGGTCTGACTGTCTCGATACCGTCGACTCTCGCTTCATTCTCGGATTTAAACGACGCTTCATGCTGTTAATTTAGGTATCACCATGCTGATGAAAAACTCTCGAGAAATAGTGCAGGAATGGATGCGTATCAACCATGAATGATAGAAATGCATATGTACCCTACACATTGTCATCCATGATTGCGACCGTCAAGCGAAAGGCTCCTTCCCCATTTCCGAGGTCGTTCTCTTCCGGAGCTCCGGATCGATGTCCAGGCTGCGTAATCCCCAAAGTAAGATACCGACGTCCTGTTCCATTTGGGAACCTGCTCGTCCCCGCCCGAATACTATGATCCGTATTTGACTCTGTCTCGTCAGTATCGAGGTGGAAAACAGCTATGTACTAAATAAATTGGATTTGATTTCCGGGGCTAGGGAACTTTCGTGGGAAAGTTCCTAGAACATATGTACGAGCGTTCTCGATTGATGCATGCATATCTATCGACGCATACTACGGTTTCGGCGGCTCTAATAGCTCTAGACATCCCTGAGGTACGATAGACCCTCGTTATAACGGACCCGGATACAAAGGACACACGGCTACGACGGACCGATTGCTCGGTCCCGGATGAGCGTATGGGATTTCAGATGTTGAGTGATCTGGCTCCAGCGGACCCGGTAACGGACTTTCGAACACAACGGACTGATTTCCAGACCCCAACCCTTTCACAACCATGCTAATCGAATCGATGATGAATGATGAGGGATCTACCCTTGCGAGAGAGAAATTCTGGGACGGAAGACTTGTGCGCGATTCGCTAGGTTTCTCGCCCTCAATAAGATTTCACTCGGGTTCCGGGTCTCGATCCCCCGGCCGTGAATTCAGCAAGAAGTCTCACTCGTTGTCGAAGTCGCTGCGCTTGCGAATGGCACGGTCCGACACCACCCTCAAAGCTCCTATCGGGGCCATATCCTCCCGATATGAGGAAAGAACTTTTCTTATTAATCCCGCATCCCTAATGAAGCCGAAGGCCTTTAAAAAAACCCTATCGACATGTCGGCTGGTGGGGAAAGGGAGAATGTACTCCATCGATGGTTCAACTTGTGATCGTTTTGGCGACCTCTGCCTGACTCGAGCGACAACCCATCCCCGTGAGACGTGACGTATGTTCGAGAGAAGCCCACCCCTCACTGTAGTTTCTAGATTCGAAATGATTGGAGCTCGAGTGAATCGCTAAGCGTATCCTGGATACGAATACCACGTCAAGGTGTGAAGCCCGCCGTCGTAGATGGAGTGCTCAAGACGGAGCAGCTTCACATTCAACTCGCAGGGATGGGAGAAGGCAGACCTGCAGATGAGATTGCAGATCAGATTCTTAACTTACACTGGCTGAGCTCCGGAGCACATTCACTCAGTCTGCTTCAGACAAGAAACAGATGTCTAACACAAGATGTCCAACTGATCGATTGGGTTCTCCCTCCGCGAGGTCGTCTTCACATCAGATTGAAACGCGCTCTCCCAGCGCCGCGCCGGGAGCTCATGAGCAACGGCAGCATGCTACAGGTGTGCGGCCATGAGTTTTCCGCGAACAGCGAGGTTCCGCGTTCTCTTCTGTTGATGTTTAACAGAGAAATCGGGCGCGCCCGCAATGCTGTTCATGGCGCGTGAAGTCGTCGCAGGAAATTCAAGTCATTGCCGTAAGGTAACGCGAGTTTATGGACCGACTTGAACTGTGAGAATCTGGACTCCTCTATTGAGCCACCGGAGCACAGAATCCCGATTCCAAGGGATAGTATCTTGCCCTAGGAAATCTTCCTCCAGAGGAAAACCCAATATTTCATGGAGATCGTCCCATGCCCTACCAAGAATTCGCATGCCTGTCTGAAGCCGGTTTGGGATTCCGATGGGCATATCTAGCGGGGCAATTCCTACCAATCATTGTCTGACCTCCAGGGGAAAACAGGTACATTAATTCGTATATACCCCTCTCAAGCGGGAATATGGATTTTGAATCGAGCTACCGCGAGACGGGGAATGGGATCTCAATCTGCTCAATCGATCAGCTCATTTAGCCCCTATCTCGACCTGAGCGTAACGATCTGGATGTGCTGACCAAATATCCTTCTCAGGATTGAGCTTTCGCGACCCTTTCCTGAGCAGTGGGTGTCATCATATTCAGACCCGCTCCGGGGTTGTGTCGAGACGTGCGACCTCAGCAATGCACCTACGCATCGGTGTCATCGATGTGAGTTTGGAGAGACGAGTAGGCACTTCCTGCTTGAATCCAAAGGGATAACAGAAAAGTTGGGAGGATCACATCTTTGTCTCTTTCCAGCTGGTGCCTTTCGCTAGATTCGCGAAAAAGGCAGATGGTCGCTTCTACGTCGCGGAGGGCGGTTACGGACTCACGATGTTGCATGTTCTCGCGTCTCTAAACATCAGGTGGACAACGAGGCCTTATGTCTGTTTCTGCTCTTGGGAGGAACACCGATATTCGGGGCAAGGAATGAAATCATCGAGTGTCGTTCCTCTCACTTATCGAATCTTCCAGCCTGGAATTCAAGAAAAACATTAATGGAATCGGAACGGTGTTCGAAAACGGTACCGGAAACGGCATGCTCGGTGATTTAGTCAAGAATGTGCGTAAGAGGGTCACATACACTTAGGCATGATTTGCTCGGGCAGTGAGCATCTGCTCAAGGCATTTCTTCTTCCTCGCTCCCGACAAGGTCTCCGATATCGTCTGGGGACCACTGGCCTTATCGCCAGACCGGCAGAGTGCCGGAATAAAGGGATCCGTAGGACTGGTGCCCATACCGGTAGGACGTACAGGATCTAAATCATCTAATTGTAGAAGTCAACGATGAATAATGATAAAATGATATGACGGTCTGCTGTGCTGATCGTAAGCTCTTGTTTCACTAGTTCAAGCTCTACGCGGCACGTCGACGAAGTCACACACAGAACGTGTACGGGATTCTCTCCACCCTCCCCGTAGAGGTGCGAATAAGAAACCCTCATGAGGGTCTCTGCCGGGTCCTGACTAGAATGCCATGAGATTCAATGTGAATTTGACTCGTCAGATCTACGTAAGCGTGGTCATCACGATGTTGGTCGTCATGCTGACCCTGCGAAGCCTGCTGAAGTCGTCTTCGGTCTCGATTATGCACTTCATAGCCTGGATAACCGGGGAAAGTGAGGCTAATCCACATTCATATGATCTTGATTTACGATCTATGGAGCTCGTAGTCTTCCGCAACCCATTCACGAGCGAATCTCGCTCCCTGATTATAAACTTCTCAAATCGAGAGTCTTCAGCCTCCATTGAGAGCCTTGCTACGGAGGTCTTCGTGTGATTGCAGGTTTGTCCCCCGCGGAAGCCAATCGCTACAAGAAGAAAACTTCGGCTGCCATACTTGTCGGGCTCTATTTATTCTTCGGCATAGTGATCTCAAACTTATTTTCGAGTGAGATGCGAGCCTCGCTAACCCTCCAGGACGGATCTCCGAAGATTGAGTCTTGGTTTGATCTGGCTAGTACTTTCAAGAAGACTCGAGTTCTGGTCTGGAAGTACTCCGCCCCCCATAGGACGATTCAGGTGTCGACATTCACATCCTTTTCCGTGCTTTGTCCATCAATGAGAAACAGGGCCTCTTTCGTATCCCTGAGCCTCCGACATTCCGCAGATGACACGCGATAGAACCGTGCAGGAGGTTTACCGGAGAATCTTGAGAGAAGGAACCCTCGTCGACCTGGTTGGCTTCTACACCAGGACCAGAGTCGAAGATATTGCTCGCGGAAGATGCGCTTTCTTCGGAGATGCTTTCTCTCCAATCTCCGGCGTGAGTGTTCGAGATGGAAATCTGTCCTCGATTATTCTCCAGGAGACCATTTGCGCGTCGGATGACCCATGAAGCTCATTTGCAGCTATCGAAGTTCTGCGGCGAGTTTTCGAGCTTCGCAGAATTTTATGAAGGATTCGTGATTGAAGAATTGATGTCCGGAATGTTCTACGCTCCGCATATACCCGAGCGGACGAGGAGGATGATAGACAAAAGGTTTGCTCTTCAGATTGCTTCGATGCAGCTCATTTTGACTCAGGCCATAATTAAGATCGTTCTCGATTACAGCATTCAGCGAACCTTTGAGGCTCAATTGATGGCGCACACAATCGATGACCGCGGCTCAAAAATGAAATACGAAGCCTGTTCCACCTCGTTCTCAGACAGTGGTGCTGACATCCAAGCTTTATCCTTGAATCAACTTTTGTCGGTGTTCATACTCTACGGACTCTTGACATCGATTAGCGTACTCGCAGTGGTGCTCGAAATTCTTAGAAACCCGAGATGATAGGATTCGCTCAGCCCGTCGACATTCAAATGAATTGATTGACTCGCCAATAATTGCTCCAATGCTTCTCCTGGCATTTTTGCTTTCCGAGCCCGCTCGGAAACATTCCTTACAATGAGTACTGTCTCGACTGGCGCATGATGGAGACCTTGGCGAGGTGGGGCCTTCGGGATCGTCGGCGAGTGATCAATAAGCTCTCGGAGGATCGAGAGTGAATCGAGCTAGCGGTAGATATATACTCGAGTGACCGGAGCTTCTATCCCTTGTCACTCGTTTGAATTGAATAAAGTGGATAAGCGTCATTCGTTTGCCGGGGAGAATTCCTTAGAAATATAGGGGTTCACACGGTCACACGTGCTGTATTTATCCGCGCGAGCTGACGTCGGAATATACCTCCTGTGATAATAGGTGCCAGCAGTAAGTACTTCTTCACTCGGAAGCTTCTAACCCCTGAAGGAGCCTCCGGTAGCCTTTAATTTAGACAGGCTTCGCTTTTGCTGATTCTGACTGATAACTTGGGATATCTCCGATAACTCGTAAGTCATGGCGATTTCGACGCCCCATTTGGGAACGTATCGGACTCCCCTCGTAATTCATCAGTTTCCATTAATGGCTCCCGAAAATTCTGAAGTACGAAGCCTTGACTGTAGCTTCACTTCGACTCATTGATCCGAAAGCCTACCGTCCGCTTATCACCAGCCTAGCCGTGGAGTATATAGAGTTCGTTCATATAATCAAACTTTTTTTCCCGCTGAACCTTCTCAGAACCCGCCCGCTCAGGGCAGAGACCTCACCCTCATGGTTAGCGAATACTTCTACGCGAAAAGCTCCTACGTGTTCGATTTCTCCGTCATTGGGACCTTTCCCGTGAAGCGAGTCATAACGTCGGCGGCTGTTGGTCGGTGGGCCACCGTGGGTAAGGGTGAGACACTGACAGTCGGCCGAGGCGCCTTCTCTCATCGATGCTGCATCCCTCTCTACCGTCATCGACTACACCAACCGCGGAAGACAGCCCACGGTAGACATAACAGACTTGAGCAATCAGCCGGCTGGAATACTAGTTGAAAAAACCTCCTAGGGTGAGTCACTTTCTTAAGTCGCTGTTTACTTCCTTGCCAGACGTTCCACGATCTTCGCCGGGCACCAGAGATCTTGAGTGGATCGCGCCTCTACTTGGCGAGTTTCAGTGGAATTTCAACCGATCCGCTGAGTCTTTGGATAAATGCAATTCCCCGACGGTTCAGACTCGTTCATAGGGTCGAGCCCGGGAACCGCAAGACGAGTGTGCTCACAAGACCGAGCCGCTAGCGGAATGAATTCGCGGAATATCATGGAAGCGGGAGGTACGATCGTCAACATACGGTGCGGGCGTCACAGACTGCCCGCTTTCGGTGTTGCTCCTGTGCTTCTGTCAAGCTGCGGGCTTCATGAGCAGCTCACGGTACTTCGAGCTGGTGCCGAAACCGACGTCAGCATAATCCCGCGGCTCTGAGGCAAGCAAACTAACGACTGGCTGGATCTTTCCCCGGGCGCGGAAGTCAGAGTCGGAAGTTGGTTTCGCTTTTTTCTCTCAGTCTAGTTTTGGTTCCGATGGTGACTCGTCCGATCCCGATGCATTATGGGTGGCTCTGATTTTTCTGCGGTTTCGCCGGAAGATGCACACCACGAGGTGCGTCTGAACAACGTGGGTGTTTTGAAAGAACTCTTCCGGAGATGCCAGCTGCTCGCTATGCCTCGATCTAAGAATGCTGCGCTATTGAGTCTATCGCGGTATTCAGACTCTATCTTCAGTCGTATGTCTAGATATGACTCGTGACATTGGGTTCCCCCACAAACTGAGTTCCTGGAGTCGCGCTGTCCGGAGTGAGAAATGAGGGGATTACTCCCCTTTTCATTCTCGCCTAAGTCGGAACTTCAGCGCTTATAGGACTCCGTCGTTCCAGATTTTCAAAACTGGCACCATCCCTCAATATGGGTGAATCATCGGCAAAGCTGCCGAGCTCAAGGTTCTGGGAAGGCCGATGATTGGCTTAGACCATAGAAATCGAATTTATTCTCTTCTCCTCACAAACGTCATCCGAGTTTGCGGCGACAGAGCGATGGATCAAACCTAAAAAGTCCACAGTTTCTTCCACCAATCGAAGTATTTACTATTTGCTCTGTTCGGAATTCCGTACATCGAGTCGTTTCTTGCGAGGCGGGGAGCGAATTCAAGCGACTCCCTCCCTCCACGAAAGTCTCATTGATGTATTACTGTACACACGCCCATCTGATCGAGGTATTCTCATTCGTTTCCCATTCGGGCAGAGATGATTCTCGCGAATACGAGGAGCTTCTCCAGCGTATATACCTATAGTTAGAAGAGCTCTGTGCTGATCGCCGACGTTATCGAGCGATATCCATTCCGACGCAGGCAGGAGATCCGAGTAGCTTCGTCGTTTTCTTAATCCATCTTGGTTTGCAGAAGAAGTTCGAAGCCGACTCACCATGGCCACAATCAAGCCAGTGCAACCATTCACTCCGGATGTCGACGCGAAGGCCTTGCGGAAGGCGATGAAAGGTCTCGGAACCGACGAAGCAACGCTCATCAACATCTTATGCGCTCGAACCGCCCATCAGCGTTCCGAAATTCGCACGCAATACAAACAGATGCACGGCAGGGTGAGTCGTCTCTGAAGTTAGGGGATAGTTTTGGTAGTGGAGGGGGAAGTTCGTTTCTTATCTATCTGATTGTGAGTCTCCGCGGGATGAAGACTCGGGGTACTCGATCCCAAGCGAGCGGTCTGCCAGCGGTTCCATGACTTCCAAAATTTCTCTGGGGCCTTTCTGTCGGCTCAAGAATCACGGATGCCCGACACAAAAAATGATCGGATCAGAGAATGACCTCGAGGAGGATTGTCTGCGTCAAAACACTGCAGACAATCGCAGAAAGCGAACTCATAGCCGCCTCCGCGGCCTTGAATCGTACGGAGCGGACCGAGTCGGCAGTAAGTCGGAAGGGAAAGATACGTTGCTCGCCCCAGCCGATTCGACAGCCGAGCTTTTCTCATGATCGGAGAGATTCTCCTGCGGTAGATAAGCAACAAAAGAATGAACGATTGCGATAGCGAGATGACGTCACCGAGAACTCTTTTTCTCTTGAATGAAGCCTTGTCGCCGCTGTACACTAGAAGCCGGGATTCGTCATACGTTTCAGTGTTGCGATTGCTTCTTTCAAAAAGCAGTGACTCACACATTGATAACAGAGCGAAAATTCAGCGCTACGTTTCGTAGGCGAGAGGCATCGCTTGGCATTAGGTGACTTCCGCCGAAACTCGAGCTCTTCGTGGCTGTGGCGGACTTCTGAATAGAAAACACTTGGTCCCCAATTGACTGAGACTTCGAGGTCGGTCGACTCGTGCGAATTCCAATAAGGACGGGGCGTAGCAGTCGAATTGACCGGGACATATTCTTTCAGGATTTGATCGAGGATCTGACTAAGGAAATATCCGGCAACTTTCGCGTTGTCATGCTCGGCCTGATGACACCCTTGGACGAGTACTTGGCCGCGGAGATCAAAGCAGCGATAAAAGTAGGTTCCGTACCCCTTCGGAGACGAGGGTGTCGCCGATGATTCCGACGCAACATCGAGAGATCTGCCGATCCTAAGATCCTCGAACTATTGTTTGACAGGGAATCGGAACTGATGAAGACATCCTCATCGAGGTGCTGTGCACCCGCACAAACGCCGAGATCCGAGCAATCAAGGATGCTTTCCAGAGACGTAAGCGCGAGTTTCTGCGGATTTTGCGAGATTATCTGTGGCTGTCGCTAGAAATTCCACCAACAATTTTAAAATTTTAGTTTACGGACAAGACATGGAAGAGGAGGTTTGTGGTGATCTCTCAGGCCATTTGAAGCGAATGATGTCCGCTCTGATGACCGCTAGACGACCCGAGAACACGGGAATCGATATCAGGAAAGCCCAGCGAGAAGCCAAGGAGCTCCTGGATGCCGGTGTGAACCAGTGGGGTGAGTTCTGTGGAGAATAATCATTCCCCCGATATCATTCCCCGAAGAATATCCGATGTTGATCCCGGTCCGAATATGTGTTCCAGGAACCGATGAAGAGGCCTTCATCGCCGTCTTCTGCTCCAACAGCTTCGAGCAGCTGAGAGCTACTTTCCATGAATACAGGAACCTCGCTGGCCACGATATCATGGAGGCTATCGAGAGGGAAACGAGCGGAGATCTCAAGACAGCAATGCTCACTATCGGTAATCCATTTTCGTCAGAATTTATTGGGCGAGCTGTCTCGAATCCATTTGGAGGGCCTCCCTGAGGGTCTCGTGCTCGCGGCATCATGCGGAGAGAGAGGCCCAGAATCAAGAACTTCCGCCTCACCATTTCAGTCAAGAGCGTCTTCAACACCCATCTCTACTTCGCGGAACGCCTCCATAAGGCGATGAAAGGGCTGGGAACCGACGACACGACTTTGGTAGGTGGAAACCCATAGCTGACTCGCAGCGTCGATCCGCTATCGAATGTTTCGAAAAGTCTCCCTAACTATACTCTTCTCCATTTGCTCCGCTCGATCGACTCTCCAGATCAGAATTATTGTGTCGCGCTGTGAGATTGATCTGGCTCATATCCGAGGGGAATACATGCGAGTTTACGAGAGTTCCCTGGAGCATGATATAAAGGTTCGTATCTTACGTCTTCGTGAAAGAGAATCCGGTCCGGCTGCTCGACGTATATCGTAGGAGAATAGGTATCGCTATCCCCGACTTGCCCGCGAGGCCGAAAACTATCGAGCTGACTAAGTTCGCCCATCGTGCCCGGCATGATTTCCGCATGGTCGCTGTGGAGCCGTTGACAGCGGCCATCGAGCTCCTGTTCGGAACATGAGGGACTAGGCACGAGACTTCTCTTCCGTCTCCGGCTTGGTGACCGTGGGTCTCGTCTTGCCTCAGCGAGATTTTCATTGCGGTTTTGGCTTTTCAGAAGGAAACATCTGGCGATTTCCAGACCGCCCTCATGGTGATGGTCCGTCAGAACTGAACATCTCTGATCGAGACTTACATCTGGAGGTTTAAACAGCACCGGCTAATCGAACACCACCTCTCTGATCTAAGCTGGGATCGCTCCTCGATCTTTGCATTTTATTTCGAACGAGCGTTTGTTCTATTTCGGTTGCCCTTAATGAGTTCGATGTTAAGTATTGTGAAGCTTGGAGCGATTCCACGGCATTGCCCGCCGGCACTCGGATCAGCCATGAATGGCGGAGTCCACGTCTTGTCACGTTCCGGCGATCCATTCTTGACGGAGCACGTTTCGAGCGTGCAGTCGCTCCTAATTGGAAAGATTGGGACTCGGTCGATTCTCTTCGAATGAAATTAGGCTCGAGTTCCATTGGGACCTCATGGCTCCGGCATCGGGTGAATGGCTGCGCGATTCAGTTTCAATCCTTTCCCACTACTTCGGGCCCATGTTCTGTGAATTTCGGCATTGGCTCTGCGGGGATTCAATAAAGCTCTCTTCATTTTCATTCGACTTCACATGCCGTGTTGGTCTCTTATATCCAACCTGATATGCTTGGGATGCGATCGCCTCCTCCGATAGATACCTCGTCCCATTCGCATATGAGACCTCGAATGAGCCGTTCCGTAGAGATTAAAAAATTTCTTCGCGTTTTCAGAAGGAGACTTCTGGAGACTACAAGAAATCCTTGTTGACTATAACAAGTGGTTCATCTTCCGACAAAAGCAAATCGTGGCATTGAGAAACACTTGATATCGATCGTCATCGAGATTCCATGTGTTGTCTGCGTCATAATGAGTAATCTCGGGAATTCTGCCAAGTTCTCATGGAAAATCGGCTCTCCAGTGCTAAAAAGGCTGCATTTATTCGTTCGGTCGCTTTCCGAAACGTTTCTCTGTCTACCTCTATCTGAAGCGTCACCTTGGAATTCTTAAGCTTCAGAGGAGCGAAGGATGTGAACCCAAACCCCGATCATCTGAATTAAACGCAAGTCATCTCTGCAAATATACTGTAAATTACATAACTCGCGTTCTATTAAGTTTGGTAGATGCGCTGAGGCACACCGAGGATGCGACTCGCTCCACCTGCAGTTGGTCTTGGAAGACGTATCTGAGTCTAAGGAATCCTCTCTCACCACGAAAACTTTATTGTTTACTTTACAAGAGGAGAACAAGGTTTTCTTGCGAAAAATCATTCTCACATCGGAAACAGTCACTCATATCTCAAGAGTCATCTGTCAATCGAGCTCTTTTAATGATAGCTTGGCGGGCTGCTGGTGCTGGAAGTCGCTTGACAGCATGACTTATGATCTGAACGGTCGACGTCGTTTGACCTGGAGCAGGGTGTTTCAGGACGAAGCGTTGTCCCGGTTTCAACATATGGCGGGGCATGACAAGGTTGTATCTCGCTGGAGCATTCGGATCCTGGGAATCGTTGCATGGTTATCTAGAGGATGATTTTCCTCGCACCGAAGGAGGAACTCCATTGGTTTCATAGGCTATGTCCATTCTTACCCCTAAAGGAAGAGAAGTTAAATCTATTTCCCGGCTGTAGCTACTCACATTGGGGTTTCTGAGAATCGATACATAAGGCCCTCTCGGCCGTGTGGTCACGTTCTTCACCACTTGATCCACCATGGAGCGAACAACGGCTCCGACTGCCCGATCCACGGAGTTGTCCCGGACTTGAGTCTGTGAGAAAGGACTTTCAATCTCACACCGAAGTAGAGGGCAAGAGCTCAAGATAGCTTCTCGCGAAGCAAGGACTCTCTGATTCGATAGGATCCCTCGATCCAGCGCCGGGATGACGTACCTCATTGCCCTCCTCAAGCTCCACGCCCTGGACTTCGTCATTCTCCTCTTCTTCCTCGTTCACTAATCTGGACACATCCGCATGCGAGATCACAAGCCCCAAGTTTTGAGACAGAGTCGAGTCGTTGGCTTTGGACAGTCGGGATATCTTCTCAGCATATCCTCGCTCCTGTTTCCTACAATATAGTTTTTTTTTCGAAGAAGAATTCTTCTGAATATACGGGTCGAGACAACTCATGCTTCCCTCTCAGATCAAATGCTTCAATCAGAGCCTTCTCTAAGGGAGGTCCCCGACTTACGTCTCAGCTGGATTCTTGGGAGTGACCACTTGTTTCTGGCGCTGGAGGTTTTTCCGCGTTACGGAAATCGAGTACGTCACATCGTTTGCAGTGAATGGATTGAACGTGGTCAGTTTTGGGTTCAGAGGCTGAGATCGACCTTTCTGAATAACACTGGAAAATCGTGATAGATGGAGAATGGATATTATGGTTACTTTTCATCTATTGCATGGAAGAGAATTTGAAATGAGGGCTCATGAGTCCAGTCGAGTCTCACTTCTGTAGGGTGTGGCTGCTTGGTAAGGGCAATTTCAGGGATAGAATTTCCTGATAGCCTTGCGGGGAGCACAAGAAGTAGAGTTTCGCAGCTTTTTTCAAAGTCGCGTCGTCCCAGCTGGATCCCTGCGGAGTTTTTCATCTCTTTATGACGGGAGCTCTCAATTCCGAGAGAAATCGGATGAGAGGTTCTCATTTGTCTTATTTCCCATAAGAAATGATCGACTTCTTCCACGGGAGACGTGATTTGAGGGTAGCGGCTATACTCACACCGCGACGTTTCAGACAGTGGCCGGTGAGAATCCGAACTATTTGGTCGCCATTGAAGATCTTCGTGATGTTGTTCAGGAATGGTTTCTCTTTTAAGTGATACTCATCCAGGAGTCGTTTTGAGAAATCCAATTTCTTCTGGTAGATTTGGAGCATCATCTCCAGCTCTGTCTGTTTGAGATCCTGTCGAGAAAGGAAACGCATCAGTTCGAAACTAACCAGTCGGCTCACCAAGCGTGAGGAATGAGATCATTTTCTGGCTACACACGTATCAATCTTCGGAGGTACCAGCTCACCATCTCGTCGAGCTTTTGGAGTCTGCTGTGACATGATTCACAGTAGAGAGAATCACAACCTCTTTGACTCTCACCACGGACTCTGGAAGCGGCGACGCTCTGGAAAGAATCAGAATCGAGGACATTTGGAAAAAAATCGGGCGGGCGTCTGCACAAGGGCGAAATATCCGTAGGGGAGATACTCACCACCACATTACTGAGCAGTAGTTTCTGCGGTGTGCCCTTCAAACAAACAGAATATATAGTTATGATTATGTAATTGTTATAATTGTGTTCTTCTCCTTATACTAGTACTGAAGTCTCTCATTTTCGTGCAGTAGAATCGATTTGGGGAGCGTAGCATGCGATTGCCGTATCCCCTCACATCCTCGATACTAGTCCTGCAGACGGCAAAAACGACTCTGGGATTTAAGTGCTCACGTTAAGAAATTTATTATTTTTCTATCTAATTTGTCGATCAACCTGGGATGCCCAACAGCAACGGCATGATTGCGATGGTTGGCGATTTACATAATATTCACATAATCGATTGAGGACATTCGTAACATTCGTACCATCATCCGGACTATATACAGCGAGAAACAGGATGCGAGACTCTGGCGATTCGGCTCGTGGCTACTATACGATTGACTTTCCTTGATTACCGCCCAGTTTATCAACGACCGTACTTATCAAAGGCAAGCTCAATATAGTTCCCAACAGTGGTATCCGCCGAATGAAGTTGATTACCACCGGGAAAAAGCCAGAGAACAGAAGGACGAATCCGTACAGCTCGATGCCCATGCCGATGAGGGGCCAGCCAAGGAGCACGATGAATATTCCACCGAAGAAACAGCCTGTCGCACGTGCTTTATGCCGTTGGAAAAAGAACGACAGCGACCGCTGAATACCGACAACCAAGGCGAGACCCGATATGAACATGATATTACCTAAAGCCAGCAGGCCTTTGTCGAACAAGAGTAGCATCCCAAGAACGATGAACGTCAAGCCCATTCCGGAGAGGCCGACCCCAATCTTCTGCATGTCTGTGATTTCGAACATGGTGGCAGCGTTCTTCCTTCACTCGCTCTTATCCTGGAATACGAGAGTCTTTAGAAAATGTTCTTTGTGTTCAGCTCCTGAAGTCTTTCCTGGAATTTCGATATCTCGCCCTGCGGTCTTCCCAACAGTACGGTGTGTACATATAAGCCAACCCGCTCGTGCGGCAGTAGTTGTCATCGGAAGCAGCTGTTTTGACACGCGGAACCAAATGTCGGTATCTGTTTCTAAATGAATGAGGAAAGAAATCGATGTCTGCGCAAAGACCTCGCGCTATTCAAGTCCACTCTATTCGCTGCTCCTGGGCTTTCGGTAGTGTGGTTGACGGAGAGACAGCTAGACCCACTCACACTCGCATGCCGATTCTCGACGCCCTCTATTCAAAACAATCACCCGATCTACTCGCCCACTCAATGAGAAGCTACCCTGACCAGGGAATATGAGTGGCGAACGGAACAGCTGTCGAATTCGCTCCCAATAAATTTCGTACAGTTCCGCGGCAGCAGGAAACATTGCTGCGACGGCTGCCGCCGGTTCACCCCTCCACTCGGGAATCATCGGGAGCTGTTCACCCGAATGGGGATCGACCACGCCACCTTAACGGGTCAAGGAGTAAAGTTCTGCGATTGAGGAGAGTCGCGAAGTATATTTTTAGGTCTTGACCGTTCCGTATAGTGCTTATGGTGCTTCCCCGAAGGGACTGTTCGATGGAACACACCGGTTACGTCGAAAGGGAGGACTTCGCATCTTTCGATGAACCGACTACGGGGACTCGGGTCTACCTTCAGGCTACGAGAGGTACCCAGACGAGAGGAACGATCGAGTTTCGGGAGTTGAGAAATTCGTTTGACACGACATCGAATGACTGACATCTCCTCCACGTCACCATCCGGTGGAAAATTCGAAAACTTCACGCCGGAAAGGCTCACTCACCTGCTTGACGAAGTATAAAAGATCCTCCTTGCTCCAGGAGTTCCCTCGACGGAATATCCGTGGGGGTTTTCTGCACGATTCCCACGAAAAAGTCTCGCCAAAGCTTCCTTCCAAATTTCAAAACAAAACCTGCCGATGATTGCCGGTAGAAGACGACGTTCCCTCGAGATCCTAAGCGGCGGAACATCGGCTCGCTCAAAAACGCGGGAAAAATATCTTCACGGCAAAGGATCCGTTCCCAGCACGAAACTGGAGGAGATCGTTGTCGTGGAACGGGATCGAGTCGACAAAGTCAAAACATGCAAACAAATTGAAGAAGGCGCGCTCGGGCAAACCGTCTATTGTTCAGAATAGGCTCGCAGACTCACTTGTGGCGATTCAATCGCGACGAGTTCACCTCCGATTTCCCCTTCGTCGGCTATTGTATAGACGACATTCCTTGGTGTCGATCCCGAGGTCGACGCATACATCGTAAGGAACGAGACAATCTGATCTGTGGAGAGATTGGAAAAAATGAATTCAAACCGCTTCCGACGGCGCCCTTCCCCCATGCATGTGCTCCCTCGGAGATAGGTGATATAATGCCGATGAACGACGAGCTCGCCGGAGAATCTTCTTCTGGGTCGCTCGGGATCCCTCCTGGACCCATAGACCATGCCGAATTGTTTCGGCGCAAGGAAGAAAAACTTAGGCGCCGTAATTGGCACTCAGGAAGCATAGGAGCGACGCGAAAATGACGGGTAGCGACGCAGGACCTCTACGGGGACCCTTTTTCTACGACGCTGTGATGTCATGTCTGATTCCACGTGCGGTAGCGATTTACGTGGGTCTATCCTCGACGCCGCCGATAGAATTCCTCTCCTCATTGTACAATTCTGCATCGATATTCGAGCAGTACATAGATGGGTAGGATGGAGGAAGGAGGGAAAACCGTCGCCCATCATCGGAGCTCGACAGCACCGAGTTTCTTCGAGATTATGCGGATCTCGAGGCACGGATTGATTGATTGAGTGATCAATGAATGCAATTAGGGTGTCTCTTAGGCAGGGAGGAAGGTACTCGATTCCATCGATATCTCTGAGCAAGTTTTATCCCGGCAGTGTCAGGGCGGAGATATTTTTCTGATACAGGGACGGATTTCGAAAGCGAGAATAAGGATGCGATCCGACCCGCAACATCGCCATGAGTGTTTGGTGAGTAATTGATCTGATTCGACCCAGCTACGGAGGACTTCCACATCGGGGCCCCGTTGCTGCACAATTCCCGTCAGAACGTAAGCTGAGAGATTCTGCTTGCATCGCAGGGAATTCCAGATCGAGCTCATGATCATTCGTATTCAAGATCAGCTTCCAACGAAATGAAATCTCGCCTTGGTGAATCTAATTACCAGCGCTGAGAATTAGCGGCACCAGGATCGAGTTACACGAAGAATATGTTTAAGCTACTCGCTCTCGGATCCTCGAATTCCTAATGGTCGTTCGAATTACAAGACTAGATACGTCGCGTCGCGACGGCGGCGTCGCGTCACAGAGCGGAAGCCGCAGTTCTATTCCCAGTAATCTACAAGTCCCGATGGATCGATTGTTCGACCAGCATTCATTCAAGTAGCGGCATTTACTTCGTATTGATTGATTGAGGTCACACGTGAGCCGAGACCCATCTCTCTCGAAGAACTCTCTCGTTGCTCTGGGCTCGAGGCAATCCGATGCAGAATTGGAGTCTACGACCATCACAGCGAATTCATGCCAAAAAACCGACGGGATGAGAAGCCGTGCGAGCACGAAACCCTCCGAGGCGCGGAAGTCGGCCAGGAATGCCGATATCGCCGCCTTTGATTTGAGCCCGCCTTCACGTCTCGGACGTCTGAGCCATCCGCGCGGATTCCTGCTCAGTCGAACGATTGCTGAGACGTCATCCTTGTTTCTTAAACACCGAAACGATAATAATCTCGCTACCGAGCTTCGAGACTCATACTCCAGACTTCGCGGTATCGGCGGAATTCCACGTCACTCACAATAGTGACTCAGAATCGCAGACCGCAGCTCTCTAACAGCGATCCGAGACTTCGCGGTTGCTCATCTCCGGGTCTCGAGCGGCGCCAGAACTCAGTGGAACCGAAGAGATAGATCCCCAAAAGCGAGCCGCCATCTTTGACGTTTGCGAATCTCTCTTCATAGAGCTATGAAGACGGACAGTCTGAGAAAATATCTGCGAACTTCATCAAACGTACCTCACCGCGATATCCACTGCCCCTCCGTGAACTCTCCAGTCGGATCGAGCACTCCCTCTTCCGATATCCGGGCGTCTCAGCAGCAAATTCTCATCGGCACAAGGAAACATAAAGTTAAAATGGCGCTCCCCTAAAGCTCGGAAGTCGTTCCGCGAGTCGTACCGGTGATATCCGGCGCCGTCTTCAATACCGGCGCGTCGGCGGTCCTGCGTCTAGCTTCACAACTCTCCGGTTATACGTCGATGATTTCGACGTCCCCTCCATCCCAAACTGAAATGACGCGCGATTGCCCGGAGAGCGGACTATGTTTCCTGAATTATCCGTCAGTATTGTCAGTATGAAAACCTATATGCGAGTTCGAAAGGAACATGGGGTGAAATTGGGGTATCTCTGCAAGAGTTCTTTCAGGTCATCATGATCGTCTGCGGTCCCCCCTCTAACTACAGGGAACAGCTTGAGCATCTGAAAAGGTCCTCGAAAGTTTAACCCTTTGCGGACGTGTGGCTCCAGAGGAAAATAAAAGGAGCCCTGATGAGCTTAAAGCCTATGATGGGGATTCCCTGGCTCTGGATACAGCCGGATCCATCGCATGCTGGTCGTCAGCTCCGCTAAGGACCTCCATCCTCATTTTCTCCTCCCCCCCCACATCCCGACACAATGCTGATCCTAAGTCCCAACGGGAAAGAGTCCGCTCCCACGGTCTTGTGACGCACAGAAGAGTAGTCCAATAGCTCGCTCGAAACCAATGTGAAGGATCCGAGCTTTGGCACGGAGTATCCTTCCTCAATATTGGGAGCGGACACAGTGAAGAGGTTCAAGGAACAGGCCAATCAATCGATTTTTCTACTGGAAAACTTCTAAGATACAATTAGTGGAGCATGCCTCCACAAATCTTTGCGAGAATCTCTGGTATGAATGCACACGTTTGACCTTAGCAGGAGAGAAAAGCAGAGACCGAGAGTTGCCGATTTCCCCGAGTAGACTCGTGACCTCGAAATGAAGTCAGGGATAAACAGTCTCAAGATGATAATGGAGAGAAGGATAGCTTCGTGCTCAGAACGGGCATATTGTGAGTGGAATATGCGATCTTCAAAGACAGACGCTTCTGTAAAATATAGGGGAAACATGAGAACTGAGCCTCGAGGAAGCGCGAGCCTCGATGGCGATTGCTGGCTCCGGCTTGAAGCTCTCCCGCTCATGGCTCGCGAAATATTGAGCTCATACGGGGAAGTGAAACTCGCGCCGCTTGGAAGGAGCCCCGCTCATCCCCGATGCTCGAGCGACCAAGTATTGATGGATATGTTTTAAAACAATCATTTTCCTTCCATAATCATCGACGTGGAAAGAGCGCGATGCACCGCTGAGAACGATGCTACCATGGATCCCTCTTCTGGGAGGCTGCCTTATAAGCTTTATATAAGTAATCTCGAAGCGCGCATCGTCCGGCGGCGGCGAAGAACTCTCACTCATGTTGGCTCCACGACAAACGAATAGGCCGGTGACCGTATTTTCAGAAGAAAACGCAGTTTCCTGAATATTCAGCGCATACCCCCTCCGAATGGACAGGGAAGTTCCCCGAGAGCAAGGATCTTGGTGGACGTGCGTGTGATCTTGAATCATGTGCCGATCAAAATAACTACCGCGGACTGAATCATTCCCGCGGTCAACATCAACTGACAGGTCCATCGAGCCGCCTTGGACGGTAAAAGAACTGACACAGCGAAGTCGAGCTCACACCGATTCATGGAATCATCCACTTTAGAGCCTCGAGAGGAATTCTCGATCGCTTCCGTTTAAGTTGTTCGTTCCAGAGATAGCTCGAGTCAGTCGATAGGGTTTAGGTGAAGAACATCGATCGCCAACATGGGCGAGTCGGGGGTAGAGAAGATCTATCAAAAGAAGACTCAACTCGAGGTTAGTGTTCGCCGCCGGGAGTGATACGAACGGCTCCTTTCTGAGCCTGACACTAGTTCCGCCTGCGTTGATCCTAAGTTTCCCTTGCGAGATCCCGAAACCATAACCATGAACCATAAGGCTTGCTATCTGAATATTTCCGCAGCACATCCTTCTGCGGCCTGACACATACATCGGCTCAGTCGAGCAGGATACGCAGAAGATTTGGGTGTACGATGGGCCGGAGCATGGCATGGTCTATCGGGAGATCACTTACGTCCCAGGCTTGTACAAGATTTTCGACGAGATTCTTGTGAATGCGGCGGATAATAAGCAACGCGACAAGAGTCAAAACATGATCAAGGTAGACCACACTTCGGGGCGTGATGAGATCCTTTGCCCTTGTGATACCAGTGGAATATCCATCGGATCGTTGGTTTTTCGTGGAAAGTGCGCTCGAGTGATGTTCAATTCTTGAGCTCTTCCCTTGACAACTATCCAGCAGCAAGTGTCCTTCCATGCAGGTTGACATAGACCCGGTGAAAGGAATGATCTCAATCTACAACAACGGCAAAGGAATTCCCGTAGTCATGCACAAGGAAGAGAAATGCTACGTTCCGACTTTGATATTCGGTCATCTCTTGACCTCTTCCAACTACAACGACGACGAGAAGAAGGTCACAGGAGGGCGGAATGGATACGGTGGGTGAGAAGCTCGCCGTCATCAGAGCGACGTGGGCTTTAGCGTCTGCGGTTTCAAAATCTGGCAGATTACCATGATCAGCTTTCCAGGAGCGAAGTTGTGCAATATTTTCTCAACGAAATTCACACTGGAAACCTCATCGAAAGCCGACAAAAAAGCTTTCAAGCAATCATGGTCGAACAACATGACGGTCACAGGTGAAGCAAAAATCGTCGAAAGCTCGCAGGTCCGTGCATAGAATTCTGCGGGCAGGCACCCGAATTACAGCGACCATCTTAGCTTGCATAAAAATATTTCCGAGTGCCCATCTCTGTATTCGAAATCCTCGACTTTATGGTGTCAGAGTGACTTGATGATTACCTCGATCTTGCAGGATTATACGAAGGTTACCTTCTACCCTGATCTGAAGAAATTTAATATGAAGGAGCTGGACAAGGATTTCGTTGCCCTTGCAAGCAGACGAGCTTACGATGTTGCCGGTTGTACCCCCGGAGTCAAAGTTCAATTGAACGGGGAACTGTGAGTCGATCGAGTTATTCCGGAACAAAGTTGTCACTGCATGGAAAACTCATAGGTTCATGAGGTTCCTTCGCGAATGAGCGGTCTCGTCTCGCCAACAGTTTGCCTGTGAAAAACTTCTTGGACTACGTGAACCTCTTCACCTCAAAGTGCACAAATGAAGACGAAGACAAACCGCTGACGGTCGTTCACGAAATTGTCAGTTCGAGATGGGAGGTCGCCTGTTGTCCCGCACCGGAGGGCGAGTTCAAGCAGATGTCGTTCGTCAACAAGTGAGTGCGTCGGAAGTCCGCAAGAGTGGGATGCCGTCGTCTGGGAGCGTCATCGTTGCCCGAGTCGGGGCTGAACTGAGGGGGACAAAGAGGGAATCTCGGGCTCTGAGCTAGGTAATCATCTTTCAGCATCGCGACAACCAAAGGAGGAAGTCACGTCGAGTACGTGGTCGACGCCATCTCGAAGAGACTAACTGATCAAGTGAAAAAGAAGAACAAACAAGGAGTGAACATCACGAAGAAACAGATCAGAGATCACATGTGGATCTTCGTCAATTGTCTCATTGAGAACCCGACATTCGACTCGCAGACCAAAGAAAACATGACGCTCCAGGTATGAGTATTATGAGGGGAGGGTTCCACCTTCCGCTTGAGTACGCACGAGGTTGCAGAGCGCGTTGCTGAGGCAGCTGCTACGAACCGATACGCTTACGATTTTTCCAGGTCAAGAAGTTCGGCTCAACTTGCGACATGTCCGACAAATTCTTCAACGGAGTTCTCAAATCAGGAATCATCGACTCCATCATGATGTTCGTTCACTTCAAAGCGCAGAAAGAAATGAACAAGAAATGCTCAAAAACAAAACATGCGAAGTTGAAAGGTTCGAAATCCTCGACATTCCAGACATTCAGATCCAGGATCCTGGGTTAAGTTGTGGATTTCGAGCAACGATCTATTCCCAAAGGTATCCCGAAACTGGAGGACGCAAACGATGCCGGCACGAGTCGTTCGATCGATTGCACTCTGATACTCACAGAAGGAGATTCAGCCAAAACTTTGGCTGTGTCCGGTCTCGGAGTCATAGGCAGGGACCGCTATGGAGTGTTTCCACTACGCGGTAAACTCCTCAACGTTCGAGAAGCTACGACAAAACAACTTCTCGAGAATGCAGAGATCAATAACATAATCAAGGTAAATCAAATTCGCATGTTTGAGAAAAGCATCCAGAGGCCCCTAGAGGCCGTTCGGCAGCACAGACTGTGGGAGATCTTCTCGATTCTAGATTGTGGGACTCCAATACAAGAAAAAGTATGAAGCCCCAGAGGACATGAGGAGCTTACGCTATGGAAAAATAATGATCATGACCGATCAGGTGAGCTATTGTCCGGCCAATCGGGTCGATGTCCTTTCGAACTTGAGACGGAATCTAGAGCCGGCGTTCCAATCCACAGGATCAAGACGGGTCTCACATCAAGGGCCTCCTGATCAATTTCATCCATCATAACTGGCCATCGCTCCTACAAATGAATTTCCTTGAAGAGTTCATCACACCCATCGTCAAGGTGTTCAAAGGATCAAACGAGCAATCGTTCTTTTCGCTTCCAGAGTTCGAAGAGTGGAAAGTCGCTACCCCGAATTGGGAATCTTGGAGAGTCAAGTATTACAAGGGTGGGTCACTCGGATCCCGAATCCGGAGTCCCTAGATAGCGCCGAGTAGTGATGCTGATGGACTAATCGGAGGAGGAATCTGATTCTGGAGAAGCCGCGGGAGTTAGATCGATTCTTCTTCTAGGTTTGGGTACGTCTACCGCGAAGGAGGCGAAAGAATATTTTTCAAACATGGGCAGGCATCTTATCGCCTTCAAGTACACTGGTGCTGAAGACGACAGTTCGATCACTCTAGCTTTTTCCAAGAAGATGGTCGAAGAGGTGGGTGCTCCCCAATCCTACATCCTCGCAGTTTCGAGATTTATTCGTCGAATGATTATACCTTTCGGGAACTCGAGACAAAACTCACCTTCGAACTCCAGCGAAAAACCTGGCTCACGAACGGGATGAAGGAGCGCAAAGATCGCCGTGAATTGGGAATGCCAGAAATCTATCTGTACAACAAGGATACGAAAAAGGTCTCGTATTCTGATTTCGTTCACAAAGAACTGATCCTCTTCTCCAACATGGACAACGAGAGATCCATACCCTCCCTGGTGGACGGTTTGAAACCCGGTCAGAGGAAGGTGAGTGTCGAGAGCAGCGCAATCGATCAACTTCTTGAGCAATAGGGATAAGAGCTCGGGCTCGAGGACGAAGGGTTCAGGTCCACAGAAATATTTCATGGTACGATCTCATCCTATCCGGACGCTGGCTTAAGTTCTCCGCTCAATTTCCAGGTTTTATTCACGTGTTTGAAGAGGAACGATAAGCGTGAAGTGAAGGTCGCGCAGTTGGCGGGCTCGGTGGCTGAAATGTCATCTTATCACCACGGAGAGCAGTCACTCATGATGACCATCATCAACCTCGCGCAGGACTTCGTGGGCTCGAATAACATCAATCTTCTGCAGCCTATTGGTCAATTCGGAACGCGACTTCAAGGGGGAAAGGACTCGGCATCCCCCAGGTTATAGTCAGCGCTCTCGTCGCATGTCGAGTTCTGAGGAATTTCCTGGAGATGGAATCTCTCAGAATGAAACTCATTTCAAAAACTTTCGAAATCCCAGATACATCTTCACCAAATTGTCTCCATTGGCGAGGAATTTGTTCCACGCGGACGATGATGCGGTTCTCGATTATCTGTACGATGACAATCAGAAGATCGAGCCGAACTATTATCTTCCAATTATCCCGATGGTTTTAGTGAATGGTGCAGAAGGTGAGTTTGGATTCGGTTCGAATTCGACGTGATCATCATCCGAATAAATTGATCAATCAGATGAGATATTAGCTTCGATCCTGGAACCCCTCTCATCATAATCATTGAATCAGGAATCGGAACGGGCTGGAGCACGAAGATCCCGAACTACAACCCGAGGGACGTCGTCGAGAACGTTCGCAGACTACTCAAGGGGCAGCCCCCGAAGAAAATGACACCGTGGTATAAGGGTTTCGAGGGGGAAATCGTCGCTCTAGATTCGGGTTCGAGAATCGTTGTACACGGGGAAATCTCAACCCTCTCGAACAATCGAGTTCAGATAACCGAACTCCCCATCAAAGTTTGGACTCAGGCATTCAAAGAGAATGTCCTCGAATCGCTCTTGCACGGTTCAGACAAGGTTTGTGCCTCCGGCTCCGGCCACAGTCCCAATCTAGCCCCTCTCTCGACCGCTCCCCCTTCTCGACCCTATCCCGTCGATTAGGAACTCATTTACGAGCGTTCCTCGCTGCTCCCCGTTTGTTCCCAGGTACCGGGTCTGATAACGGATTACCGGGAATACAATACCGACACGAAAGTCAATTTCGTAGTCCAGATGGACAGTGCCCAGATGGCGAAAGCCCAGTCGGAGGGGCTCCACAAAGTCTTTAAGCTCCAGACTACATTAGCGACGACTTGTATGGTTCTCTTCGATGCCGCCGGCTGCATCCGCTTCTACCAGAGTCCGGAGGAGATTCTCGAGGAGTTCTTCACCGTTCGACTAGACGGATACGTACGTCGACGGAACTTTCTCTTGGGTATGCTCGGGGCGGAAGCATGCAAACTCACGAACCAGGTGAGAAGGGTGGACTCGGTCTGTCCGTCCAGCCATGGATTCTCTACTAGCCTGTAATGATTCCGATTCTCATGTCTCGATGTCTTGAAGGCGCGCTTCATAGTCGAGAAATGCGAGGACAAAATCCGCGTGGAGAACAAGAAGAAGAAAGTCATGATCGAGTTGCTCGTGGAACGAGGTTACGATCCCGATCCCGTGCTCCGTTGGAAAGAGTCTCAGAAGTCCGAGCAGGAGAAAGAAGCTGAGGCCGGTATCGAGGATGATGAAGCCGAAGGCTCCCGAGAGGAGAGTCAACCACGTTCCGACAGCAATCAAACAAAGGACTACGATTATCTTCTGAGTAAGTTCGATAATCGTGATTTCATCTCAACTCCGGTCGTGCATTAGCACCGGTTCCACGGCTACGGAACTATCCAACTTTTGAAGCTTTTCCTCGATAGGTATGACGATGTGGAGTTTGACTTTCGAGAGGAAAGAGGAACTGCTGAAGAAAAGGGACAACAAAATCACCGAGTTGAAGACGCTCGAGGGAAAAACCCCGAAGGATCTGTGGAACGAGGATCTAGACGCATTCTCGGCAAAACTCGACGCGTATGAAGCACAACAGCGTGAGGAGAACAGAAAAGCAGAAAAGGTCAGTCAGTACCCATCTGGGGGCACTAGCCCCGATCAGCGATAAATGAACTGCTCCGACCGAATCGTTCGTTTTCACCTACTCACTATTCATTCTTTGAGACCTGAAAGTTTTGAGACCGACGTGCCTCTCCCTCACAGAAACAAGCCGCCGTGAAATCGCAAAAAGGGGCTAAAGGCAAGGCCATTAAAGGAGAGGCCACCGAAACTGGCGATCGCATCAAGCCAGAGATAGATAAGGAGCTGCTCGAAAAAATCGAGAAAGCCCAAATCGCGGTAAGTCCTAAAGGAATAACTCCTCGGACCGAACAGAAGTCCTCCAATAATTTCGATTTGTCCAAAAAAATTAAATCGAGACTTCATGCTCGCCATCAGGGACAAAAACGCAAAGAACCGAAAGCGGAGAAAGCGCCGAAGGCCGAGAAAGTCAAGAAAGAGGCGGTGAAGAAAGAGCCCAAGGATCCGAAGGCGAGCAAACAGGATCCGAAACAGAAGAAACTTGATTTCAAGAAGAAAGTCAAGAAAGAAGACAGTGGCACTGACCTGAGCGATGGAGGGTCGGAGTCTGATTTTGCCATGAGCGATGATGAACCTCAAAAACGCGAGATGCCGCAGAGGAGCCGCGCGAAACCCATCATCGATGCCGACTCGGGAGATGAGGATCAGGAGAACAAAAAGGTACGGAAACCTCGCCACGCCATCCCAATCGACATGATAAATTGATCAACGCTCTGAGAGAGTCACCGTTCTCTCCCAGGAAACGTCGACATCGAAGTCTGCTCGAGTGGTCGAGCAAATCCTGAGCAGCGACGACGAGCTGGTTTCTCTTTCCAAACGAGCTCCCCCGAAGAAAGCGCAGGCGCAAACTTCAAGACGTGAGTCCATTTTTTTTGAGTGAAGCAACCTTAACTAAGCTGCGCATGAATAACTAATTTTGCTCTCGTGTTCCAGCCGTACTTTCGGAGAAGAGTTCCAATGCTCCGAAACGCAAGAAGTTCCATCTCTCGGATTCGGAGAGCGACACAGAGCTCCAAAGGAAGAAACCAATCAAGAAGGCTGCGAGAGCAGCCATATTGTCGGATGATTCGGATTTCTGAGCTGATACGCTCGTGTTGCCGAACTGAACCGAAATCAAATAGCAGAGCTGCCTCCGATATGGATCGCGCGGTCTGATTTGTCCAATAATTCCGCGCTTATCGATATCTCTGGATAGAGATATTTTTAGAATGAGTCCGGTAGTTCCTCTCTGAGCCTCGAGGACGAGGTTCTGCTGTGCGCATCTTATCCAACGCTCGACGAATATAACTTGTTTCTGAGAAAAAAAACATGCGAGCTGCTTTCCGATCTCCGATATCGGAGCGCGACTCCCAGACTCGAGGGATAGTTCGCCCCTCAAGACGAGTCGTATCCAGAAAAGGGACTTCATAAATCCGTCTCTTCGCATCTGAATTGGGATCGAAAAACCGGGTCGTCATTCGTGATCCCTATCCTTTTATTCAGGACAGGACTTTTCTTATTATTTACGCAGGGTGTTTCGCGGATAAAATATAAGCGAAGTTTCGAAATAACTTGCGACGAAAAAATTAATGATTACAATAGATTGCGGGATCATCTCCTCCGATCCCATACTGGTATCAGTCCGCTCCCTGATGAAATGAGCCGTCCGCGTTCTGGCTGAGCTCACCTAATGTGAATCCCAAGTTTCGTACCCAGCCATCAGCGACGATGATGATAGAGAATAATTTGGCTAGTGTGAGTTGAAATGGCCTCCCTGAGCCCCCTCCGGGCTATAACCGTGCGAAAAAGCGACCAAGCGGTCGTTGTCGATGTACTTCCCGGACTTGATGTACACGCAAGCGCCAACGGACACTTTGCGCCTCGGGGTACGCAGCTGGATTTCTTGCAAGGCCGGGCGTGCCGTCGCAATCACTTCCGGGCAATGGTAGACTTTCGTCGCGGAGCTTACACCGCCTGCACAGGGAGGAAAATTGCAGCCGTGAGCTGATGATGGTGAATCAGGTCGAATAATTCAATCTCAAGAATTTTGAATGAGCCTTACATTGGTCTAGCAGATTGAGTTGAACTTTGTGTCGAGTGATCTCGACGACTTTTCCTCGGACCAGCTCTTTCATTAGTTCGATGAGAACTACCTGGTCGATCTTAAGCGAGCGGAAGGGAAGCTCTCTCAAGGATTTTCTGGTCAAGGTTCTCAACATCGCTTGGATACTCTGTCTGTGTGCGAAGTCTAGACCGAGGAACGTCTCCCCGGGTTTCACGATGAGCTGAATCTACGAAGTGGAGGACTGGCGGTAAGGAAGAGATCGGTCGTACACGGAAAAAAATCAGGAGCTCCGGTCCGGTGCGGTAGCAGAGCTTGGATGCGAATACTCACCACGAAATATTGCGGAGAGACTACGTCGGCTGCGAGGAGGTCATCGCTTTGAAGGAGAATGTCCCCGTCGGCGTCAACGATATTCGGACTCGCACAATCTGTTAAGTAGGGCTCCACATAGGAAGCCTCAGAAGCGGGCGGGCTGCCTATCTTCTTCTGGATTGTCTCATCATACATATCCGGGTAGGGGAAGGAGTTTTCTCTAGAGACAGCCGATAGTCGGCTGCTACCAAATCGTCGACATCTCGAATGAGTGATCACGCTCCGTGTGGAACTGTCGGGGTCTCGATCCCTCCAAGAGTACCCTTCGCGTTCCCGATTTCCGAGGATTCCAAACTGTGGGTCCTCGAAGCTTCTGCGACTTCTGACGGATCTGGTATTCCGGCAGCCTTCAGCGGAGACCGCTCTGTTTTCCTTGAAACCCGAATCCGTCACCACAGGAGGCTTGGTGAGGATTTTCTGTATGACTCGGGAAATCTTCGGAGCCTCTGCTAGCGGAACATTCGCGTCTTGGGTTCTGTCGCTTGAATCTAATCTTTCCGATTTCCAGCCGTTTTCGGTCAGAATGCCGTTCGGGGTTATTCCGGGAGTTGCTTCTGCGACTTCGAGAGTTTCGTCGTTCGTCACGTGCCCTGTGCTGTCGAGGCTGTTCTCGGAGACAGCCTTGATGTGGAAGAGCGATTCCGTTTGTTGTTCAACTGCTGCGAGCTGTCCCAGCGATGACGCCGAGGTTTCAGAGGCGACGCATTCGGATGAATTATTGAGCTCGTCACCATCGACAGTGTTCTGGTTCTCCGCCCGCTCCACAGTCGCAGTATAGGATTCCGGCGATCCAGTTGTGATTCCCTCCATCTCAGTACTCTGGGACGCGTCGGAGGTAAATACTGAATTGCAGTCCGTCGATATTTCATCTGAAGTTTGCAGCAACGGGACAACCGCGTCCTCTTGGGCAGGAATTTCGGAAGCGTCGATCTTCGGCGCCGTCATACCGTCGACATGAATCCTCCTCGACTCCAATTGATCTGTCGGGTCGCCGATCAAGTCTGTCCAAGACAAGAACGACAAGAGCGTACCGGAAACGAATCAGAAGGGTATATCATTATAATTCCGTCGGAGACGAAGTGAAAGTTGAGATTTTATTCACAACCAAGGATTCCGACTCGATCGATTGTCCACTCGAACGTATCGACGACTCACCTCGCGCATGAACATCTGCCAGAACGAATCCAGTGTCCCTGTCGAATTCCATCTCGGTCAAAACGAAACGAGAACACCCATAAGGTATGTCCGGAACCTTGCTCCGGGATTCCACGCGGAGCTGCCATGAAGAAAGAAATTGTGTTTCACGTACAATCACGCACGTCCCGAGCTTCTCTTCTCGCATTTCCCCGCCAAAACATTTCGGATGAATTCTCGTTTCCATTGCGGAGCTTCATCTCACCCCGAATGGCGGCAATCTGTCCGCGAGCTCTTGCGGCAGAACCGTGAGACTTGTGTTGAAGCGACTCACGGATATCCCGTAGTCGGGGAGTAGAATTTCGGAAGTGACCTTTCCAGGGCTGGAGACGCGACCTTGAACATCGGAATGAAGGAAGTCTCGATTTTTGAACACGAGCTCGATTCATGTAAATACATACCGAGCTGACTACAGTCCCCCTCCGGTGCGCTGCGATGTCCGCAGCGGGAACGGTGGGAGGACTGGCGGACACCTATATGAATGTCCCTACCTCGTACAGTCTTGTCGTTCCACTGGACGGCGACGAGATCATTCTCCAAGGGATCATCTAACGAGGGCAGACTTTCCAGCTCTGAGAGAACCGCGAGCTCGCATTCTAGTCGAGACAACTCCTCCGCGGGGAACCTCGTCAGCTGTACCCCGAGAATACGGCCTTCGATCCTGACGATGAGAACTTCTTCCCAAGCGTGCAGATCCACGCCTTCGAGCAGAGCTGCGGGAAAAACTCAGTCTCGTGTATTCATCTTTCTCTTTGTCGCCGATCCTCTGTCAGGTGAGTCCCGATAGAAACGGATTCGGAAGGTCTTCGACGAGAGCTCTCTCTCATGGTCACCTACATGTCTGAGTCCGTCCCGAGATCGAGGAGCCTCCCAGAAGGGGCTCGATACGCTCCGAGAAATATTCTCCGGTCGGATTGTACAATGCTTTCATGACTTTGAATCCCGGATCGGGAGCGTCCTCGATAAGTGTGTTTCCATCGCTTTCCGGACGTTCTCCGATCCACAGGTCAGAGTTGATGCAATCTCTCACGGAATTCTGATTGAGAACCTCAGGATCCGCTATCTGGAAGCGGAGCGGGTGGAGTCGATCCAAAAAGAAAGCTTCGGCTCCCGGACTGTGTGCGATTGTTGAACAGAGGTTGTCGATATCATAGAGTGAGCGAATCGAAACCTGTAGACAGGGAAGCGGTCAGTTTGCTCGGATTTCGGAATTTGTGCGTCACAAGAAATCACCGCATATCTGCATTTTCACGGATGTCAACCTTCTCGAGAAATCGACCGACGTCGATGAGAGTCACGGATGCATTCTTCCCGTGGAGTCGCTCGATACGAGCGCGGTACCTGTAGCGAAAACGGCGGAGTGGCATAGCAGCGAAATCCACCCGACAGTATCAATGGTAGTCTTGGCCGCAGTTTCACAATAATTGAATAAATAGCCGAGTCAGGTTCTTCGTCACGGTGCTGAGTGACTCTCTCACCAATTCCCGAAAACTTTGATGAGAACTTTCGAATTAAGAGCGAGACTTCCTGGAGGTACAGGTCGGAGCTCAGACTCACAGAGCTGCGACAATTCCCGATGAACCAGAGCGAGCACTTGGAAATCGTGGATGAACACTGCGACGCTCTTGTTCCACCACACAGTTTTCGTCGTGACGACGAAACGGGTCTGCCGCCTGACCTCATCGGGCACCATATCTGGGGGAATACGAAGGGATCAATTGCGCGGTCACAACGGTGCTCACGAGGTCATGCTGAAGACCCCAACAGCTCAAGCACAGTAGAAGCGGAGGACCGGAGGATATACCGCACCTCCTCGAAGCGTTCCTCCGTTCTCTCGTGGAGGAGTGCGCGTTTCCTCAGAAAGAGACATTCGTTATTCTAGGCGCGATGCGGCAGTTCTTGATCTTGTTCCGACCGTTGGATAGGATCGTAAGCGTCTTTCCGTGAAACAAGAGCGGCTTCGTTCTCTTCGTCGCGGCTCTCAAGACGGAAATTTCTCTTTACAGACACGTGCTCCTCCGCTGTCGTTCGCATTGAACCCATGCACCACCGACTGAGGAAGGAACACGTTTGAATTTTGTTTGTAAAGAGAAAGTGCCGCTTGACGAATTTCGCGTCTGCTCTCACCTGAAACTCGATCGGCGATGACGAGGAGGATGGAAGGTCGCCTTGCGGAAATTGAATTTCTCGATCGATGATTCTCGGTCACGTCGATAAGCTCCGCGGGGTCCGGATCGGGGGCACCCAGACCTGGGGAAAGCGCACTCGACTTCCGACTCGACAGCCTAGAAATGCTGAGTGATGATTGGTCTCCAGCTCAGAAGATTTCTCCTCTCGTTTCCTGGTGTCTGCGTATCGGGACTTCTGGACTTCAATGGACACCATCAGGGAGATTAAAAAGTTCTCATAAAGAGCGACTTCTCCGAGCGACGAAGAGGCTTGAACAGATTCAGCGGGAACTATCAGGCGCGAATGAAAAGGGATCGGCGAAGCCGATCAACCAAGCAGCGGGCGATAGGGCGGAGGCCGCGAATTCTCGACTGGGGAAATGTGAAGCAGGGATAAACGAGTAGATTCTTGAAGATGCGGGGCAGCACAAGGAAACGGTGACGTCTGGAGCCGAGTTAGGTACTTGGACTGAGAGGAATTTCAGCTTTCGTCCGGATTTTCACTAGGGGTCAGCGCTTTTCAACTTATTCCTCAGTCATGTTGTGAAGAACGTTGGCGCGGTCATCAGTGGGCATCATCCGGGGCAGTGCGGGCTGCGATCCCCAGATAGACTCCGAACACCGAAAAACTCGAAACCCCCCTCCCCTAGAAATCTCCCGTCTGAACGCTGAGGGATAATCTATTAGAAGGCGCCCACATTTCGGGCCCTTGTTCACCTCAACGACCGTCACAGAAGAGGAACATCTGACGAGGTCGAGGCGAGCGAAATGAACACGTTATCATGCAGGTCTTTTCGGGTGTGCCATCTGACGAGGGACCTTCTTCTTAGGTACAGGCAGGCAGCCGTTCCTAATTGGTTCGGTTGATATGTCCTTGCCTAACCCAGAACGAGAACTTCCCTCCCGGATATTTCTTTTATCATCAAATTGGGCAACAATTGAACTCGCCCGGAAGTCCGCTCCGTGTAGGCTCATTCGACTCGTGGGGTCGCAGTATGTGAACGGCGGAAAACCTGATAGATCTGATGGAATAATCTGATTGACCCTTACTTCCAAATCGCAGACGAATTTTCCCCAGTTCCAGGCGAACGGATTCTTCGAAGGAAGTAAACAGACGAAACGACAGCTCTTTCCCCGCGCTACAGGATGCCGATCGGGACACGGCCAAAGATTAGGACCGAGCCGATGCGATACCCTCGTCCCGACTTATGAGGGTTTCAAAATTAGATTGGAAATATCGGAAATGAGCGATATTGAGACGGCTGTAATCCCTTGAAACGTATTCAGATGTCAAGAGTGACGTGTTCATCGGGAAGCCCATCCAATTCTCTTCAATTTGAAAAAAAAGCGTCCGATTCGGTAGTCTTTCTAAAAAGTTACGGACCTCCGAAAAAAGAAGAAGTTTTTAGGTTGCTCTATTATTTTGACCGCCACTGTATCTCGGAACCGAGCAGCCAGGGGTTTGCGAGCAGCTTCAGCCCTGATGGACTCATGCTTGCCAATGTGCGTTTAGCCAACTCCAATAACATCGTAGACTAGTCAAATATCAGATCTGGGCTCCGAGATTCGCGAATCGAGCCTTGCCTCGAACAACCCCGATCCGGGCCGGCAAGCCGCAGGGCTCCTTGAGATTGTAGAACTTGCACCTTGACGTGAGTAGAAATACACGCAAGCATCGATGCGAAGCCGGAAGACCCTCGAGACACATTGATTCGAAAGGAAGCACCAACTCGATCGTGGACAATTGATTTTTATTCGTGGTCACCATGGACATTCGTAGGTACAAAATTTTCATCCTTCCAGCGGAGGCTCATGCGGTTGACCGAACAATGATTCCGCTCAGTCACAATTCCAGTCGACGATTACGACGATACCGCACATTCTCTCCAATTCTTATCCGAGTAGTAATGTTGCGCCTTGGAATCGAGTCCGGAGCCAGAATAAGCATCAAAGATTTCTCTCACCACGACTGTATACTCTTTGAACGTGCATCATGGACTGCGATAGCAGTCCCCGTACTAAAACCATTTCTCTGACTCTGTCTCCCACACTTCACGCCCCAGCGTAACTGAAGGCTGTACGACCCCTGTCCTTGATTTCCTCAGTTTTCTCTCTAACCGAGCAAGTTCCCTCATACACCAACTCAAGACTCGAAAGCTATATAATGTAATCAAGCTGGAGGACAATGGGTCCCTCCGCTTGCAGAGTGAGCGAACTCAAGTTTATGACTGGATGTAAAAACGGGAAGCGCGAGCTTATAACACGATCCGAGAAAGACATAAAAAGCGTCGAAAATAGAATATGAAGAGCATTGATTGAATTGCAAACGAAAAACGAAATATTGCGATGCAGGACGCCGTTCCGGATCGCGGGTATACAAGGGTGTATCACGGCAAATTGCGGGTCTGAGATAAGGTCAAGAATAACGCCATCAAGAAGATCCGATCCCTGCTCGATGTGGATATCGGTGAATTTTCTCTCTGGATTATTCGAACGTTCACATTCGAAGACGACACCCTGGGAGCATTGCGGCGCTCTTCGGTTCTATAGGATGGGTATTTGTAGAGTTCGGTGATTCAGATTCTACACTTCTTGGGGTCTAAGGGAGCGAATTCTCGTCGCCATGCTTTTCGACACACAGCCACGTGCCTCGAGCAGGAACGATGTCGCTATGGGTAGCGTGGTGACCTTCGGCCCCCGCGGCCCAATTCACCGCTACCTGCGATCGCACATTCGATCGGGATTGCGAGATTGCTCATTTGGATCGCTAAGAAAATAGGAACTTTCCTCCCTAGTTCGACTCCCCATAAATTTCGAAGATGGACGGTCCGGTAATTCAATTCGTCGGTCAATTAGCCTCTTAGTTCGACGCAACCTCCTCGGATTTCTGCTTGGCAGCTTTTTTCGCCTCCTGGAAACGAGAAGGGTTGCCGTGAGAGGGATCCGGCGCTATGTTATCGTGAGGGAATTCCCGTATCGGTTGAACGCTTTTGGGGTGCGTGAATCTCACCATGAGTCTCTTCCGCGCCTCTTCGCGTTGCTTGTCTCCGCTTGCGCCGTTCCTTGGCCGTAGAGGATTTGGAAGCTTCTTCTTAGCCGGAGACGAAGTACTTCTAGTGGGGGACGAAGACGTGGAGTTCTGTTCTGGTTCTTTCCAATTATTGGCACGCATTTGCTCAATTTCATCGAACGTGTCCAGCATCTGTGGAAGGAGGAATATTTGAGCGAAAAAACATCGAGTATTTAGGAAACACCGCTGCTTTACGGATTCCCCCCACACGGAGGAAAATAGTTCGGGCCATTTACCTGATCTATTTGAATCGTGATCATGTCCCAAAAACCTTCGAGATCACCGCGAGTTGTCGGGAATTCTCCCTCTTTGGGTTCTTGTAGATTTTTCTCACACAGGCCTCGGAATTGGGTGCATTTCTGAGCGATCAGAAGATTGCCTTTACCGATCGCTGCTCTGAGTATTCCGTGGATCTGCGGGGGAAAATGGGGAATTTGTTCCGAAGTTCTCCCCAAGTCTGTTGTTAATTTTGCTCCTCTGATCTCCGAGTTCCCCGAAGGGAGATGGAACGGACGATTACCTCTTCCGAATGTGTGTCCTTGAGATACTCCTCCGTTATTCTGACTCTCTTCCTTATTCGTTCCTCTGCATCATCAAGCATAACAAGAAACTCTCGACCCGCCATAACTCCTTCTGTGTGTGTTTTAGGTGCTAGAGCCTCGGAGTTTTCCCCCGAAGACCGGGATGCTTTCTGGAAGCCCAAACAATCACTTCTGAAAACCGGCAGTGAGTTTGCTGCAGAGCTACCTAGCACCGGCATCGAAATCTGGGAATCCCTTAGAGACTAACCTCCTGATTTTCGTAGGTGGCCTTCTCGTCGAGGGACTCTGCCGAAGCGACCTCGTCGATAGACTCTGGAACTACGGAGAAGATCCGAAATGAACGATAAAGCTCGTGACGAGGAGTTGTCTGAGGATGCTCATTGCCTACATAAAATCGACAATAGCGACACCCCCCCCCCCCGATACTTACTGAGAACCTGCTCTACAACCGTGAAGGTTGTCACGCTCGACGTGACAGAGTGTTGATTTGCGATGTTATCGCCCGCCTGCTCGCTGGACTGGACGGTCGTGGTTATGGTTTCTTTGACCTCTGTCTGCTGTCGCGATTTCTGTTCTTCCGGAACAAGGATTTCGGATCGATCGACCTCGTCGGCACCCTGGGAATCGAATCGACGCTCAAAAAACTAAATCGTGGAGAGTCGATATCCGTCCCAAGGATCGATCCGAGTACGAACCATGATCGAGCCAGGACCGCTATATAATTTTTTGCTCGAGACGACCTACCGCGCTGTCAACCTGTTCCGGTTTCCGGGAGCCTGTCTGCTGATCGAGCTCTGCGAGCGAGTCGTTGCTTCCGAAACTCGTATTCACAATAACAGTCTCAACGATTTGCGGTTGCTCGCACTCGACCTTCAAAGGAAATGATCGATGAGACTTCGAAAATCCCACCGTGGATGAATTCATGAAGCTCCCGCATTTGATTGAGGTGGATTCTGAGAGGTCGAACAAGAACCCTCGGATGACAGGAATCATGCTTCGATTCATCACTGACCGTTGTGTACTGAGGGATGGTCTCCACGTGACTCGCCCGCTCTTCCTCGTCGCGTCGTCTCTGCTCTTCGTCACGCCGACGCTGTTCTTCTTCGATTACCCGTCGCTGCTCAGCTTCGACCTTCTCCTGAGCTCTGCGCTTCTCTTCGGCTTCTTTCAATCTAGAAGGAGATTCGACAGGTCCGATGGTCAGATGGGATCTAGGTGGCCTTGAATACTTGACCCGCGGATGAGATACCGACTTTTCGACTAACCGTAAGCTGAATTGGAGCGCTTTCTGTTTTTCGATCTCCCGCTGTTCTTTGTAGTATTCGTCGGACTTTTTCCGCGACGGTATCTCGAATTTGGGTGGCTTTTTCAACTCCTCCAATGGTTTGATGCCCTCTTTGACGTCCTTCTTCAAAAGTTTCTCTACGAACGCTGTCTTCTCTCGAACGCTACCGGGAAAATTCGAGGGTTTGAGCTCCTCCTTCTCGGGGTCGAACTTCTCCGCGAGCTCCAAGAGACCTTGCTTGTAGCTGAAATGATGAGGACGGATCAGCTGCAGAGCTCCAGAAACTGAAGACCGTCTTAGCCTTCCTCGCTGTCACTAGCGATATTCGGGAATCGATTGTTGGAGTTGATCAGCATCAGCACGGCCGCCGAATCGCAGGGTAAGACGTACTTTGGCTCGTAGGGGTTTCGTTGCAACGGTCCAGCACTTTTCGATCTTTTCTTGAACTCTTCCTTCGTTTTTTCCCCGTATAGTGATTGAATCCTCTGCGCTATCATAGACGGGCGGTCGGTTCCTGTCGAGAATATCGGAATATCGGTCAGTCAATTCCACCTGAATCCATCTCATGGGAGCTTACTCACTATGTCGCGACGTTCTAACAATCGATAAGGGATGAACGCTTCGAACTAACCTCCATTCTGACGCTTTGACGCTGCTTCGAACACGCCCTCGATCCGAATTTCATTCGCGGGTGAGCAGATCGCAGTCTGTGAACGAATTCCGGTTCGAATATTAGTTAAGAAGCGCGATCTATGGCACGGCAAGGAATCGAGACCTCTACGAGTGATATCATTAGGGGCTCGAGACTCCGTCTTGAAAATGTTCGATGGTCGAGGTCGAATAAGTTTTGAGAAGTAATCGAAAACATTCGCGGCTACGATTCCTTTGGGCTCAGTGCCGACACCCGGAGGAATCGCGCATAGCGGATCTTCGCATGCGGTTCCCGACGGCAGTGAACGCGTGAATTTTCGACAGCGAATCTCGTAAATCGAAGATTCCTCCATGGGAACGGAATAAACGGATTCATCCGCCCAAGCAGAATCCCGCGGCCGTAAATCAAGATGCGCGGCGCAGATGATGAAGCGACGATATGCGAGCTGGGACGCAAATGGAAGAGGACTAGCTACATCAGCAAAACGGTCACTCACCACGCTGTGGTAGCTGTTGTTTGTGAGAGCTGTCGCAAAAGGTGCGCCTTCCGCTGGCGGATCTAAGGGCACTCTGCTAACCGGACTGAAGTTTCTGCTCTGCCTCGAGTAATCTGTGTATCCGTAGTTGGTGCAGCTGATGCCGACGTAAGATGGGTCTTTCCTGAAATGGAAGAATAAAGATTCCGGTGACAATGATGGAAACGGATCCATGTCCTGTAGGATCGATAATTTTTTCAACTCTGTCGGGGGAATGCCTCCACGCTTTTGGAATAATTTAAGAATGAAGCGCAAATTTCTGAGTCATCGACCTACGTAGGTCATACTCTACAGTAAAGCTCATTGATCTGAATTTTCAGGTCCGACTGCAACTCGGTAACCGAATGCTTTCAAGGGCCCAATGACTGACTCGGGTCGAGAGTCACACGAGCCGGGACTCCACCCAAAGGGGAGCTCTTGGTCGGTAATTGGGCGCTTGCTGGCTGGCGCGGTCCACTCTCAACCAGAAGAATTTCTCTTTTAGACACCATCTGCTTCGACGACGCTCAAACATGTCGTTTCACCGACCGGTAAACACACCCGCGCACCGAATGCCCAATCCCTGACTGTCTATTTCGACACAGCTTCCGAATTGGGTACGGGCCGGATTCGCACCCTTTCTTCGCGAGCCTATTCTGTCAAGCAGAATATAGTGCGGGAAAAATTCGTGAAACCGAAAACGCACCAAGTCTCGCGAACTGTCAAGAATTTCTGCGATGGCAGATACGACACCTCGCAAGGAGTTTCTGTGAAGACTGGGAACGCCGTGGGACGTACTTCATCTTCTAGGCATCGCCAACTTCGTGAGGATCACCGCGGCGCAGCTGCATCTAATTTTTCACCTTCAATTTGCAAGTATTAACAGCCATGCGATGATTGCCATCCCAAGGTCGACAAGAAAGTTCGTGACCCACACGATGACGCTCAGCTTAGGCGAGAGACGTGCCGCGGTAGGTACCCGACGTGCCTTTCATCGAATCGGGGATCATGATGCCAGTCTTCACATCTACTCCCGAGTCGTCAAGGAGGGGGTGGGAGACAAATCAATTTCGTAGAGCACCCGAGCCGAAGATCGAAATTCGGGAGGTATATTTTTTTCTTATGGATTCAAGAGAATTACTGTGATAAATTGAAGGCTCGTGGAATAACTCTTGCTCTGCAATGATTTCACTCGCTGTCATTGAATCAATTGAGGACAGCGACATTTCCGAACCGATTCCTTTCTGTCTGAGCACGTCATATCTCTGGCTCTCCTGGCTGCGTAGAGGCAGCACGACCCGATGGAGCCTTCCAGTTCTCGCCTCGACTCCACTCGGTGCCTGCACCCGATCGTCTCACGTCATCCAGAGAAAAGTGTTGACACCGCCGCCGTCGAATATACAGAAAATTGCTGACTTGAGTCGCCGCTTCTACCGGAAGAGCAATATTGCTGAGAGCTCTGTGTCTCCCCATCACTGCCTGCATTTCTTTCGATTTCTACTGTTAGTTGTTCCTTGTCTTCTAATATCGCGACCCATTACGCGGACAGGACACATAATCCAGTCACGATACAACGGCTAGTTTCCCGTCAACCCACTGAAGTCTTAATTTGACGCCAACGGGATTTTTGGGCGCAGAGCTCGCGCTTCGATCAGATGCAGTACGAGCCGAGGTCAAGCGATAAATACGGCAGTGAATTTTCAGCATCCTCAATCGGCAATCATCTCCCCTGCGTCGACTGTCCGACGTACTCTTTGTCCTTCCAATCAACGCGCGGCCGCCTTGAAGCTTGTCGACAGCCTGAGAGTCATAGAGAGGCTCCCTGGGAATTCCGTTGCACGCCAAATGATAACAGAACGGAACCGAATCGCGAAAGTCATCAAACAATGCCGTCCGGTATCGGTGGCGATCCTTGAAACGGAAAGTGAGCTCCACAGGCAGAGGAAAACAAGAAGAAGGAGAGTTTCGGGCTGCCCCGAAAACGTCCCGCTCTTTCGGCGTTAGAAAACTTCCGTCTTGCACGTGACGGTTGTTTCTCCGAATAATTTTTCCCACGAACTCCCGAAAACTGTCTCTTCCCCTCCGCGACGACTAGATCGTCGTTCAGAGTCACAAGGACAGGGACAACACCTCCCGAATTAGCGCAGCTTCTCCGCGAGGATCGAGAAGCCGTGATGATAAAATATCGGGGTAGGCCCCTCTGCCGGTCTTCAAAAACGTCAGCGACGTCTACAACAACGAAACTCAAACAAATTCTTTAGCACAGTTTGTCTATCGTTCTTGTTCGTTTGTTCCACACAACGGAGAGAGACGGCCGACGAAACGCTGGCTTCCCGTTCTGGCAAACGATTGCGAAAGGGAGTAGTCAGGAGAGAAAACCCTAACGTTGAGTAACAACAATAAGAACAACACTGTCCGGCTGAACACTGTCCTCATTTAGCGCTTAGGGCGGTGTCACAACTGCGGAGCGTGTCTCGAGCACGGGATCGAACATTTTCCCTCGAGACGACCGAGTGTGTCTCCACATGATCTCCGAGAGGGCTCTCCGCCCGAAAACGGAACTTCCTCGAGGCGCTCGAGAGACACCGCCAAGGAACACGAAACCCGGAAACTTACAGAGCTCTGACATGCTGGAACGCCGAGGCACAGCTTTCGTCCACCGGTCGGGGTGTTTGTGAAGTTTAACGCTCCAGCTCTGACCACACTACCAGTACTGCTAACGCATACGCGGTGCTCCCATACCGGATCGGCCTTACCTGTTCATGTGCGTGGGTTCTTTCGCCGGGCTCTGGCCCACGTCTGCCGAAGACATGCTGCTGTCTGGCAATGGCTGTCACGGCTATTGCCGCCGCTCGCGTATCTGACGTCCGAGCGTACAACAGTACCAAGGATGACGGCGACCGTGTCGGTTCGTCGGTGAGGCTTTTCAGATCGGCGCCGAAAACTACTCCCACATCAAATGCTGGTTTCACCGCACGAGTTGATCAATTGGAACGTTCACGTCTCGGAGCAGTCGACTGTCGTATTATTGTAGGAAGTAGAACGAATAGCTCACACACTCGGCCAGGTCGGCTCAGTCAGTCACTGAATTGGTTGCTCCCGCCTAGTGCTCCTGATGGTCGTCGCGGCTGCTGTTACTGCTGTTGCTCTATGGGGTGTTGGCCTTCTCTCCGCAGTCTGTCCGTCTGTCCATCGGGTAGTTTGCTTCGTCCTTACCGTCTGGTCGTCTGTCTGCTTTGTTATTGTGGTGGTGTGGCTGGCCGCGTGTGTCTGCTAGCGCGACTTCTTTTTCTATGTTGGGATCGCTTCGCCTCACTCGACCTACGATGGAGTAGATGGACGTCGCCACCAAGTGCTACCGCGGTAGGGGGCTGTTGTTAATCGCGGGATTAAGCCTGCGCCCTGGGGGGAGCTTCAATGTTTTTTTCCCACTTGAGTCGGAACTCTTTGGGTCTGAAGCTGAGCGCACCTAGAAACAGAAACCAGATCCTCGCTCCGATGCCGACCTAGGTTTCAGGGAAAGAAGTCCGCATTTCCCCTCGTCTCGACTCCCTCGTCGGTCCCCGGGGCTCACCCGGGGATGGAACCTCAGATGAACTTCCACTGCATGCGCTCGAAGACCGCTTGCGATAGCTATACCTATTGTATCATAGGGAAGCGCAAAATGAAGAAAAGGCGGAATAAGAGAAGAAGGTGACTGCATGAGGGGTGCGAGACGGGAAGATTTCACAGAATTTCCCTTCGTGTCTCAGAATGCTTTGTGCACAGTGGGGCCCTTCCAGGGGAAGGGGTGTAGGCGGTCGAATAACCGCCCCCCCCCCTTTCGGGAGTTTCGACTGCCTATATTCCCGATGTTAAAGAAAACCAGAGTATCGTTCGGCCCCTCCCTCGATGCATTGACCGTCCCTTCGCCTCCCGAAGGATTCCTGAATCCACCCCTGCTCAATGGACTCCGATATGCAGAAGTCTTAACAGTTATCGTTATTATGGTTCGACGAAGCGAGGCCGCACGATCGAAGTGAGTCGCCCCACTTTCCCATATGGGGACTCTCGAGCGAAGAAGCTATTTTCTCGTTGCTTCAAAGAGGTTCCCGATTCTAATAATATTTCCATCTCATTCAATACCTTCGGGGAAAACATTGAGGTGTTACATTGTGTGTAATAATATGTGTGGAAGATAATAATCAAGCAAGGGGACCATGAATGCAGCGAAGTATCCACACAAATTCCGTGATTGCTCGCGGACAAAGATTTACTATGAATGAAGTCTATTTTCCTTGAGGAGCCCAATCGCCAAAATGAAGACCTCCCACCCGAAGATTATGGGCCTGATTCTGAACGACTTTCATCGAGCTGTCTATTCTCGATCGATCACTGCAGGGGGAGTCTTCCCAATCAAAGGTCCTCGAAGCGGTAGGACCAGTCCACGTCGTCGGCGATCTCGAGGGGATCCGTGATCATTTCCTTCGTCGGCGAGTTGCCTGCCTTTATTTCGGCTACTGCTCGACAGAAACCCGGAGAGCAGTACGTGTAGAGATTGGAATGATCTGTCGTGTCCTGGGAGGGGTGGAGAGCGTGCCACCATTGGAGGATGCGTCATTGAATATTTTTTCCTCCTTATCGAATATAGCTTGAGTAAACCCTGAATTGCCCCTCCTCCCTCATGATTACCAATATCTGATGCGGGAATAGAGCAAATCTCCGTCGTTCAGCTTCGGGGGAGCCGACGGGCGAATAACCTGCGTTCGTTCTCGTCATACATCTGTTGATGGTGTGGAAATCCTGAGGAGGAAAAACGGTTGTCGACTTGGATCCCTCATGCTCCCACCGTCTAGGTATGCGAGATCCCGCGCTCGGAGGTTTAGGAGTCGCTCACTTTCAAGAAATCCGCTGTGGCGAGCATTTGCCAATCGAGAGCACAGAAGAAACTGTGAGAGCGGAAGTCGGAGTACGATTTTGAGCAGAGCCGTTCTGTTGATTCGGAAAGCGAAAATTTTAGTGTCCCGACGGCTTCGCGGATTTATAAGCTCCGAGTCGATCGGGACAATGAGGGACGTCCTAGAGGTGAGATTTTGAAGGTTCTGGACCATGTCCGAGCTTCAGCCATGAGTGCGACTCACCGTGCGGCTTCACAGTCAGAAGCTCGGCGACAAACTGTACCAGAGGAGCGCTGAAAGCCCGATCGTTCGGCCACACATACTGCCCGGAATTGATTAGGGTCTTGAGCTCATGCTCCGATCTGAAGTTGTGGAATGGGAGACGTCCTGTGGCCAATTGGAAAGCCGTGACTCCCACGGCCCACCTTGAACAAAATAGAATTTCCTTCGATTCCAAAATGTTAGATCTCCCCAGTTAGCCTGTGCTTATCCCCATGAGGAGGCGAGCTCGTATGAGAATACCGACTACGAACCAGTCCATCGATCGACCGTAGAGGTTGTTCATGTGCGGATTCAAGGGGCAACATTCCGGGGGGAAATAGGGCATGGTACCTGCGACCTCATTGTCGTTGAACTCGAACGCGGTTCTCCAATTGAATGTACTCTGCGCTTTAGCAACGTATTTGCCAATACAGGCCTTCGCGGTATCGAAGTCGATGAGTTTTATGCGGCATCCGTTCATTATTATCATGTTGGCGGGCTGGAGTAGAGAGTTACCCTTGGAGTCGTCAGCACGAAGAAAAGCAATTTCGATGCGCTTGAAAGTTCCCGAGCCCCTCCCGACCCACCTTGATGTCTCGATGAATGAAACCTTTCGAGTGCATGTGCGCGAGTGCATCGCCCAACTGCGCGATGATGATACGAGTGATTTTCTCGGGGAAGTAGACAGCCATGATAAGAACCTTGTTCAGATCACAGCCTTTGATATATTCCATCGAGGTGACGAAGGCTTGTTTCGTCGCGAAACAAGCATAATACTTGACAACGAAAGGATGATTCGCCATACAGGCAACTAGTTTATCCATGCAGGCGTATTTGGGTTCCAAAAGTCGGTCGCACGGCACGAATTTCACGGTGCAAACTACGTTTCCCAAGTAGGCTTTGTACACGGCGCCGAAACCTCCCGCACCCAGCAGTTTATCGAGTTTGAAATACTTCATTTTGGCAGGGACGTACGGAACCGAATGCTGGCTACAGGCGTAGGCTTCTTTCTGGAATAGCTCAGCGACTTTGATCCAATTTGTCGGTTTTACATTGCTGTAGTCTTCCAGCAAAGCCGCGATCTGCTCGATCGCTAGCACTAGTTTCTCCGTTTGGAATCCCAGGATCTTAAACGAATGGAAAAAAAGTTCGAATCTCGAGTCATCCGGTGGCTCTCGACGAGTCTCCCCATCCATAGATCATCAGACGGAGAGTCATGGTTGTCAATTGATTATGTGGATTCCATGAAGGAACGACGCTCGCTTGTCATAGCCTTCCATCCCGGATGGGCTTAAGAGAAGGATGGATGTTTTAGCTCCTGGACCGTAACGCTCTTACCCCTGCAGAGCGAGGATCGTCTCGCTTCGAATACTCCATCAGACCCCAGAGGTTCTCGAGACCTTCCCTCACAACAACATACGTCAAGTCGAAACTTTTAATGCCCCGATTCAGATCGATGGCGAGCAGCTGGACTTGAACTCTGCAGTGATGCTCCCTCGGAAATCGTTTCAGATCCACCTGCCCATTATCTTTCGCGTACACGTGCAGTAATTTTCGTGTATGGAGGGCGACTCTGAATATCGAGATGGCATTGAGTGAAGGATATCGTGCGGCTCCACGGATTTCCGGACCTAATGTATGAAGTCGCCGGATTTCCTACCCGGGTAGGGCCATATCGACCGCTTTCATTAGCGGACCCGTATGCTTCCTGAATTTCTTCGATTTCCTAGCAGGACCCATCGTGGAAACATCCTTGCCAGCATCGTCGATAGCTACGAAAATAAAGACCGACGATGCCCGAATTGAATCGCGTACTAGTTTCCACGATTGCGATTCCTGAGGTGAGAGCTCGGGCAGTGCCGAACTCCGTGTACTCACAGGTTATTGTGTCTAGAGCGGTGTTCTCTGTGTTAATTTCTGTGAGGAGTTCAAAATAATTAGATCGAAATCCGCAGCCCATTTTGATGCATTCAAGCTGCCGCGACGAGGGACCGGGTGAGAAAGTATCCGGGACAGTCGGGAAAGGCGGAAGAAGAGTGATTCTGAGCCTTCAACCAGGCAGTTCTACTCACTGCTGTTTGCGGGTGCCATGGGGCGCTCTGTAAATCGGATTCAAGTCGAGTTACTAATTTAATCATTCCTCGAGGGTGCATCGTACAGTCGAGGAGGGTTCATAGGTTTCCAACGCTACCCACTTGTCAGCATTAGCTCTTTCCGAGTCTCGGTAGACATGATTGTGATCGAACTTTCCCCCTTCCCGGCTAAAACCCCCTTCCGCGAAGCCCGGATTATGGAACGGTAAATAAATGCAGAGCTACTTCGTTTCCATTCATCGAGAAAATACGATAGCGATGTACTTTCAATTCAGTGTCCGAGTCGCGTGCTCGCGAGTCCCGAATGGCATTTTGAGCGAAACGAAAGAGAACCGCGGGAAGTAATCTTGAGTTACTGAATAGAAAAGAGGCTCTCAAATTGATTTCGTCGGGGCCGTGGCATGCTCAGCGGGTCCGACGGCCTGAGTTTGAGGTTCGAAATCCCCGTGATTCTGTCAATCCGCTCTGAGGCTTCCGATGCTCGTTTGATAAGTCGGCTTGAACCGGTTGGCTTCACCGGACCGGAACAGAATTGGACCTCTCATCCAAGTTTCTGATGACTCTACTTCGGGCTGGTCTTCTCGAGCGGTATCTTCCATCTCGGTTTTTCCTCTTCTTGTCTGATATTAAAATTGAATTTATTCCCTGCTCCCCTCCGCTTCTCCCATATGAAGTTTCGAGGGTCTGCGGCGCTATAGAAGATTGTTCCAGGAATGGTTTCAGGGGTTTTACCCGGTTTTCGCCCGGATGGAACGGGGCTTCCTGCGGGACTTCTGGGGAAGTTCATCGGAGCCCCTCCGGAGATTTTTGGAGAGCCCACGGAACGCCGATGGGAAGGCCACGCTCAGAGTAGCATTCGGAGCAACAAGCTTCTGCGCGATGAAGCATCGTTCTACGGTATGCAAGCGATGAGCTCAAGTCGGCCGCGGTGAATTCCAGATGCCCTCTGGGAGGTCTCAATGATGCATGTATCTTCTGTCTGCTGCTTCGTGCAAAATTCGAATTTCTCGATCACTCCACCCGGTAGCTGGATCAGAGGGTCAAAGTATTCTAAGCTTGTTTCAGGTGCTCACGGGCCTTTTCTTCGGTGACCCTCAGGGCTTGGCTCGTCGGTCCCGATCGAAAGATTGGAGTTCCGGTCACTGAGGGATCTCTCGCCGTGCGTTCGTCGCTGTCCGGTTCCATCTATCCAGGCATCAGGTTCCTGGTTCCAACCTTATTAGCCCAGGGCGATCATGCTGCCCGCATTGGTGTTTGGATCAGGAGCTCATCTCAATCACTCAGAGGTCCTACGTCCGCGTCGTCTGGAGGGCCATCCTCGAAGAAGTTCACTGGTCGCAGACCTGGAGGTCCGAGCTCCCTATGAGAAGCCCTGCGAGCTCTCCGATCGAGCACGAGCGGCCTTTGCGATCAGGTTTTATCCTCCGCTCATTGCATATACTTGATTTGCGATGTAATAATTAGGATGGCCTCCACATCCTGCGATGTGAGTCGACAGGGAGAATTTCCGTCGAAGGAGCGGAACTCTCTCTGCGGTGTCGTGACAGTCACCGTAGAAACACAACACGGAACATGCCGCGCGATTTTTTGGTCGAGTTGAAACCGCCGTCCCGTCGGTTCGGTCTAGGGTGACTGCGTTGAGATGACCTCTAATACGGAACCGAAGACGTACGAATCTGTTCCAGCTACGATTTCCCTGCTTTTCAGACCCATGGACGGACGATATGACCGCTGAGTCCCCCTCCACGGATCGCGCAATCCAGATACCTAAGGATACCCAGGAGGGTCTCGATTCTCTGGTCCCGGAAGAGCGTAGACCTTGAGACTCAGTATTGCGGAATACCTGGTCGCGATGTTCTACTCGCAAACAGAGACAGGAGTCCATGGTTCCGACTTCGGCATCGTCTCGTACAGAAGCTATTTCAACCGATTCGACATCTAATCCCATACTCCACTCTCAGATCCCCGAGATGACGACGGAATGTTCAGGAGGAATCCAGAGACCATGAGAGAATTTGTGACTGCAGTCTTCTTCGGAAGGTTTCGCATCGTATGCCTCGGCCGGGAGCCATGACTAGTCTGCCCAGGGAGACATCGGAGGAAAATCGACTCGCGGCGGTTCATGGAATCCCCGGTGCATTTTTCGATCTACGCTCAAACCGATCATGAATAGCCAACACGCCGATGTGAGAGAAAGAAGAGGGGCCGACGAGCGGGAAGGCGGGCGGTTTGACGAGCCCTCACGCAGTCTAGGTGAGTGACTGATACAGCAAGAATGGATGCACTAAACACCGAGACCCTCTCTCCGAAGATCTCCTCTCAGGAATTGTGCCTCTCGCGTGAACTCGTGTCTCGTCGACACGCTCGTCAGCTTGCTGATACGGACACCTGGTTTGGGTAGTGGAGACGACGGTAGGTGTACTGCTTGGAAGCATCGATCTCGTAGCAGGTGAGCCCCCCAGGAGCGTGTTCGGAGAAGGGCGCCTGGAGTTTCCAGAGCGGGAGTCCAAACACTGACTAACTCGAGTTCGTACGGCAAATGCTTTGGATAGTGGTTAGATTGGAATCGTCGGAACGTTCGCCCGCGGCAGTCGCGATTACGTGGTACCTCAAGTTGGATGGAACATTATTCATGTCAATCCCGCATAGATATGATGAATGATGAGCTAGCCGAGTCGCATTCGGTCTGCCGTATTCATCATGAGAAAAACGACGAATGCGTCTGATTACGGACATAGTCGACCGGAAAAGGCAACGCCAGTCGGAAATTATCAGTGAGGCCGCGAGGAATCATCGAGGAGCCCTACATCTGAAGGCCCCGCGGGTCAATATGAGTTCGTTGAAGTGAGTAGATTTTATGCTCGGCTGACTTAGTCTGATGAAAGGTAGGCTCGCGCCTCGATCCCGGTGGGTGACCTCCGCATCGAATCAGCTCACGAGCCCACTACATTCCGATTCAGCGACCAATCCGATTGCTTGAGCTGAACGGGAGAGTCAAATAAGCTGCTTATCCGGCTCCATCTCCGGAGCGGGAGTCTATCCGGGGGAAATACCCTTTTTGCGGAAACCGTGCTCGATGAACAGACACGCATATCGCACGGGGGCGTTCATGGGGAAACAACCCAGTCTTGTGCATCTCTACAGCTGATGCGCGGGGAATGATTCGATCATTGCGCGGGATATCAGCATATTCTTCAAAGTATTTGCGTCGTACCCCACCTGTGGGATTGAATCCTAAGATCGGGACCGAAGACGAAGCAGGCACATCCCTTCCATTCACGTGATTCTGCAGGCGTACTTGCCATCCGGATCGAGCCCGTTCGAGATGGATATTTGAGAAACTCTCGACGGAGTTTTATCGGAGCCATCGCGTTATGAGCGCTCACTGGTCACGATCTGGCACGAGTTCATCGCCGAGAATTAAGATCTCCGAGCAGTCTTTTCAAATTATCAATTAATTTCTTAAGTAACTTATAGTTGAGCACGGAAAGCAGAGTTGACGCAGAAATGGCGATGGTCATTCGATTAGACAGAGCAATATGAATGGAGTAGGTACTTCGGATATCCGGCGACTGGTTCGAAGAAGCGCACGATACGATGCTCCGGTAAACCCATGAAGATATGCGCGCTGGAAGGATTTTCCGCGCCGAATCAACCTTTTGATAATCAGAACCAGCTCTGTAACAGGTCGCGAAGCTCGATGACTTAAACTTTCCGGGGACTGTGGAAGCCTGGGGAGCTCCGAGCGGGGGGAGCAGCGGATTTTCCGCGACGAACAACTCGGGCTTCGTCTGAGAGGAACCTCGTTCTTCGAGGAACTCTCCCGTCATAGTGGCTGCCCGCTTCCCTATTCGATGCGAACGCCGCATCCTTTTCACTCACCAACGTGCTCATGGGATCTCACTGATAATGTTCTTATTATTCCCCCTCAGAGTCATACCGAGGAGGAACTTGTCCTCTTGGGCATCGCCTTCAGTCCCGACAACGAGCGAAATGGTTTTCGATAAACTGAGGATTCAGAAGCCATGGCTCAGAGAATTTTTGTCAGAATTCATGGGAACCTTCGTCGTCATGGTAAGTGAGAATCCCCCAATCGACGTGATCGAGCATTCCGTGAAATTCATCGATTCGATTTTCCATCTCGGGTGTCATTCGGACCTTCGATTCTATTCAACACGCTGGCGCTTATATCGACTCGCGACTATGGTGATTCTTTCGCTCGATTGACGAAAACAGAGCATCGAAAGAAGATACTTGATTCTACAGCTATTCGTGGCAATCTACTTCTACTCGGCTTCGGCACAGTCGATGTTTGTAATGAGACAGTCGGGAGTTTTTCTCGAGTCCACTAGTCTGCCTCTCGGCGGCATTCCTTTGTGCCGTGCTCGCGACTCTGGAGATCGTAGGTTATCTGAGTCTTAATTATTCATCGTAGAAGACCTTTCTCGCGCTGTAGACTGAATGAGTCGTTCGAGCTGACACATACAATTTTTATTCGCGGAGATCGATTCTCCATCTTTCCAATACGGAATCGATCAATCGTGGCAAGCTCGAAGCAAGCGAATACTTTTGTGGAAAGGCTCGAGAGCGCGAGATTTCCTAGCTGGAAAAGACCGTCGAGGAGTTGATTGGTTCCACTTTAAGCTCGGAGCAAGACTTTTCCACGAAGTTCGTTTGCTCACGCTTCCACGTGACAGTTTCTCCGCGCGCGATTCGGGAGCGATTCGCGCCACTGTTCTCCAATCATTGCCCTATCCGTCACCATTTCGCATGATACAGACACCCGACTGAGGTGACAGCCGTGGAGAGCACAGCAAATTAGGTAGCGCTCATTCGAGTTCCGCACGGGACGATTGAATTCTCGACGGAACTCCTAGATGGCTTTCGATTCAATTCATGCAGTGACACAGAAGGAATTTCCGTTGACAAGTCCATTGAATGCGCTTTCGAGCTTTTGTCACATTTTCGGCGATCTTTCTCGATCAAGAGAAAAGGGAAGTCCAGCCCCAGATTCCGAAAAGCTGGCTTTCTTCAAGAACTAGAGACAGGTCAGTACACCCGACGCTCAGTCCTGTTCGTTCGTCGAGTCGGAGATTGCCAAGGTTGCTCCGGGAGCTCGGGAGATCGAGAGCTTTCTCGCTTCACTCCAAACACTAATCCGACGAGATCCATCCTGTCAAAGTGAAAAATATTCGGTCCTCTGTCCTGGAAACTCAGTTGGAACTTCATTTCAAAGTTGATCTTAATTTCAAATTATCCTTCATCATTGATTTCGCAATCAAAGCGCTACGGGTTCTCTGCTCCGCGAGCACACGCGAGCGCCGGCGCCGTCTCTATCAGAGGAGCGAAAGAGTATCCACAAGAACGCTGCCGCAAAAGACACGAATCCACTCCAGAACTGTGCTTCGGGATATCCCATTAACGTCCTCTCGAATAGAGCAGATAGACGAACGAGCATCGAGTGGGCACGAATTTCCCGACTCTCCCTTCGAGAAGAAACATTGGGACGTCCCACAGGTTCCGCATTGCGCCTATCGAAGATTCCTTGAAACGTGCGGTCGATGTCTCAGTCCGAGAAAGGTACTCGGCTCTCAGTGACGGTCATAAGATCATGACCAAACAGCTGAGCCATAAATGTGGGTATTCGGAGATGAGCCGAGAAGAAAGTTCCTCTGAGTTAAGGAACGGTTACCGGTTGAGGCCAAGACTTATCGCTCCTTCAGGACGCTCTAACACGACACCTTTCGAGGCATCGAGTGCCTTCCATCTCTTGCGCGTGCTCGCATCCGCATAAAGTAAACATCTTATCACTAACGACGCTATTACACACTGATTTCGCTCCTCACAGTCGAGTGCAACGTGATATCATGGGAATTATCCACTCGGCCAGTCATTTCGCTCGAATATCCATGAGAGAATTTTCATCGACTTATGCCCCGAAGCAACTTTGTGAACCGCAGTATTTTCTCATCTGAACAAGAGAAGCGATGACCTCAAACGACATGTCACGACCCTACTTGTAGTGAGCACGCTCTATCTTCATCTGATTCTACCTCTCGAAGTCGGCAAACTCAGCTCTCGAAAGCTTTTGTCGAAAGCACCATCACGGTTGCAACCATTGAGAGACAGCCTGGAAGCCTTGAGTGCGAGACTGGGGAAGCCCGTCAGGGAAGCTGCGGCTGTCGCGCAGGGCAGCGGCTTGACAGTTGTTTGATGACAACAAAAATACAGGCGACCTCTCTGCGTAATTCTTTCCCATCAGTCACGTACACCCGAGAAGGCTTTGTCACGCTTTTATGTCTTCCTAGGACCGTTTTCGCCCGAATTCCCAAATGTCAACCGAAGAGCGAAACGGACCGAACTCGATACGCTCATCCATTTGGACCGCTTACCGTCTCACACATTTATCTCATAGCTCTCTGAGGGCGCTGGTATGCGGAGGAATCCTACATATGATCTCTGCCTCGTCCGTCGAGCGGTAAAGACGGAAACGGATGGCGGGATGGCCGTGCAAGACTTGAGAAAAAAAAACTTGAGTTGATACCATGCCGGTCCCGGAGCTCCGCAAAGCTATCCCAAATCGGGCCGCGGCGTCCTCCTATGATGCGAAAACGCCGTTGCATAAATCCATGGACTGAGGACCTTCCATTCGTTCTCAGAGAACTGTTCGTCCTGAGATTTGGGTTGTCATCCCTGAAAGAAGCATTGTAAGGGAGAATATCGCTTACAGATGATAGGTAACAGTGCCATGGCTCACATGCTCCTGAAGGGACAACATGACTTATTTGCCGTAACGTTCGCGTGGGGTATCGCTGTCATGATGGGCATGCTCATCGGTGCATCAAACTCGGGCAAGTTACCAAGGAAACCTCTGAAGTATATCAAGAGCATGCCTGCGGAACAAATGATGAGATGCCCGACTTTTTCAGGCGGTCACGTCAATCCCATGGTGTCGATCGGATTCGCCAGTATCGGCTTGCTCCCGTGGTCCAAAGTTCCCCACTATGTTGCCGGGCAATTGTTCGGTGAGTCGATGAAGCTACTCATCGCTCTTTTTCTGGTTTCCTCCATGTCCAGCCCTGAGGTGGGCTCTTTCGTTCGCAGGTGCTTTCACATCCTGCTTTCCCCTGTATTTGAATTATCGAGACTTGCTGCATCACTTCGATAATGGCACCCGACAAATACTCGGCGAGAAGGGTTCAGGGATTCTCTGGACGACTTTCCCGGACCCCAACGTCTCGATGACGACGTGCGTGCTCGACACTGTGAGTTGCCATTTTTTTGTTCGACCGTTTCTTCTTTCGTGCATTTCTCGGATCCAATGAACTTGAGCAAGGGATCAGGTTCGAAACGGGCAGCGAATGCAGAAAGCACTCCGCTCGAGTCGTCTATCTTGAGGGTCGAGACCACCTAATTGGATAAACAAAGTCGGATTGCGTCGACAGGGCTGTTGAGAGGGATTTTTATTGAGGCCGGCTCGTGCTTTCCATGAACCTCCTGATGGAGCTTTGAGGCTTCTATGGAATATCCTGGGAAGCGAGCTCCATACAGATTGAGTGGTGAGATATATCTGGTGAACACACGTATTAACTAAATCTTGACGAATTCCGTAGATTATCTGCACTTCAATTATCATGTTCGGTATACTTGCGATCGTTGATAAGAACAACGCTGCCGTTCCCGGATATCTTCACAGGTAAGTCAATCCTGCCCCGGGCTGCCGACGAATGGCATCTCGTTTCTTTCTCCTACGATTAGACGTTTTTCTCTCTCTTATCACGCCTTATGTCGAATTCCATTCATTGGAAAGCTAGGCTCTAAGTGCATCGATCGAAAGAAGTACTGAGTCGCATTCGGGGTCTCCGACCTCTGCGTCTTCCATTCTTTGCAGTTTCTATGTCTCTCTTCTGGTCATGACTGTCGTGTGGACCATGGGTTCGAACTGCATGTGCGCCATCAATCCTGCTAGAGATTTCGCTCCTCGAATCTTCGCTGTCATGGTGGGCTACGGAGACGCTTTCAGGTGAGAATTCGCGGGATAGATCCGAAGAGAGAAAACCCTGGGCTTGAAGCGTACCATTTAGTAGGAAAGAAGACTCGTAGGTTCTGGCTGAAAGTGTCAAAAAGTCAATTCAGTCGATTTAGTAACGATTTTTGCAGTCATCGAGGCTTCTGGTGGATTCCTTTAGTCATGCCTGTCATCGGCGGAATCATCGGATGTTACGCTTACGAATTGACCATAGGGAATCACGTTCCGGCAAAACAGAAAGGCGCTGGAAGCGAGACCAAAGAGCTGGATGTTTTGAATGAGAAGGACGCCAAGAAGGAACTACCGAAGAGAGATGAGTCCACGCCGATGGTCTAGAGGATTCCCTCTCTGCCAAAGCCTTGCGTGAAATTGGTCGGAAAGTAATCTGCAGTGTGACTCCAATATGGACGAATGGGGTTTTAAGGATGTCTGGTGGCCGAGGACGATCATGCCTGCGCGTCGAAGTCACTCCGACGACGGAAGACAGTGTCTGCGACGCTGTGCGAGCATTCCCCGGACTGTTTCATTTTTAGTAAATTGTGCTCATTATATATCTCTGATTTTATCCGGAGTCTCGTGCCCGGACCCACGAGCTATCCCTATAGGGACTCATCCATGTGTCTACCGAATCTGTTGTAGGTGAACCAATTATACCACTCCGTGAAGATTTCCTCAATGCAAACCCGATTTGATTTCCGAATCGAAAGGATAGCAAAAATATTCGAGTCTATTTTTAGAATAAAAAATTGTACTCCAGAGCGTCTCACAGCCGTACACTGCTAGGCGTACGAAGGTGAATCATGCGCCGTTTTCCGCGAACGGAAGCTTTTTGGAGTGGCTGCGCAGCACACATAGTAGATTTTCAACAAACTCGATGACCGGCCTTTTTTCCATCTTCAATCCGATTGAGCCCCCAGCGTTCCGAACGAAATAGATGCGTGCTCCACAGAAAATTCTCATGAGGTCGACAATCCTTCTCGTATCCTCTCCTCGGGGAGTTCTGCGCGGACTCCAGCTTTCGACTTCCCCCAGTCCTTTCTGATCGTATTGGAATGACTCACTCAATTCGGAGGGGAAGGAATGGATGTACAGCTCTTATGAACAGTTGGGAATACCCATGGAAATTTATCATCTCCGAATCTGGAAGAATGCGAGCGCATGTGTTCTCCGGGAATTTCTCCGAGAAGCCGAATGTGTGGAGAAGACAGCGCTAGAAGATTCCCCAAAGCCCGTGAAGCCGGTCATTATGAGTTGAAGCTCTCTGCTTGCTAGACACGAGGCGGATTTTGCGTCCTTCCTTAGAGGGAGACGGTGAAAACGAATTCACGGAGAAGATCTGGAACGGAGGGATTACGGAAGCCCCGAGACGTCCTCCTCTGATTTTCTCCATGAAGACATGCGTTCTCACTTCGTTCCTGGAACAGCATCGGATTTGGCGATCAAACGATCGACTGCCTTCTCGGCCAGCGCGGATATCATCGCGAGCATGTGTCCACTAGTCGGGTATGGAACGACCGAGCCATCTGCGACCATGAGGTTTTGAGCTCCGATAACGTTGAAGTTTTCGTCGACGACGGCGAGTGGATCATCTGCCTTCCCGAGACGACACGTACCCGCCATATGCCATGCCGTACGGATGTACGGGACTGCTTGACAAGTTCCGTATTCGATCGAGTCCCGGTCCCGAATATTCTCGCATTCGGGGAAGGTTTCGTCTACGAACTTTCCGCTCAGTCCGCCGAAGGCTTCATTCGTGATATTCTTGACCATTTGCCACAATTCACCGAAAAGTTTCATGTCCCTTTCGTTCTTCGTGGGGTCGAGGTCGATAATGGGTTTGTCCAAGGGACTGGCCGAAGTGAGAGTGATCTGACCTCTGTATTCCGGATGGAGGAGGGTCGGCGTCAAGAGGAGGCATTCGGTCTGTTTGTTGTATATATTGATTTTCGACCTGTCCTTGCGCTCCGGCCTGCCTGCTTGATAGAACATTTCCAAGCCTTCCTGTGTTATCCCGTCGGCGTAGTAGTGGTTAGCAGTCAGAGGAGTGTTCTGACCGATAAACTGTAGGATCAGCTCGAAGTCGGGCTGGCATGTTTCCGCATCGTTGGGATCGGGACAGGTCGTGAGGTTTTCCATTCGTGATCTGAAGAATCCCACGCTTTCTACTCCGAAACTCGTCCCCAGCGGTCCTGAGCCATCCTGAATGAATTGGAACACCCTTTGGAGACTGAGATCCTCGTAGCCTTTCGTGGGTTCTGAGAAGCAAACGGTCGCTTTCCCGATATCGTAGTGATCGTGCAGATTCTGACCCACGCCTTCGCGGATTACGACAGGTTCGACTTTGAGTTTTTCGAGCACAGGTTTCGGACCCACTCCGGAAAGGATCAGCAGTTGAGGCGATCTCACCGCTCCAGCAGAGAGGATCACAGCTTTATTCGCAAAAGCCGATAATTGCTTCGGTTCGAAGAACGAGTGAGCGACGGAGATGAATTGCACACCGTTAGCTTTGGGAGGCTGAACCGATGTGTCGAAAAGAATCTTCTGCACCATATGCTCGGTGAGAATGTGGAGCTTCTCCGGTACGTCTCCTTCGAAGAAGGCTCGCGTCGGCGTGCTGATGTACGAGGTATTGCGCCGATGTTCCACAGCGGTAATTATCTTCCCGAATCCCAGAGCGTTGCTGTTATGGTCTTCGACGATTGCAGTTTGCGTCACTCTGGCCGCAGTCTCTTCGAACAAGTTCTGCAGTCTCGCGAAAGGTGACCAAGTGGGAGAGAATCTGACCTGAATCTCGCCCTCGCGTCCGTACGCGAAATCGGTGCCGTTGATTTCCGTCGCAGCGTCCTCATGTTTCTCCCCGAACTTCCTCAGATTCGCGTAGTCGAAGTCCGGACTCAGATTGTACAGATCTTTCCACGACCTGTAGTCCCCTTTCTTACCATAAGACCACATCTGAGCGCTTAGTACGGCGGAGCCGCCCAAATCTGTGCCGGAACTGTATCGAGGGGTATGGTTCCTCCAATGCGTTTGCGGAATGTACGGTCCGTCGTAAGAAAAGTCGTGTTCGGGATTGCCGTGCAACAGAGCGTTGAACAGCGGAACCCTCGGAAGGGCGTTGGGCAGAGAGCCCGGCCCATGTATGAGGAGCGTCGTATAGTTAGCGGCGGCCAAACGCTTCGACATCAGGCATCCTGCGATGCCGCCACCGATGACGATGTAGTCATATGATTCGAGGAGCATCGATGGACTCACGAGGGGAATGTCCTGGTTGTAGAAGTCCGGAGTACGTCCGTTTAGAGTGCTCAAAAAGGCGACAACAACGTTGAGTAGCTGCCCACCGTAGGTCGGAAGGAAGGACGCGCTGAGTTTCACAAGCGTCGTGAAATAGGGTTGAACGAGCAGCTGGAACGCCGCGAAATCCAGATGATCGAACAACGACCTACGAAGGAAAGGGAACCATGAAACGTTTGATACGATATTTTCCCCGATCTCCAATATCTTGTTCCCTCGGTAAATCCCGGACTACGAAACCCCATCGCAGCTGGAATTTCTACTCCCGAAAAAAATCCCCGGGGTTCCCGAGTCAGGGACTCAGGTGGTTTGTGGGCGTAGAACTACGTGAACACGGAACACGTAGTTCCGTGAGTTCGAAGATCTGCGAAAGATTTCCGATACTACCCTCCGGTCGACGAAGGATATCACGAGATTTCCTCTGGCCGTTGTTCAAAAGACGCTTTTTTAGTTTGAGGAAAACGAGATCAGAGAACTCAACTGCGGGAACAGGATTCGGTCGGTAGCAACCTTCGAAGACTTCGGCAAATTTTCTAATCTCAGAAATGTTGACGAATGACATCAAAATCTACTTATAACTCAACCGACAAACTTCAATCGAATATACGGTCCGATATCTGCACCGAGTGCGGCGTCGTTTTCCGCTTGGCAACCCGCAATTCGGACGGCAACCGGTACGTGACCGAGTGCCACACTTCCTCGTGGAGGATATAAGGATTGGAGAACATCGCGACTATGCGTATGAAAGGTACATTTAGATTCCATGACCATGTCCGCCTAGGAGAAACGCTGCTACATGATGTGCTCTCCCGATGAGATCTCATATTGCCGATCTCAAGGAACAATCATTGCATGTCCGATGGAGGATTTTTCGAGTATCGCGAGGCCGCGCATCCGCATCTAGACGATGATGGGGATGAATTAGTTGAAGACTAATAAAATTAGGTTCTTAATGGAATGTCGAAACCTTAGAATGATCATGATTCGGCATTGTAAGGATGGATTCCCTTATCCTCCTTTTCGAGACCATCACTGGGCGGCGGCACTCAAAAAAGAGCTCTTCATTCTGGAATGATTTGTCCCAAGGCGATAGACACACGTTCATTCATTAACAATGCTGCGACAGGACGACAGCACCGTTTAAAAAGTTTATCGTTGGGTGAACCACTCCCTCCCAACCGTCCGCTAAGCCGTACGGCCCGCCGTGGCTAGATTCTCTTAGCACCACGTTGCGTCCTGCCTGATAGGAAATTTCCTGAGGACCACTTCGGTTGAAGTGAACTACGACTTCTCGCCCTCGTTCGTTACGGGAATCTGCTTCGTATCGCTTGTCTGAACACTGTTTGTTTTCTTTTGTCGGGATTATGGCTGACGATGTATTAGGCGCAACTCGTTCTTTTTCTTTACGGAGTCCGGCATCCTTAGCTTGCTAGTCAGAAGGTTCTCCGCCAGTGTCCTTCCACGACCATTGACATCGACCAATGAGGAAAGGAAACGCATGAATGTAGTAGCCAAGGCTAGAATGAACGACGAGAGTCCATTCTCATAAGAGGAGATATGAAATGAAGAACGCGCGCACATCGTTTTCCGCTGTCATTATACAACCTCAACCGGAGGTGTTAGTTGTCTTCAACATCGTCGCGGGGTGGAGGAAGAATTGAGGAAAGTTTCAACGATTAATTTAGCAAAAACTGAGGCGATCTTCAAGGAATAGATCCATCTCTAGCGGAGGAGAGATTCTCCGCCAAATATAAATTAAAGTCAGAAAGAGGGAATTTCTGGGCCCATCAATCGACATAGCGTTTCCAGAACAGTTGATTAGGACTAATCAAGGTATGCTGAGGGTTTCTTGCCCTCAGTTTTTTCAGCCTCCGAGTCTTCGTTCCGACGTTCTGCGAGAACGAGCCTACTTCTTGGCCTGTATTTTATGAAATTATAAAGATAAGGGGGAAACTGTGAAGCATGAACGGTGCCTCATTCTCAGCCGGACATATTCAGCCATCACCATTTTCATTGTCAAACGCTCTGTTTCAGAGAAATAAGCTCGACAAGTTTGTTACACAGGTGACTCGCATAGAAAAAGTGCGTAAGCCTCTAGCAGACGACCCCAGCACATACGCATGCTATTTCCGAAATTCTAATTTTTTCGAGCTTTGGCCCCCCAATACTCCCCATTGAAGTTGGTGCCCGTTACCGGGGGCTATAGCGTAGTTCTACGCTAAAAACATTGTGATTGAGAAGTAGAAACATCGATCCACGGCAACCCTTCTCGATCCCGCATCCGCGACTCCCGGCCAGGGAAATCACGAGAGATGTCAGGTAGGGAAGCTGGGACTCTAACAGTTGCGAGTAATCGCCCGATGTATGTCGAATTCCCAAATTATTCTGCAAAACTTCCCACCAGCCTCGTTGTGAGAGGCGGTCTCGACGAAACTCTTAACCTGCGTGACTTGCCTTCGGAATCCCCAGCACAGCGGATGCCCTCCGGCTTCAACGCAAATGAGGCATTGTCGGAGTATAACTCACATGTTTTCTGTTGTATCACGGACTTCCCGAAGGAAGGGAGATGCTACCAGGTCTCGTCCGCTGGACCTCACTGAGGACGGGCTGGCCCGAAAAAGAGTTGCTCAGCAATGAAGGATCTTCTCATCCGGAAAGCCGAGCATCGGGACAGAGTCATAAATATTTTGGATAGGCATCGAGACTTCTTATTTTAGCCTGAGATAGAACTTCAGCCCGATGGAACAGCGATAGATATGATTGAGCTAAAAGCACGGAGAGAAGACGGATCTCTGATGAGCGATCCTGATGTCCCAAGGGTTGGGATTACGGGAGCAGCTTCATACATCCGGTGCTTCGCATGCATCTCGTCAGGGGGAAGTTGTGCGACATGATACGCTTCGCGTTTGAATCTCGGAACGATGGACGAGCGTGCTTCAAAAAGAGAATTTCCTCCTCTTGTATCTGTCGGAATCACCGTCCTGCAATCTTCGAAAAATGGCTTCCGAGTGGCTTGTAAATTTCATTTCCCTCGGCGAATGCGTCGGCCCGAGGTAGGAATGGGGTGAGCTTACATTGGAATACGACACTCAACCTTGATCGTATAAACATTCTCGAGATCGGTCCCTATATTTCCTGTAACCGAATACCGCCTAGGTCGTAATTTACAACCCATCCGATAGACGCACAAGTTTCACTTTGGTTCGATGATCTGGATTGTCCGCTCAAGAGAGGGAATGGCCTCCGTGTGGAGATACTAATAGCGAAGGTACCTCAGCTGCCTTGGATGGAGATTTTAGAGCTAACATCGTGTCCTCAGGATGTCCAAGACAATCACAGGATCCGACGGAACAGGAAGCATCGAGGAGATTGACTTACTCTCGTCCCGCGACAAGGATCGAATTTGCGTTCAGAGACCCCTGCCGGTGATAGCCTTCCCCCGTGCAAATCCTGCTCATCCTGGAACGCGATTCAGCATCCCTCACGACTTCCCACTACCATCGCGGTAGTCCAAGGGATCGGTGAGTCTAAAACGCTGGCTTCTCTTCGTAGACACCGGAGTCCGAATGGAAGAATGGCGTTTGCTCCACTGTTTTCCCTTAGAGTCCAGCATGTGCGAGCGCGGGAAGCAGCGCCAATAACTATTGTTCTTGATTGATTGTTTACGAGTTGTTGTTGTTATTATTATATTATAATTCATAATTTTCTTCCCGGCACCGCGAGAAGAAGCCCCGCTCTGAAGGCCCTGGCACTCATTCCGACATGCAGCAGCATTATATCTGCTGGGTACTCGTCTCGCCCGTCCCAGTAGCGTTTGCAGGGTTTTTTTCGGGGGCCAGACTAGGTTTTTAAGGGCCAGAGGTCCAAAATGATGAGAGAGCTTGTAGTCATGCACTACAAAAAAAAATTGGGGGAGTAGCCCCCTCCCTCCTGGGTACGCCTCTGATCGCTCCCAGGAGACCTAAACTCCGGACTTCGGTGAGACTCTGACCAAATTGGATCAGAGGATTCGACGTTTCATGGTGAGGGGAGTGTTGATGTCTCTTTGTGTGTACTATCCGCTGCGCTGACCCTCACTCAGTCCCGCGGAGGCCACCTTGATCAGAGCGAATATGGGCGACTCTTCCGAGTTGTCATCACATGGAAGCTCCCAGGACGTCTCGAGAGCTTTGAGATAGGCTTACCCGAGAAATAATGGATTTGCGTTCGTTTTACACAGCGTTCTCATATCATTTATTTATTTATTTACATAGCACGAGTTGTTCACCCAAGTCTGAAAACTCAGCTCCTCTCGAGCTCGACAGACGATAACTGGGGTCGAAGGTCACAACGCCACCTTCGTCTCGTACACTGAAATCAAGGATCTATTGTCCCCCTATAAAAATTCTCATTCAATCACTAAAGAACTGGATGTCTCCTCTCGTGATACGAGTCGCTGACTACGGAAATGTGTACTGATTAAAGTTATCGTTTTCGATATTACATCTGCCATTATTATCATCATCATCCTCATATAATTGCTCTATTCAACCTATTACAAACCGACATCCGGTTCAATTATTGTACAAAAGTCTACAAAAACGGACTCATGATCCAGGACATTAGACATACGCCACACAATGAGCTCTCAGCACGTCTCACTCTCGCTTTGTCATAAGAAACATCCAATTGCGAGCGTCGTAGCTATCTCCGAACCGAAGGTCTAACAGGAATTGAAATTTCCGAGGATCTGGCGATCCATCCATTTGGATACATACCTCTTCCGTATTGCTCCAACATTCTCTTCAGCCCGACTGAGCTCATCGTGACTCGCAGGATTTCAATTTGCTCCGACGGGGAGAAAACAAATGAGAACAAAGAGGTAGTCTTTCTGGATTAATCCAGCGGCATCCGCTGGAATATTCCGCGACCTCTCTCGACGCCATCCGATGCGAAATGCGTGGCGAAAACAATCCCGAGTACAAGTCAGTCAGGTGATTTCTGAGGGAAGAGCTCGAGTCACCGGTATTCGACGATCGAGCCAAAACATGGAGGGAATATCAAGGGAATCGTTATCGGAAAGCGAATTCTTTGAGTTCGCTCGAGGCGTGGACGCGGTGATTGGAATCGAGCCAGAAAGACCGCGAAAACGTGCCTAGAAGGCTACGGCTCAAGCCTCGATGCCCGATTCCTCTCCCCGTTTTTTTCCATATCCCCGCGGTGAAAATCTCTTTAGAGAGTCGGATGCAGAATAATGGGGAGAGATTCTGATGGACAGCATGCGGAACGACTACCTTACCGAAATTACGGGAATCACTATGAATTAGTTGCTCGAGATGAAAAAAATTATCACTCAGACGGATTCGTCCCCTCCCTGATGCTATCGTCGCATTATCGTATTGAGGTACCCGTAAGCAGCCTGACCATACATCGTTTGTTGGGCAGGAGACGGCGAGGGAGGGTATTGTGTCCCTGGGTAATTGGGATCTCCGTGATGATGATGGTGATACCAATACGCTCCCTGCGGTCCAGCGTTCCCGGCGAGGTAGGTGCTCGCCGGTGCGGGGTGAGGGGGTTGTCCTGAAGCTGCATGACTCGGATGGAATGCTGAATGCTGCGTGCTGGGATGCTCTAAACCCGCGGTGAGATGGTGCAATTTTCCCAGAGAGGAAGCCGACACGGCGCCTGTTCCGTTCTGCGAAAATTGAGAGTCCAATTAGTCCAGAGCGTCGGATCTTTACAAGCTGTGCAGCTCGAATATGCCACAGGGAAGTCTCCTTATGAATTTATCCATCGCGGATTTCTTCCAAGACTGACGGCCACTCACCGTCTGCATGTGTTGCTGCTGTTGTTGTTGTTGCTGCTGCTGCTGTTGCTGGTGATAAGCTAACCACTCTCGGTGTTGCTGGTGCTGTAGTTGCGTCAAGTGGTGTTGCTCATAGAGACCTTGATCGGATGGCGGTGTTGGGGTCGGATAGCTGAACGCCGATCCTAGTGGGGTCAGGTGACCACTGGGGGGCGGATAGAGAGGGCCGCACTCCGCCGGATAGAGGTGAGCTTTGCTCTCGCGGTCCTCTATGCTGAGGAGCGATGCGTCCGTGATGGTGAGCATCGCCTCCTTGATTGACGATGACACGGCTTCTGGGGCGGAGATCGCCATGGTCTCGACAGAAGAACTCGGAGTGTTGTTTAACGTAGGATTCACCGATTCGGACTGGAGAGCTAGAACCTCGCCCACGTTCGGAGTTCGAGGGGGAGTGGGGACGATATCGGCGGCTCGATGGTGTTCCAGTGATTCTTTACCGAAATTATTCTGGAGGATGCTCCTTATCACCGAGTTCTGCTTCAGGTCGAGTCGTTGTGCTTCACTCGTAGGAACGGTCTCGACATGTTCGACTTTCGATTTCCGGGCGATCTCCCGGACCTCTGGGACGCGGTCAATTTCTGGCTTTTCCTCGTCTCTGCTCTCAGCCATCTTGCTAGGAACTACGGGGGCGTCTTGAGCGGGCTCCTCAACTTTCTCCTCCTCACCGACTGATGCTGCCTTCGACTCGATCGGAGCTTCCGTCGGCTTCACACTCGGCTCGACCACCGGCTCGGGCGATTTGGCTGAGCTCAGACTCCCCCTTTAGGAATGACGAGGAGGGGAATTAGTCAGGAAATATTTTCGAGCGATACAGCGACGTTCTGTAAATTGAAAGGGAACATTTCCCTACCTGTAGTCCTTCTTTGGCGGTCGACTTCTTTTGCGCTGGAGAGGTTCTTCGACCTCGTCAATGGGTTTCTTCGGTGGAGTTTCCAATGTGCTCCGCAATGTATTATCGTGGTTGGTTTCGGCCCCAGCTGCAGCAGCATTCGAATCCTTCTCCTTGATATCGCAGCTCTGATCAACCCTTCCCGATGCGAGCTCCTGCTGTCCATTCGATGTGACTCGATTGATCGCCTCGATGGCCTGATGTTCATCCTGGCGTTCCAATTCAAGAGACTGCCGAGTCCTGCGACCAATGCAGGCAGGACGGACAGCTTCGAGATTATTATCCTGCGGAAGAGCGGAAACTATGATTCCCAATCCTCACCTCCAAGCCCATGGGTTGGCGAGAATTCTTTTTTGAGCTCATCACAGAGAATCAACGCGGACTCACTTTGCTGTCTGTGCTCTTTCTCCGGAGGAGAGCGTCTTCGAGGAGTCTCCGACGGCTTTTCTTGGGCGGCAAGCAGACCATGGTGGTCGGGGCGTTGGTCATCGGAGAATCGGCCAGCGACGGTTCCGGATGACCGTTCTTGGTCTCGGTTATCTCCTCGGGTGGAGTCACTCGTTCAGCTTGCGTCTTTCCGGCATCATCCTCAGTAGCATCAGAAACAGGTCGATCCATTCTCAAGGGCGTTGATGTAAGCGGAGTTTCTATAGGCGTTGTTATAAGTTTCGGCGAAGGCACGACGAAAGAGGATATCAGGGTCTGCCTGGCTGCACCACCGCCAGCTTTGCCTGGGAGAACGTTTTTCGTCAAATTCCAGATATGTATTCCTTCTGAGGGCTTTGGCGACACTAGTTTCAGGAGACTCACCATTCGATTTGCCATGAATCGTCTTCTCTCCAACACTAGTGCTACCGCTCAGCCCCTCATGGGCATTTCCGGTGCCAGCAGCAGAATTCGCCAGAGGCCTCTTCCGTCTTCTTTTCGCCGTGCGCATCATCACATGAACCTTCCGGGGGAAATGGTGGAACGTCAATGTTTCGAACCTACTCTCTGAGAAGCGCTCACGAGAATTCCAGCTCCCGTGGGACCGAGAAGAGTCCCGCGCTTGAATCGATGGAAGAATGGCACCCTCCCTGTGCTACTGTTCTCACCTTTTTCTTGGCTTTCGCATTCCCTACCGCTGATTTCCTCACGACCGGAGGTCTTGACTCAACTGATGTCGACCCGAAGAGAAGTTCGTCTTCCTCTTCCGCGTCAATGTCGGTCTTGTCAGCCTCCGACTGCTTCGATGAGTCCACTGTGATGTCTGTCGATGTTTCTAAAGCAGTCGATGCGTTTATATCTCCGCTCACTTTCACGTCGGGGTTTCCGTCGGCGTTGAGAAAGTGTCTGTATAAGGAAAAGAGACGATTTGCCGAATAATTAGATACGAATCAAGCATAATTCTCATCGCCAGATATTGACCGCGCCAATTGACTCCGGCCACTCTTCGCATGATGATGATCTTTGTCAGGGGATCGAGTGGGCAACTCACGTTCGCCGTTTCGCGCTCTTCGGGGGCGACGCGCTGTCCACGAATGGTTTACGTTTTCTGTTGCTCCTCAGAGGAGAGCACAAATCTCCACCGACGTCTTTCTTCTCCGTCACGATTTCGGGACTGCTGACAAGTTCACGTTTCTCCGTGACTTCGGCATGCAGTCTCGAAGCATCGGTAATCTCCATGGAATTGCAATCACCGTCAACTTCATCTGAAAAGTTCATTAAATCGTCACGGCATCGAATCAGAAGCTGATTTTCGGATGCGTCGATCAGGAGCTCCGTAGGGGGCTCAGTCGAGCCTTCGCTTCAATAGTCAGGGCGACTCACCTTCACCGGGCTCACTCGCGGCAGTTTTCCTCCTGATGCGCTTCCGAGGAGTTCTGACTCCCGGAGAGGTCTTGCTCGCTTGGTTGAACGAATCATCCTCGCTAGTGGTTTCATCATTAGAATTGACCAAACCTCTGACGGAATTCTTCTTCCCACGTGGACCGGCTTCGGCTTCCATCGGCTTTGGCGTTCGTGTTCGCGCTGAGAAAGTGAGAAAAGTTTCAGAATCCCATGCTTCTTCGAACGAGGTTCCTCCCCCTCTTCCCCCCCGAGTATAGTCAACGAGCTGCGGATTCCTCCTGAAGGGATCCCGATGCCTATAACTCACAAATTTTGTTGGTCTGCGGCTCTTCCGGGTCCTCCCCGTTCTCATTCGCTGAAAGTATTTCTTCTTTGACCTCACTCTTGATGTCTCGCTTGTTAGACGATCGAGGCCTCTTGCCTTTGGGTTCTTTGGATTTCCTCGACCGGCTCTTAGCCGACTCGGAAGCGCCGAGCGTCGACTCATCGTCGTCTGCCGGGACATCCGTTTCCTGCGCAAAAAAAGCGAGGAATAAGCTCACGGATCCCGCAACCATGACCAGACTTTCTCCCGTCACGTCCAAGTCTCAAGCCGTGGACTACGCTACGGACTTCTGATCAAGCGACCGCCAGATCTCACCTCGCAACTCGCAGCTTCTTCTATTTTCGGAGGAAGTTGTTTCATCCTAGGTTTCGCAATTGTGGTTCGCTTCTTTACTTTCTTCCTCCGCGGATCGACATCCGCGGCATCTTCATTCCCAGTTGTATCCTGCAAAGTTCGGAGGGCGCTCAGCACAATCACTGAGGGAGACCTCCCAGATAATGGGCAGCTCAAACTAGAGCTGATTTAGCTACTGTTTGGAAATCCCCGCTAAGGACTCAGGATTCATAATATAGAAAGGCCCATGCCATAGAGCATGAACGCGGCAGTAATGAGAAAATAAGGGGCAAGGTATGACTTACACCCTTCGATGATTCGAGCAGGCTGGCTCCGAATGGCAGAGGCGTCCAGCGAAGAGATTCAGGATGTAAGGGTATACGATACTTCCTCTTGGGCTCGAGTCTGTAACGGACGGTGAAAGTTTTCTCAGAATGAATTCCACGCACCCGATCGTCACAATCGCGAATCATCCCACAGAACTCACTTCTCCATATAGGACAGGATAACGTCGGCATCGATATCCAAGAAGAATATCCTCCGTTCATAAGAAGATCGGTCTTCCTTAATCATGTCCAGCAAAACCAACGTGGCAGCAATGTCGTGCACGTTGAGGCCCGTATCGTTCGAGATCTGGAATGGGGAATTTATCCTTGTAGTTTCTAACTCCGAGATACTACTTGCGAAGATCCCAGATAGAAGATGATTCCGCGGAAAATTATGGAAAACGGGAGTCTACGGTCGCCCTGGCATGGTCGGCCCGAACGGGACAGAGTTGGGAGAGATGGGGCGACGAACCTTTGCGATTGTGATGCACCGGTTTTTATTGACGAATATTTCCTCGTGGAGATACTCTAAGAGACTACTTCTCCAATAGGCCTGGTAGGAAACACGTCCGAGGTCGGAGAGGGGTTTTTCGGGTGTGCCTGCGACTCCTGGAACGACGATCGAGTTCATAGCATCTTCTTCCATTTCCAGTCCAATCGGAACCGGAATCGATCGGAGCCGATCGAGCTGAGTCGAGGGATTCTCAGAGCGAGCGTGGAGGAAAAATTTGGAGGAACTCACCTTCCGTCCGACTGAGCAGGTAACTAAAGTCTATCAGGAATCGACCGAAACCTCTCCTCTGATACTGTGGCATGGTCATGATGCAGGAGACATTATACCTGGAATCGGACAACGAGAGCTGAGTATCCGAATCGCGATAGGATGAATTCGATCGCGGCAAAAGAAAAATTCCATCTCGGTACCTCTGTGCGCAGTGTTTTTCTTTTGAGAAGTATCCCACCAAATGGGCTCCCTTCGAATCCCAGGTGGTCAGCACATAAAACAAGAACGGCTCGACATCGTAGTACAGCGTTTTATGGTCCAAAAAAAGCTTAGCAAGTAGACAGAGCTGAAACAAATAAGAGATGCTGAGATCAGGTGGATCTTGTTGATGAGATTCATTTTAGGCCAAACAAAACCGATCACTCGTGAACTCTCGGTTCCTAGGATGGAAATAAATTGGTACCTGTTGACAGAAGATCTTGTTCGCTTGTCCGTCCACTTCGAAGACCGATATGTCATCGTGCCGGTAGATTTCAGTTCCGGGCGGGTGCCGTAATGGACATTTGAGCTGTAAGGAGGGAAATTTTCTCAAGCGGCCCTTTCTCAATGTTCCGGTCCACGTGAGCCCGACGCTAAACCTATGATGAAGATTTACTCACCAGGTGCCGTTTGAGGGTGTCCTTACTTTTGCAGTACTTCAAACAGAACTCGCAAAGGTACAGTTTTGGAAGACGCGCATACTCCTGAGGATACGGGGAGGAGTACCACGTCTCAATGGAGTAGGGTCCGAACTGAATCGAGCCGGGACAGCTGTAATCGCGATAAAACGTATGAGCGAAGTCCGCACTCCACATAGAGCACCTTGCCGGCCAGGAACCGAAGGGACTGTCTTACCGTTGCGAAGGGTCCAAGAGCTCAGCCCCTATGTTCTTCAGAGCGAGAGACTGTGCCAATCGGAAGAGCTCCGCGTCTTTCGAAACAGCTCCCGGGGGTAACGCTGGAGGATCCTGGGGAGGAATAAGAGGAACTTTTTGAACCCTCGATCAGATCTATCGAGTCGAGGTTCCGAGATTCCGAAAATATTCGGATGGCATTCAAATGCCTTCACCTACCTCGCTTATTGAAGTGCTGGCTTCTTCCACGTACGAGAGCTCGGAAGGCTCGGAGACGGCGGAGTCAGACGAGAGTGAGGCTGATGAGGAGAAACAATAGGCTTTCAGTAACGATAGAGCAGGTCGTGTGACGGCGAAAGCTCAAGTGAGAGATGATGTAGGGAAATAACTAAGCATTGTGATCGTGAGGAGTCGAAAACAAACTACACATCCATTCTGTGCTCAGGAGGTCGGCGCGCGACCCGAAGTTCTTAACATTCGAAGATTTTCAGTTTTTTTTATTCCAGGCTTCGACGGATGTCAGTCGGGGTGAGGAGCTTCCTGTACAAATCTCGCGGATGACGACCTCTTCCCTCTTTCCGAGGACGTGAGGTGTCCGCACCGAAGATCTGATCTGAAGGCAGCTGAGTTGAGACTGTGATGCGTCGGTCATAATCAGTCAGACAGCCAGCCGGTCAGTCAGTCGGGGTCGTTCAATCGTTCGTTCGCCCAATCATAACAAGCCGAGCCGAGGACAGCAGACCAAACGTTGATCAGTGTAAGCAACGAAACATCGTAAAGGAGAAAAATCAAAGCATCGCGGGATCTCGCATTCGGGGCGGGTGGGGTATGTGCAAGCTTGAGTCTCGAAAATGGGATGCCGCATGACAAGTAGAGGGCATGAGAAACAGGGTGCGCGGCAAATATCTTCATTCACGTCCTGCCAACGGCTATTTACCATTTCGAGCTCTCCGACTCTTCTTTTGGCCGCCGTTCGCACTGTGGAGTTCCGGTAACAGCTTTTTGATACGTTGTACGACAAGCTGATGGTCTCGCCGCAGTATTCCTTTCTTCGTAGTTGGCTCGTGACTTGTCTTTTTCTTCGATACCTTCACCAGCTGCAGGCCCGCAAGGAAATTGTCGGCCGTTTTCTTCGATCCCTTCTGCTTAGTGCGGCAGCCCGTCTTCATGTTGCTCCGGGTCCCCATGATGTCAGCGGGCATGGACGGGCCCAAACTGGCGTCCGTGGCAGACGAAGACATCGTCCGATCGTCATCGTCGTCATCGAAAGAACTCTCAGCGGTTTCGTAGTGACTGCTATCGTGCGTGTCATGCGAAACTCCATTGCACTCGTTTTTGGTGTTCTGACGGGTGGATTTATTCCCTCTGGCTGTCGCGTGCTTCTCCCGCGCCTCTTGATCGTTCTGCTCATCGTTGTTGACTTTGTGTTTTTCTTCATGTACCTCTCGGAGTTTCGGTGGTTTACGCTTATCGCTAGGCGTAAAAAACCTCGATAGGCCGTCATTAAGTTCCACAGTGAGTTTGAGAGAGATCTTTGGCCGTTGAACCTCCGCCTTAGATCGATGTTCTGTTGAGAGCCCATGATCATTAGTCCAAGGTTGAGAACGGCAAGCTCGCCTTCTTCCAATCGGGTGTTAGCTCTCAGGCAGGCAGGCAGACACGCAAGGCGTTAACGATCGGCAACCATGGCGGTTCTCGTTATGAAGCCAACGGTGACATTCAGCATTCAGTCACACGGGGCGAAGTTCGAATGGGGACTTCTGAGCAAGACTCTCGATCGATTTGCACCGACTTCCCCTCGTGGATGAACTCGGGCTCGATCGCATCATCGACAGAACCATGTGGTCTGGCCAAGAGAGGTGCGGATCTCGACTCGCGGAACTGTCTCTGGCTTCATTCACATCTATCTATTCCGAAACCGAGGACTCAGATCGATGATTCGCCCTCCGTCACACCGTCGGCGATCTCCGAGTCCTATATTCTAAATTACTCCGGACCTCGGAGTACTTCGGAGTACTACTACAATCTAATTCTCATCTTTGGATGATCTACCCTAATGATCGGGCCGGTCTGCCGACAGCTATCTTGAGCATTCCGAACTTCATCATCTAGCGAATGAACCTTTCGTACAAACCTTTCTTCTTCTTCTTGATCGATGTGCGAACAGTCGTGTTCTTCATCGGAACCTGGAAGAATGATTTTTTTTCTTATATCAGAAGCTGAGGACAAACCCTCGGAGTTGAGACGGTGCTATATATTGACGACGGCTTCGACCGATGCCGCGGAGGAGACTGCCGATCTCCATATATGAGACTAGGGGTGAACAGAGCGCGGCTCTCAGCGTCTTATCATGCGGCCGGCGACTCCTGTGCGAATGATCGCCACAACGGGGTCGGAACCCGGTTCCGAGCTACCCAGCATTCCGTTGACATGGGCATTGAAAGCGCTCGAAGAAGGTCATCTTCGCAAGCCTATTCGACTGGGCATATTTAGCTAAAACTTCGAGATCGATTCAGGCCCTAACAAGGAGAGCTCGTCCCTCCGAAATCGGACTGTCGGCGATGCCTGCCGTCCGCTGTATTTTTTTCGGACTGGAAGAGTGCCCTCCGATCCCCTCGGAGCTGTATACCCCTGTCTCGGACTTCCGAAAGGAATCGATTGGCCTCAGGACTTACCTTCGATCTGGCGTTTAATTTGGAAACCTTGCGCGCGTTGCCTCCCGCGAATTGGTTGCGAGCATTCTTCTGTTTGATTTTCTTGGCCAACGAGTTGACGATCGAGCGGGCTTTCTTCTTGGCGCTGGTGGCTGAACACCTGATTGCGAGCGATAATCATATTGGAGCAGAAATATCATTCGAGTTGGAAATCGCGATGGATTAGATTTGGTGGGTGGGTGGGTCTATCCACTTGACTATCCAGAGTTAACTCGAGGACTTCTCGCTGCCGGGAAGCCGCGAACGTACTTATTACATCTCCAGGCGACGCGAGGGTGCTTCTTCGAAGGTGAAGCGGAACCCAAGCAGTGTATATGACACATCGAGTCACAACTGTGACAGTATAGTAGCTCCGAGGCCTGTTCGGATCCGAGCTGATTGCATTTGAGGCAACGCTTGCATTGCGAGCATTCCCAGCGGCGTCCCGCCACCGTTTTCTGAGCAATCTGCGTTTCGAGAAACATGGAGTGATTAGCGATGTGCAACGAAGACGAAGAGTACACTACATCAGACCGAGGAGGGCAAAAATGACGGAGGTTGATGGAGCACGAACTCACCTCGCCAAGCTTCAAACACGCTCCGTGACCGGCGAACGAGCACTTGGAACACACGCACATTTGAGCGCGGCGATCCGTTTGGCCACAGACAGCACAATCGGCCTCTCCATCGGCCGATTCTGGAACAGAACGTTCGATGCTCTCAGAAATTGATCAGAACGAAGAACATGGAGCACAGACCGTATCTCCTAGACTGGCGCTTTCCGAGAAAGAGGCGAGTGGCCCTTCGGAAGGATCTCCTCTCTTCGGTGTGCACGCGGAACTGATTCCTGTCCGCGCCTTGTTCCAATGCTTTTCTTCTACGATGGAATCGAACAGACGATTTACGAAATTTCGGCTTACCAATCTTCCCGGAGGAGAAAGTTTTCGGTGGTGCCGTCGGCGATCCAAAAGGAGCGATCGCCTTCAGAGGTGATGCCGGATTCTGCGACTCTTGATGAATCGTTGGTAAACCATATGTTTGGTCATTGTACCTGAAGGAAGGAGCACACCATCAGCGTTGAGAACCCTTTCGATTGTGTATACCTCTGGGTCGCTGCTTGTTTGGAGCTCAACAAAGAAGAAAATGCTCTACATCAGGAAGTCTGATGTGTCACATCGGAATTCGGAATGGATGAGAACTTATCCATTTCCATCACGCACAGATGGACACGGTGCACTCGGATCGTCCAAATAATAGAATTCTAAACGGAAGCCCATGAGCCGCCAATTATTCGGTATTCACCTCACGAGACGCTTCTTGATCACTCCTTTCTTCGCGGCCAGACGTAGCCGATTAAGCAACTGGTTACTACTGATTTCAACCAATGTATACTGTCGTTTGATAAACTTTTGCAGTCCCACAATCGAAGCCGATTCGCCGAGGGACAACAAGACCTGCAAGGGGGAACATATTCTGCATTCGCATCGAGCATTCTCTGTCCCATCTAGAGGTCATGATCGACTTCACAATTCAGTCAGAGAATGCGATGGGACGGCGCCGACTCCGAACCTGTTCAACGACGTTTAGCAAGTTGGTTGATCTATGGATGATGGCGTTGTCATCGTCCGCTTCTTTCTTGGCATGCCCACTTTTGATTTTCGCATTGAGTTTTGAGCTCGCCGGTTTCCTCTTCACGGGCCCTAATGTATCGTCTTGGACGCGGTAGCACCAGCCATTTGGTCCCTCAACCTGAGAAATGGAACGATCGTCACGTTGAGAAACGAAGAATACGAGACGAGCCATTTCGCTTAGAAGGGGCCGCGGAATGGGTATTATTTTCCACCGAAAAGAAAAGTTTCCGAGGCTAGAAGTTTACCCTTAGAAGAGTCCCATCGGCAGTGGCCTTCTCGAGAAATCCCAACGTCTCAGCTCGCGAAACTCCATGGAGAGTCTGTAAAGGGAAGGAATACATGTCGCCTTCGCTTCTACGAGATAGAGGACTATTTGGTTCCGATCCGGAATCACCACGAGACTTCCAGGATGCACGGAGGACAGCTTGCCCAATCAGAGAACACATACCTCGAGAATGTGGCTGATCCGATCCTCCGAAGGTCTCTGCTTGTGGCCCTTTATTTTTCGGATGGCTGAAGTCACCAAATTGTACATATCAACGCCCCCCATTTCGGGGGGTTCTGAAAAAGGCGGAGAAACGTTACACAGGGTCTGCTCGAACGTATTCGCGTGCCTTCGGACTGGCCGTGTGGTCCTCTACATGAAGAATCTCGAAAAAAACACAAGCCGAACGACGATAGTATTGTCTGTTGACGCAGCTGATTGCGAAAGGATCTACACCTACGCTCTCTGTGCTTCACGACCAATCTACACCTGCAGCGCCAGGTGCATCAGCAGATGATAGCTTGAGCACGGGCTCACAATCGAAATGAAAGTCCTTCCGCAATACGGAACGAGGCCGGCAAAGGCAGATCACTGATTTGGATGTGAGAGAACTCATGGAGTTTCTTGAATGAGTTCTCAGATTCCCCACAAAATCGCTCGATTCACCCACGCTTTCCGGCTTCGGAATTATCGCGGGTAGAATCGGACGAAACCGCTCTTGGAGTCCGATTCCACTCCTTCCGTACGACTAATGGACACTTCAGACAATCGGTTATCGATCGGTCGCACGAATAAAAATTTGAGGACGGGCAACTTTTCCCCGAAGCTCAAGTACGGACCGAAATGACCCAGAGAAGTATTCCCAATCGCGGGAGTTTCGAAGAACGACCGCGAACCAGCCAGGCAATAAGATCATCTGTAAAACGATATTTGACATCGTTCCGGCTACGTCAGAGCTGTCCCGTCAGATTCGACCCGACTCGGACCGGAAGCCGGAAGACTTCTTCCGACCGATTTGAGCGATAGCACATCCTAACAGCAAGGCGAAAGACTCTCGAAACCTTAAGAAGTGATCACTCGAATCGCTCGATGGCCAATGAAGAACTCTTTGTGTAGCACAGTGGTTCCTATCCGTTGAGGGGCCATGTAGGCCTCAGCGACTACTGAGCGATCTTCGCGGCCATCGGAGCGCACCGGACAGCTCTACTTGTCTCATGAATGAAATAAACTCACAGTTTGCCCCCCTTCGGAAATCCAATGCAACGCAGCAAGGTCCAAATGCACCGAGATTATCTCACAAATTTCAGCGTCGCCATTCGAAATGTTGATGTTGTGGACATGGCGGTAGCCGCCACACTGAATGGATGAATTGGCGCCTTGATTCTGCAGAGCGGTGGTCCCGTCGATTACTCAGCCGCTGCTGGTGTTCCCAGAGGCTTCTTAACATGAGAGCTGAAGAGAATCGGAGGCCGCAACGAGCGGCGAGCTTCCTCGACTAGAGAACGAGGCATCCGTGGAATTCCTTGGTCCGTCGAAAAGGAAGCGATGCTTCCAGTGGCGGATCGCCCGATCGACGCTGGTTCGCATCTCTCTGACGGAGCAAGGACCTGTCGACAAGGCTCGCATCGCTCAGACAAAGAACGCCGCTTCGCGAATCTTGAATATGCGTATGAGGCGGTCTCCTTTGCGCTCTCTTCTAAGCGAGTCCCCGCCTGCGAGATGCCTGGTCCGGGAAAAACTTCGCAAGTTACAGGATTCGGCGGAGATGAAGAGCGATAAAAGTATTGTACATCGGAGACAGCCCACGGTGGTCGCGCTTGCATCGAATACCCCGGTAGGCCCTGTTCTTGCAGAGCTGCGAAGGGTTAGGCGTCCTAGATTTCTGATGGATTCCATCTCGACGAAGTGAAATCAGAAAGATGTCAAGATTTCTCCTGGGTCGACTCCATACCCTCTGTTAGAGATATAATGAGATCTGACGGTGCTTCCCCAAAATCTGCCGCCAATTGAGACTGAAGCGAAAAGCTTCGTCTCAACATCTTGTTAGTCATGATTTTCATATGACCGATGCCTTCCCTGTTTCCCTCGAGCTTCCCAATATTCTCGAGAAAGAACGAAAATTCCATCCCAACAGCCAGGTCGACTACTCGATCGATTCTTATTCATGCCCTGCTCAGGGAGGACTTCCTCGGCCACACAAGCGAGACTGAAAGGACCTGAAGGCGGAAGACAGAATCGCCATGAGCGTGAGCTATATCGGTCGCGATCTCTAGAGATACGAGCTTTAAATTCTCTCGATTCTGTGCTCGTCGATTCTGAGATCGCGGAAGATAAGAGCTAGTACTGAACCGTTAACGCCTCATGGCAAGCTCCGCATTCAGTGGAGATCATCATCATCAGTCTCCCGCATTGTGCGCGTGTGCTCGGGGCTGCTGAATGCTGAAGTGTTTGCAAACATTCCTCCTCGAAAAAATCTCCACTACTTCTGCGGCGCGGGATCAGCGACCTCGATCTCGGAGAGGCTCCTGTCGAAAGAGGCTTCCGAAATCTTTTCGAGGACGGCGACGGATGTGGAGAGCATGCTGTCCTCGGTGCTAATGCGGGAGTCGGTCGGCGATGCCTTCGTGATTTTTTCACTAGAAAATGATGCGTCGAATGACATGGTTCTGACGCGGGGTCAGCGGTTCAACTTTGAATTGATAGGTCTCATCGTGAGCCTATTAGAAAGAATGCCGGAGAGGAGTCTGATCGCATCTCATAGAAGTTGGAAACTCGAGATCGCACTCTTTTTCTCTCAGCATGATCATCCTCGATCAGCGCAATCTTTGCGCGGTGCAAGATGCGGAGCATGACGACCTGGAAACTCTCGAAAAGCGGGGATACCTTCCAGATACCAAGGACATCCATTTCCCTGTCCATCGCGAGTCCAGACTCCTCTTCGCTTCACTCGAGATCCGCCTAGCCTCGCTAAGGCTTCTCGAAAACGACTAACGTTCGTGGGGAGCACTTGGACACTGCTGTGCTTGGCGTCGGCATATGGGAGGACCCGAAGAACATGGACGCGTGCTCCCACGAGAACCGATATTGAACGACCGATAGTCAAGCTCTGCCCGTTTGAATCCTAGAGAACCAGCCTCAAGTCCGAGGATTCTTGTCCAGCTCTCCGCCAAGAAGGCATCCGTTCCCCATCACCGGAAGAACGGGAAACGATGAATTGGCTCTTTGGCTCGTTATTCGGGGAATGCGCTACTCGGAAGTCTATGACCGCTGAATCTTTCCTGAAACCTTCGGCTGGTCGTGGTATCGTACCAGAAATTCCTTCCTTAGGAGTAGACTCCCTGACCGTAATGAAGGTTTTCTCTACAACAAAGGAGATCGGAACTCGGAACTAAAACCTATTGAGAGAGTTCAGTTCTCGGTGGACTCCTGGGACCGTCTTCTCCTCGGAGCAATGGGGGCGCACGGGATCACTAGTGCCCACAGGAATTATGTCAATTTAAAAGAATGTATGATGCGGCGATCAAGCACGTGGCGACAAAATGAGTTTTAATCGAGACCCGATTCGTCTCACAGAGCTGTGAGGGGTGAAAATATTTACAGAATGTTGAAATGTTCGAATCTGGCAGCTCGTCCGTGGGGGAGGAAAGGAAAAAACAGCAGCAGCCAGAGTCTTGCGTTGGATTCCAAGACAGCGTTGAGCAGCGCATAGAACCCCCGTAGCGTCTCGTCGCACTCACTGGTAGGCCGAGGTTCCGGGGAAGAGAGCGTCTTCGAGGAACTCCAAGCTCTTCTAGCTCGCTCAATGACACGCTTGCAACTTTGCTCATCGCATTCGCTCTTCTCAACAGGGGAGGCGTATTCCACGCCTCTTCCAAACCCTGAACTTGGACACTTGGGTCTCTCACACTGCGACGGTCGAAACCGGATGGAGGCGAATTTCTCCGAATCCGAGGGATGTCTCACAATTGTCCGCAACGGTTATGCAATAGTGGTTCAGTAGCTGTTGGAGGAGCTCGTGCTCGTCCATAAACTCGATAGATTCAATGCGTTTCAACTCGGACTGAGGGAGCGACTGGTACACCTGCAGCATCAGCCAAGACCGGACGTTGCTGAAGCCGCACCGGTATAGTCGAGTTTCTTGCGTCTCGAGGTTTTGTGACGCCTCCAGGCCCTGGAAGTGAGAACGCAGATCCAACTATCCAACCTCTGCACTATTATTGATAGAGTTTTTTTTCCATGAGAATTCCGAGATTCGGTACGAAGCCGTCGGTAATCAAAATCCATCATTGAGCTCACCAAGAAGTGGCAGTCGCGATGTTTAAGATTCTCCAACATGATTTCTGCGAACTTGTCGTTCATGTTGACTGGGTCGTAATTGAGTAAGACGGCCTTCTTGAAAGTGTCTGCGGAGCGAGCGGAGATTATGATCAGCGCCCAATCAGGGACGCCTTTTCTGCGCTCCTCACAGATTCGACTCGGTCGCTCCCAGAAATAATTCTTCCGACCAATCGAATACGATGCATCAACACCACTGATACATACCAGTTATGTATTTCAGTAGAGCTTCACAATGATCGGTGGCCATATACACTAGGACACACTCAGATATGAAGAGTGTGGGGAGCTGGGGATCCAGTCGACAATCCTGTGACAGTTTATTAGACAGAGCATTCATATCTTTCAGATCGACTCCGATCAGGTGATATTTCGATGAGTGTATGTCACACTTCGAAAGGCGAATATCATCATCTGCAAAGCAAGCGAGGATAAGCATTACATCGGATGTTATCCGGGAGCGATTCGGCGATGCCATGCCGAAGACTTCAAAGCTTATCCCTCATCATTGTGTCGATCGGGGTAGGAGAACTGTCGTACCTTCGCCTTGTGCGATTTTCTCAAGCAGTTGTCGACGGAGACGTATGTAATGAACTTTTCTCATGGTCACCGCCGGGTAATCGACTTCGACGTAGGCCTTCAGGGGACGATTGTCGTCCTGAAGTCTCCAGAACAAGGTGTCGAATCCGGCGCCCAAATTGACGATTTGGGCCTGGCTGCTTGAGATCTCTAGGAATTTGTCTACGAGAAGCTTGATAGCCTGCAGGAAACGGAGGAATCGTGTGAAAATCGTCGAGTCCACGGCTGATGTCACTCACCGATTTTTTTCGTCGCCATAAATGTCGATAGACCGGAGCCGAGGAGACTCATTTGAAACTCTAAGGGAATGCGTCAATGCGGTCGATGTGGAATGGCTCACTGCGAACGAACCTGAACTCGGGCAAAATAACCTCGATTGATCTCAGGAGGCTTCCGGTCGCAACTCTTGATGAAATGCTGGACATATGGATCTGACCAATATCCTCTATCGACAGCCGCCCTCTTACACGAAGTTGCATCATCATTTGTCATCATTACTGGTTCCTCGCTCTGTCTAGAGGGGGGCGGTTTGTAAGGATCTTCGTTCATTATGGTGGAGCCGTATATCTGCAAGGGGTAGAAGATATCAGAATATCGATACGGGAATAGAACGAGCGCTGCTCGATGGTGGGGAAGGTCCAATATCGCGAGTGTCGTGGACGGCGCCATTCGAACGACCGACGTATCACGGTATCTGGGTTCGCGCACGGATCTCATGGAACCACAGGGACCCACAGTCCCTAAAATGAAGACATTCGGGACGAAATTTCGAGCCGGATCATCCAATGAGACTCCGTCTGGGTGCGAGAGAATCGTAGCTCGAGTTCCTATTGTGGGACAGCTCATTGCAATATTCGTATTTTCATTAAATAACTCCAGCATTTGTTGACCTCTGCTTCGATTCATTCTCGGACTTGCAAACTCTCTCGAGATTGCAGCAGGGAGCTCTTTCATTCAGTGTTTCCGCCAGGCGGAGAAATCAGACCCTTTTCTAGGAAATCGGGTCGAATTCGCATAGAGCCAGTGGTGAGGAAACCACCTGAAGACGAGAAAACAACAACAGCAGCAATGCAGGTGAAGGGAGATGCGCGGTCTCGCGCCGTCGAGAGCGACTCTCGTAGTTGTGGGAAGTCTCCACCTGTTACGGCGAACTTTTGCGAACAATTATTTAGTCTGCAACTCACCCGATCGATGGAACCGTACTCCTGTCAGAAGTACGCACAACAGGATCCTTCTCTACATCAAGTGCGAACTCACCGAGTTCCGAGCAGCACTAAACGTCGGAACGTTCGGAATCCCAGAGTTTGTTCTTCCCATTGTGCGACTTTCTCCTGGCGCTTCTCCCACTCACAGTCATCTTCTGCTCCACGCGCTTATCAACGCTGGGGGAATCGACACCAACAATATCGGCATAGATTGTTTCCGACAGTTTCGACTGGGTTCGCCTTCGGCGGAGTTCCTCAGACTATATTCGGTGGAGCCCCACCGCGACCATAAGAATGTGAGTACGATCTGATATCTACCGCCGCAGTATATCGCGCGACTCTCACTCAGTCTACTGTCATCATATCCCCGAGTATTTGTCACTCCTTCAGCCATTGCCGACCGGAGCTTATGAATGCACCGTTTCTTTCCCAGGGCCAAGGAAGCGCCTCCAGACTGTACGGCCTGTACCGTGCTGACCATGGGTGTGCTCTTCAGCACGGCAGCCTTCGTCAGCTATAAATCGCAGAAGTACTCTCGGCCGGCTGCAGTAATTTTGAATCTATGGTCAGCGGGTGCCTTATATACAGGAGTCGCTTTCGGTGCAGGCCTGTGGCCCTTCGACGCAGAGAATGTCCGGCGGAGGAGAGAGGCCGCGAGGAGAAATCAGTAGAGTCGCTTGTTGTTTAGACGAGGTCTAGGAACCATTGCTTTGGAATATAAATTGTAATCGAAACTAACTGCTTCGGTTCCCTCTGTGTGAATGCGCGTCAGAACCATGTCTGACTGTCAACTGACTCTCTTTTGGGAGAATTGACTGATACTCTTGATAGTCCATTCAGGACTTATGCGGCTCGTCGTGAATTTTTGCTGATCCACACTTCTCCGCGCTTCACGATCTCGGGCGGATACTCAGCTTTCGACCGGGAGGGGCGGTCCGGACTCTGAATTTCCATGCGATAGGACTCCAGCCGAATGACCTTGCAATTACACAGAGCTCCGTCAGCTGCGCTCAGCCCTACAGCTCCGTCTTCTCGGTATAACACAGGGATCGGTAATCGAACTTGGCTTGCTGAACTCCGGAGTTATGATGGGAGCAATCGATGGTCCTCTGACTGACTCATCCATGGGCTCGAATATTGGAACCCGACCCCGAATGGAGTTCCGCCGAGCTTGGAGTAATGAAAACACATGATTCCCTAACCCCCTCCCCATCCTACGGGAGACGAATGTCGCCTCTGAAGACGATTCCTCGCCGCCCAGGAACGCAATCAAGGAGCTCTGTAGTTGTGATGACCCCAGAATCAAGATGAGCTTGTCTTTAATTCGAACCAGCGAATACGACACCGAAGAACGTCTCGCTATGGAAATTGAGCGTGAAGAGAAATGTCCGCCTGGCGCCTATAGATGATAGAGCCGATAAGAGGCGACGAGCAGTCTTTCCTGCGGCCCGCGAAGTTCCGAGCCATCTTGCTCGTGTTTTTTCGTTTCGAGAAAATCGCTAGCTTAATCCATATCTAGCAGTATAAACCAAGGTCGGCCCTGGTTTTCGAAACGAGTGTTGAGTTTCAATCTTTCGTTGCCCTTCAGACCTCCTGGATCTCGCCGTAGAATCCGAAGTTGAGGTCACATACAGAACTACATACAGTCTGCGCTCGATTCACTCAGAATGTTCAAGTCAAATTTCACTTCAGCAAACCAATGTCCTGGTCCCGAAAGTCGCATCGGTTGCACGATGTGGATCTCTTCCGATTGAGTGCACCGCTCGGTATGTTGAATGAATTTCCAGGTGTTCAGCGTGTTTATTGAATCGAGTGCCAACTGTGTAGTGTTTCTGAAGTGGAGAGAGAGTCCCGAGATCCGCATCCCGAAGAAGCCCGTCGCCATCGGAGTTCCGTGGACCATGTTGGTGGATGATGAAAATACCCGCGAGGATTTCTCGGCCAGAGCATTATCCTCCGGGCAAACGGAGCGTTGTTGGAGCTGACAGCCGATCGCTCCTCCCAGCAGTACCACGGAGACCCCCGAGAACTTCACCCGGAGAGCTTCGCGAGGGCGACGAGCGACCTTCCGAGTTCATAGTATTCGCCCGCGTCGCTCGGTCGCAACGACAGCGGAATATTTATTTTGAAAAGGCTCGGAGTTGTAGACGAGTCGATGAAGAACTTCAGGTCAGAGAGCGGGAGTTTTCGCTCGGAGTTCAAGCTTGTGACATGAGAATCGGACATGATCAAACAATCATAATCCTCTGCCATGGACTTCGAGATGCCGAAACAGGCGTCTCTGAGATTGCTCCCTGATAGCGGTAGGTCCCTTCTTCCAGCAGGCAAATCAAAACTGGATTTGAGTGAGGAGGAACTTTCCCGATCCTGGGACTCGAGCTCTCCGTGGCTCGCTGCATGCTCCATGGGAAGCTATCAAAGCTCAACACTTGAACATCGAGGAGCACTCGAGCTGTCGGTAGCCCTTTCGAATAAACACTGGATTAGATTGTCTCTCCAAGATGATTCGAAAGAGCCATGCCATGGCATGTTTCGAAGAAGAAAGGACAGCAACCTACCGCCTTTCAGATAACGTACCTACCGTAGGAATATGATTCGCGGCTCAGTTCCCGCTGGCACTGGCTGACAGTCGTTTGGACTGGGACGATGTACCGCGGGTATTTGCTCGCACTGCTTGTTATTCCAACTCTGGGAAGCTTCGATCCCCTCTCGATCTTCGAGAACGCCCACTCGCCAGGGACCGTACGCTCATTGAGAGCCAACGAAACTGTGCATGCTGCTGGAAGCGACATCGTCTTCAGCTGGAAAAAATGCGCGTTCTGCGATGGGTACGAAGCTCGTCTCTACTCGAAACACGTGTCTGGGACACGAGAGACATCCTACCGGCTAAGAGCTTCGGTTACAGCCCTGGATGTTCCGGATTTCCTGCCGAGGACAGACTATAGATTCGTGGTCAAGCAGTTGCCCTCGAATTCCCCGGGCTCAGAAGTGACGGGTCGCGCTTTCTCTGTCGAGACTCCGCCTCCGGTCGGAAATCTCGAGGTCCGAGTTCTGACAAACTCGTCCATTCGGGCCGAATGGACATCGGAGGATGCCGATGGATTCTCAGTGCGTTTACTCGGGAACGGTACCACGGTGACAGATATCAGCATTCCGTATTTTCGTAATCATTCTATCTTCGACGTAAGCGACCTCAAACCTGAAACGGATTATCTGGTTCTCGTGTCGGCCTTCTATTCTTCGTCAAAGGGGGAGATGATGTCTACGGTGTCATCTGCCTCGATCAGAACGCTGCCCACTGATCTACCAGCTCTCAGTTTGGAGTGGGAGTTCGATACCGAACTCAAAATCTCCTGGAAGAATCCCGAGACCGTTCTCCCATTCGTTCACAGTCTCACATGCCAGAAGGACCACAGCGAGACCGTCTTCTATGCGCGATTTGCCGGGACTACCGATTCAGTCGTCATTCCGGGCCTTGGCAGTCTGAGACATGTCGCTTGTACGTTGATAACGTGGTTCTCTGAAGACGATCAAGCTCAGACCCAATCCAGGGTCGAGGCCTGGAAGCCCGTCCCGCCGTCGCGTGCGAAATCATCGATGGATACATTTCGGTGCTACTACGACAGCTACGAGTATGGGGCGAAAACATCTGCAACTCATAATGTTGAAAGAGTGAACGGCTCAGATATACTGAAGGTGGCGTTTTCCGAGGATCACGAAAGAAATTTGCACTTCGACGAGGTGAGTCTCGCGCATCCTCACGAAATGTGCTTCGCGCTCCGTGAAAACGCGGAGTGCGCTGCTCTTTCAGGGTGGGGGGGCTGCGATTTCTAGTTCCTCTTGCCGACGAATCCTTAAGTCGCAAGATATGATCATGACAAAACAATCAGCGTTCTGAATCCGCCCGCCGATTGGCTGAGGCTCCCACCTTCGGCTGTGAGCTCCAGCTCCGAGAAATGTGCGATTCTTCGATGAGCAGCTCCATTCCTAATCAACATCTTTTCCCCTCGAAATTAGTTGCAGTATAAGCTATGCGAGCATGGCGAAAGTTGTGACCGGCAACGATGGCGAAGTCTCCCGGGCTCAGAGAACCCTAAACTGCGCTTGATACCGGGCGAGCAAGTGAAGGCGTGGACACCGTACACCTTACAATACCGCTCTGTATTTATGTGAGGAGAAACTGAGCGCGTCGATTTTCGGAGTTCATCTTCAGAGGCTCGGAAGGAGGGAGGGAGGCCTTCCAAACTGGCTCTCTACAGTCACTGAAAGGAGATAACATTCCAGCTGCCGAAGGTCTCGCGACGAGTCTCGAAAGTATACGACAACCCTCGTATTGAATATTCCCTCTTTGATCGGAGCCGTTGATCCGGTCACGGAAATGGCTTGGAGAAACTCTTGTACGTCGCCCAGTGCTCAATGAGAATTTGCGATTTGCTCTTCATTAAGATACGTCACTCCGAATCTCGAATTATTCCAGCTGTTTCCTGGGAGTATGGTGGTCATCCAGCTGCTCCAGACTACTTTCTCGTAACTCACTGCAACGAAGAGGACTGTACGAGTCACAGCGTGGCGGGAGAGAAACGCTCTCTGAGTTTGAAAAACCTCGAGGACGATTCGGTGTATCACCTCACTATACAAGCAGTCATCCTGCGCGATGGTCGGCCATTCGAGAGTCCGATCGGGAGGACCTTGGTTTTCTCGCCGAGGCTCGAATCTCCGGGGGCTCTCTCTCTGACTTTTGAAGCACTGGCCGATTCCCCGAAGGTGAGATGAGAGGAGTTAGCTGCCTTAATCGAAGCCGGCTCTATAGAAGTCTAACTGGTCGAAGAATCGGAAACGATTGCAATGAAGAATAAGCTTCGGAGGCTCAATATCTCCGGAGGACCTATGATGGGGACGAGGAGGATACGGACAGAGATGGCCTCCTGGCGTGCATTCTCTTACGTCCAGCAAACGAATTTTTGACTGTAACGCGTGAAATGAAAATTCACACCTTGTTTCCTAATCGGACGAGATCTACAGAATAATCTCTTCACCTCTCCCCACCTAGGTCCACCTGAACATTATCCACAACGAAACCGCTGAGGATGATCTGATCGCTGTTCATCACGTTGTCGTTTGTAGGAAACCTCCCTCCATGTCGCTCAACCCTTACCCCGGCTCTTTGTCCACCCTCTACTCTCCGTCGGAGAATCAAGGTGAATGTGGATCCTTGGGTTTGGTAAACTCCTCCGTGGAAATCATGAGAGAGCCGTGGACTTCCTATACAGTCTCCGTTCTGACATGCTACGGAGAGTTCGATGCCAAGGAGCCTGTCAACTTGACGCTGCCGGTGTTCACACAAGCCCCGCCTCGCCCCACGCAACTATGGTGGAATGTAGAGGAGAGGACGTTGTTCTGGCTTTACGAGTCTAAATATCTGAGTGGATTCACGTTGAAGCTCCACACCCGACAAGGAGAAAGCTTCAACTTCCCGCTCGGCCCGCAGGAGCGAAGCGTAAGTGCAGATTCGACTCAAATTTAGCTGCGAATTCTCTGAGTCTGTGCGTCCGGAGGGGCAGTCTAGAAAATTCCGACTGGGTTCGGAGACCGGCAGAAGCAATCAGGATTATTTTTCCTCCATTGATTTTTTTTCAGTTCCCTCTGATCTTGAATGTGGGCTACGAGTTCACCGTAGAACTCGAAGCCTTCGTGAAGTATGAGGAAATCGAATACAAAGAGGACGCCGCGAAGCTCTCGGTGCATATTTTGGAGCCATCTCCCGAGAATGACGAGTCCAGTGAGGAACTCATCCGCTAAATCACATGCTCACATTCGTGAAAATTTATCTGTGGGCCTACTACAGTCTATCTGCAAGCTTCTGCCAAGCGGAGCTTCCGTCTCCCTCTGCTCCGTTGAGAGACCTCATGGTCAAGTCGGGCGGGGCGGACGGAAACAGAGAATAAAGAACACTGAACAATGTATACCGACCACCCTCCTGGACTTTCTGCTGGGGTCAACTCGGACTTCGATTATTAAACGCTTATAAATTCTATTTATTTACACAGATAGAGATCGCTCGGAAGGTCTCCGAAGGCTGAGTGCTCAGCAGACTGACTCGGATAAGCATTTCGACAGCTTTCTTGTATCCTCTGATTTCCTCGGATGGATCGCGGTGCTTTAGAGTAGACGAACCAGTCCGTACGACAGGAGACTGCCGACGGTGCTCCCTGCACCTGAGAACCAGGACACCATTCCGGCTGAGACTTCCTGCAGCTCAACGTCGACGGTCCTGGAATACCGATTCTAAATGCAGTGCTCGATCGAATAACACTTCCGATCATTCGATCACAGCTCCGGGGAAAAATACCACGTACTTGGGGGCGAAAACGAAGGCTGCGTTAATGAGGTATCCACTGGAAGCTCCCAGAACGCTCATCAGGACGATGAAAGCTGTGTCGCTTCCCAGAAGTACTGGAGTGAGAACTCGATTTTTTGGAGCTATATTACAAAAGAGCAGAAGAGGTACCAGGAGAAACCGGAGAGCGCACAGCCAGAGCAGCAGATTCTTGCGGGACGGGCTCTTTAATGGAAATGTCGATGAGAAGGGGGAGGCCTTTCAGGTGAACCTCGGCAAGCTATATACATACATAAGTCTGCAATGCGTCGAACAAAGACTCACGATTTGGAATCGGTTGAAGAGCAAGCGGCCGATGCAGTCAGCGACGTTGTACACGGTGAAGCACGCTAGTGGAATGAAGAGCTCGACTGAAAGACAAGATTTCCCTTTCAGGGCTTTCACCAAAAAGCAGGAGAGACGGACCCATTTTTTCCCGCGAACGGTCCATTCTAGAACCCACCCGCAAGTCTACCCCCAGAGGAGGCTCGCGTAGAGACGGCATTGGCAGTGATGGCGGGGAAGACCGAGATGTTCACGACGAACACAGTGAAACTGCAGGTGTGAAATTGCCAGCCCTGCAACCAATGACATAGAAGTCACACTTGAGTCCTCCCACAATTTCTTAAATTCGATAGAAGATGTCTCTTATTCCCGGGGAAGCGTTTCCGAACGCGGGATCCTCCGGCTCGACTCTCTTGGAAGTTCCGGAAGCTCCAAATCGATAGCTCTCACCCGTCGGAAAATATCCCAGAACGGAACGCTCTGTTCTCTGAATGAGAATGAGTCGTTGTTGTCAGCGAGCTTCCTGTAGTGCTCGAAAAAATCCTGTTGAGAGAAAAGTCGATCAGACCCGTTGCCGCAGACTTAGCGAGGAAGATGGAATCGTATCGCGAATCGATGGGAGACCCAAGCCCGCTCACCGATCTTCGCATGGCGAAGTATGCTCCCACGGTCAGCAGCAGCATGAGCGTCGCTGCGGCGAAGTAGATGAAGGCAGCGTCCTGATAACCAAAGTTCAAGAGTATGCAAAAAATTTGGATTCCGCAGCAGACCAATCCGCCCACGGCTTGCCCCAGGGAGCAGCTCTCCATATATCGGGGAGGGAGGTATCCGCAGACGCCGACCGAGGCGCCCATGATGAAACCGACCAAAACTGTGGAAGACAAAATTTCAGAATCAAACTCGGTCCTGGGGAGGGAGATTCGCGCGCAGCATTGCATCCTGAGAGTTATTCGCTCATAGGTGTACGGCCGGAGGTAGCTCTTGGAGGATAATAAATGCTTATCAATGCCTTCCATTGTGAGGAGAACCCACCATTTAAGAGAGCCACCGTGGCCAGCGTCAAGATGAGGAACGGTATTTGCCCTGGAACACAGCGCTCGTCTAAGAATCAGTATCTGGATCGGAGGAGATCGCACGTCAAAAACCGCAAAAAGCGAGTGCTCCCTGCGCTGAGGCTGCTTACAGTCATCAGTGTTCACTTCCACGAGAGTCGTCGTGGCCACGAACAGAGCTGCGGTTATTGAGAGCGGATATACGATCCTGGAAATCCAAAAATGAATGGATACGAGCTAGGGCTTAGTTTTTTGCGTCGGCGCCGAATGAGTCCGCGGAATTCCCAAGACGACGCTCAGGGAGCAGTCTCTGATCTTCAATTCCGAGGACTAACGGGGAAATCACCTCGTGTGGCTGGAAACTCGTTTACTGATGAGAGCGTTCAAGCCCAAGAATGCGACGAAAACGACATTGGACGTGATGGAGAGATAAGCGGCGAAGAATAATTGAGCCTCGTTGCGTTCCTGGTCCGGCGCGAAGGGTACGCTGGTATTCCTCAATTTGAACATCCAATACTGAAATTCCCGGCGTCGACGAATGTTAGGGGCGGATGCACAATTCCACATCATGAGATCCGATCATCTAGCACAGTGGTTCCCAAACTTTTTCTTCCACGGAACCCCTAGGGGTACCGACGGGGTTCCGTAGGGGTTCCGCAGGTAGACTTTGGGGTTCCGCGGAGCCCAGTTTGGGAAACACTGATCTAGCAGTTGATCTTTCCTTATATCCATCAGTCGAGCGCATAGTCGCGGGATTCACATCGTTTGCTGTGGTGAAGAAGTTCCATGGTGTGAGCGAGGCGACTCCAAGGAGAAATAGCGTTCCGAGTGTCACCCAATTCCTGAAATCAGGACTGCATGTCACGGATCGAATCCAACCGCCGGCAGAGTTCACTAATGGAAATATTTCCGTGAGAGCCCGCGCCCTGGAATTCCCGAGCGAATCGAAACAGAGCCGTTTTCTGCGCTTCCCCATCTCCTCGATATGCTGGCGCCGTTCTCCCTCATGAATATCATGGAGGACATTGTAATTCGGTTTCCTGACGATCCGATTCAAATTAGAGGCCATCGTCTCCCTTCGGAAGAGAGTGAGCCCTCTTTTCAATGCTCTATCTGGAGCTTACCGGTCTCGGGGCAGAGGTTGCTCCATTACTCGAGCGAACTGCTGGAACTTTTCTCAAAAAGGTCAAGTCGTCATCATCGGTTGGACTCTCCGCCGCTTTCACTTCCCTGCGCGTGGTGTCCATAAAAGAGCGACTCCATCAAAAACTCCACACCAATTTCAGTCACCGCGCTCGAGAGCATACACAGGAGAGACTACCGTACTCTCGGACACATTCTTTCATGATCGTGACAGTCAACGGCAATCGGAATGCGCACCCAGAGCATCCGAAATCGCTCCTCGAATGGAGTGCCTTCCGACCTTCTGTCGTCGGCGTCCCTTTCATGCGTGGGCTGCCGGCGAGTGATCGAATCGGGGGACCAGCTGATCGTGTTTACATCATCGTGCCTGGTGAGGGCAGACAGGCTCCGCCCCTCATTTTCTGAAACGTAGGAATATTTCTTGGTTAGACGGACGCTTACAGGCCGGAACTTAATCCTGGGAAGCGAATGCTCGACCAGCGGTGGTTAAGTTCTCTGAGACGCACCTCCGCCACGACCTCGCTTCCAGCAAAGGCGCTAGAGTCCCGTGACGCATGCAATACGATAGGTTTCGATCTTTCCTGATAGCGGACACGGAGACTGCAACAAGTATGTCTATCGAGCTTTGCGAATGTTTCTCTCCATCCAAACTCATATTGTGCACCGACAAAGGGACCATATCTCACTCAGTCAGCGAGCACAGAGCTGCCTTCGAGAGGACTCACCGCCACTCGCTACTGCGCTTAAAACTCCGATGTGATCTTCATGCTCGTCTGGAGATACATACAAAAAATTATGTTTCTTTATCATGCTTATGTTTCGGACATGAGTGAAACCGGAATACGCCGACTCAGGAAGCTCCTCGAGTCCAAGTCCAGAGTGGAGGAATAGAAAGATCGATTCGTGAAAGCTTGTCACTGTCCTCGTAAGATCATACGGAGCCCGTCGGAAAAATGTTCTGCGGCACCATCGGGCAACTGTAGGGCTCAGGCGTCATTTTTGTTCTGAAGGACCCCTGTAGGAGGTGGAGGAGGATGATCTGTTTGAGGCAATGAGGAGCTCCCGATTCGCATTTCACTGAAAGTCGCGCTTGCGTGAGACATTATACCAGGGTGGATTACGCAAGCTTCGAATCTCTGATTTTCTTCCGAGAATTTTCATTTGACGAATCTTGAGATTCAGCGTGGGTCCTTCTGTATTTCGTCGCTCCAGGTTCAATGCCTCGAACTCACTCGAGGCGAATGAATGAAAGCTTCTTCATTTCGAAGGCAGTCATAGCCCAGGTGACGAGACACCCCCCAGGCATAAAAATTATTTACAATATACGCACGGGCTCGTACTTTGGGATACAATGTGCGCTTGGAACGCCGGTTATTTTCAGAAATGGAGAAAAAGTAATCCAATTCGCCCATAATCTCCAATTTTCGGAGAGTACGGATATCGATGAGACGGTGGAGAGATTCTATAGTCGGCGAGCCTGCCCATCGATGAATCCCTTTTCTTCCATCACCGTCAGATTAGGTCAATGAACGGAGAACGCGCCTTCCACTCCACGAGGCTGGCTCCGCTTCTCGCTGGAGGACGTGGACCCTGACGAGGGGGAATTCATTGCTCAACATGCGCCCCTGCCGGGGCTGGATCAGCTCGTGGGAGCTTCTCAGTCCAACTGAGCCTGTGACCTGATCGATTGTCCGTTAGGTCCTGATCGCGAAATTTTTTTCGATACAAGACGGCTGAGACATGCCGTGAGTTGGGGACTTCTCAAGCAATGGCTCCGAGAAAAATAGAGGTCATTTGACTCGCCCTCTGCGGCGCAGATGTATCTTCTCCGGTTTATTATGAAAAATCGATAATGTTATCGATCCCAGGGTAACACAATGAACAGAATGTATCGAATGTATGTGAGGAATGAAAATCGTCGTATCAACGCTAGTATGAAGGAGCCGATGGAAGAAATCATGACACGAGCTTGTGCCTCGAATAATGTACATAACTGAAGGGTCCGCCTCTCTTGCCTTCCATCGAGGAAAATACATTTCCAGAAGACTTGTGCCCCCCGCCCTCTCGGGTGTCACGAAGCCCCCGAGAATTTCGAGGGACTGTGTCCGATCGCATGGATATCCACGAGCGAACTATCTCGCCGTTAGTAGCGCATCGCGATAAGAAAAAGCGCAGTTGAAACACGGACGACAGCGCGTATCGAGATGCCTGCTGGGACGGATACGTAGCTTAGAATACCCCGGCGCTTGGGGACATAACAGCGGATCATCTTTAATTTACGACAACCCTTACGACTCTAGGATCCGCGTTCCGTTCAATTTAATCCGGAGAGTGGTCTTCAGTGCGCAATCCCTCCGATCCGGTTGACGGGTGAGTTGGGCATCCTCATATCTGGCTGGTCCGTAATTCGCATGGTGGAACCGGCGTCCAGTGAGCTTTCGGAGCTCGTCGCGGTCCGCAGCACAGTCTACGTAAGCAGCATATTAAGCAGCCCACACTGCACAATGCGATAAGCACCAGAAACGAGAATGCAGCGTATAGTCATAAGGTTGGCGGAACGTATTCTCTGGGGAATGAACAGTACGGAATGAGCGCCTCAAAAACGTTAGGAATATTCAAACCTGCTCTCGGCGCAGCTTCCGGAGCTGATTTGGACTGATTCATCATGGGGAATCAGCGGGACTCACACGAGATATTTAGCGTAAAAGTCGATGCCGTTTACGTTCACGTCTTCTGTCTTCCTCTCTGAGAATTTCAAGGGCTCGTCGGATTCGGTAGTTGTCGTTGTCGTAGTCAGCGCGAGAGAATACTTCCCTTCGACATGATTGTTGAGTATCATTATATCTGCGCAGGATTTCAGTTGACCTTGAGGTACGTTGCAGTCCTGGTCCAAACCGCAGGGTGAGCCTGGAAATCGCGAGGTTTTGCCCCTAAATATAGATACATAAAACCTCCGGATCGCGTACGAAGCGTGATCGGATACTTGGAGATCGGCCTCGAGATCCGGACTTTACAGGTGTCACTAGACCCCGTGCTAGGTCTCAGAACTCTCGAAGGACGCTGGCACCGTAACCCGTACCGCTTGCCCCGCGAAAAACAAAACTCACCCGTCCAATACTCCCACACGAGAACGCACCAATGACACTGATATCTACGGGGCAGTTTAACGCGGAGTTTGTAATAGTTCCGCGGAACTGTGATCGAGTACAACGGTTCGCCCGTTTCCTCCGTGTCCAAGGGTCGTCTGTAGTAATCGATCCAGAGCGAAAATTCGGTCAGTCGTTGAGAGCGATATCGTGAGAAATCGAGGACATAGCATGATTAGATTTGGTGAAATAAAGTGAAATACCGGCTTCTGCACTTGATCTGTTTCACGGCTCGCTTTCGGTCGACTGGATAATCCTCGATTTTGCACACCGAGAATTGGAAGTAGCCCCCGAGTTGTCCGGTGAAGTTCAGCTCTACATCTATGTATTGGCCCGGCTCGTATCTCCGCGTAATCAGACCTGGGAAGGTAAAACGGCCGATACGTACTGCGAAATTTCCCGCGGCTTGGGTCCTGCAGGATATGGCGCTCTGAGCTCTTCTGCTTACCTTGCCCGTAAACGCCACCGATTTCGTGGGGTCGCGGCACTGGGAGATCGAAAGCATCCCCACACATTCCACAATTACCTCCGTTCAGGTGCCAGAGGCGCTGCAATGATTGCAAGCTAACCGAGCGAACGAGGACATACCTCTCCTCGTAAGGGTCGCCTCAAAAATCCTCGCGAGCTTTGTCGGAGATGTAGTTGTAAGTATCAAATGAACAACTAGCGCTAGTTCGATAAACTTACTTCAGTACCCCCGCAGTCGGTGTAACTGTCGTTGACATTGACCGGCGAATCGTAACCGAATCTCCACAAGGAACCTCTCGCTGGCGGCTCTTGCATTCGGCCCAGAGCCCTCGCCGCGCACACGGTGTGTGCTATCACGAGCAAGCAGCGCCTCATGTCGAAGAGCTGAAGACGACTGACTTGGCGCCGAGTTGCGCCTCGCTTTCGAGGAGGTAGAGCGGACGTTTTTTTTCCTCTCATTCAAATGAGACCGAAGTGAGGGCGTGACCGTCAACGACTCTTTCCGTAGCCCCGAAAATGCAAATGTACATGTAGAGAATGAAATGGGCATGTAGAATGGAGAGCGACTGCCGGAGAAGCGACGAGAAGCTGATAGAGAAGATATCGAGGTTGAGGGCGGCTCCCGTGCTCACAGATTTATGATTCGAATCGCTTTTTCTCACGACGCGACGTATCACTGAATCGGAAGACACTCAGGGAACGATCGTAAAGCGACAAGTGAAACCATCGATTTGTTCCACACCGCGTGGCGTCGTTGGGACGGTGTCGTAATCTGGGTCTTTTCAGTATACCGTTGTTTTCACGTAAATGATTCGATCGATAATAACTCCATACTACTGAGGAAGAAGTCAGCTGATCCGTCCCAATCGGGACCGGGTTCACCTGACTGGTTGGGCGGGCTCCGTCGTATGTACCATCGGAAGCGAGATATTGTTCCGTTCAATTTTGGGATGCAGTGTTCAATCAAGTCGCCATGGTGGAACGGATCTCGAGCATCTCGATTGTCAACCGGGAAGCAAAACGAAAACCAAGCTTTCCCACATCGAGGGTTCCCTTGACCAGTGGGACTGACTGACTGACCGCTCGGTCTGTCTTCACGCGCTTTCCGATTCTTCCTCTTTCCACGAGCACCTTGCGACAACCGAAAGCCGTCAAAAGACTTTCAGTCGCAGCGCTCGAGGTGGAGATGTCCCATTTGAAGAAGAAAACTCCGATTGTTTTCGTTCTGAGTGCCCTTTTCGTGATTCTCTTGGTGCAAGCTTTTGGTGGCGATGTACCAGCGGAAAAATTCCGAGTTAGGGAGAGAGTCGTGAAGAGTCGAGGCTTGGAAGCTTTTTACGCTGACTTGAGAGATATGGGTTACGCGAGGGGAGATAAAGGTGCGGTTCTTTTTCGTGAAACCGTGATTGAGCCTCCATGTATACCGTCCTTCCTGAGAATTTATGTCGCATCCGCGCCTCGGAACGTGGAGCGCCGGAAGGCGATTCGCGAAACCTGGGCCGTGTGGATTCAAAACGTCACGGTGACTTTCGTGATCGGCAAAAGTGATTCGGATTTTGATATTGCTCGAGAGGCCGCTAAATTCGGTGAGTTCTCGACTTTGGCCATTTGTCTTCATGCCGCAGTAATTTTGGTTTCAACAGTTTCTGAAGAGATGACGGATTGCGCGCCTTCGAAAACGTTGAGCGGAGCTGCTTCTTGATTGAGTGCTTTCTGGAATTTCTCGAGCACGTAGTGCTCCCTGAGTGGCCGGTCTCAGTGACCATCAAGAGAAGTATCATACCGCGCGGAGAGCTGCTGAGCTCAGCGTGCGGGCCATGGAGGAAAGGAAGACACCGGAGGAAAATGTCCGAACTGCAACAATTCAAGCGGCACTTCGCAACTTAGCCTCAAGGGCATAACGAGCTATCCGAAAGCCACGAAGGATGCCTGACAATGGCAGTGTTAGGAGCCCAACGCAGCAATTACGACATGCCCATCGACAAAAACACTAGGTCGGCAGAAGATGAGGTTGATACGTTTTGGAGCTACGCGGAATGAAAGACGCTGTACCATCAGAGTAGAATAAGATCGTTGCACGGGCAGCGACCTGCCAGAGACGACGCTTGACTTGGAATGAGTGATTGGGTCTTCGCCTCGCATGGTTTGATCTCTTACGTCGAATGATTTCACTTACGCGGCGCACTTTCGTCCGATCGAAATCGAATAGCCATTGATCTCTTGCGCAACTCTGAGGAATGACTCTTCGGCACTTTTTCAGGAGATATCCTTCAGGGGAACTTCAATGACTCTTATGATAATCTGGTGTTCAAGTCCGTCCTCATGCTCTCGCATTTCACGAGTCGGTGCTCCGCTCCCTATCTCCTGAAAACGGACGACGACATCTTCGTGAATGTTCCTGAGCTTGTTCAATTCCTCATTCATGGTCGGCCTCAAGGTGAGGGCGATTCCCAGACATACAGACATACATTCGTCATTTCGATTTACAGCCCTATCCACTCGCTCTCAGAAGAGGCATGGCTGAGCAGAAAAAAAATTCACGAATCGCTGCCCATCGTGTGCAAGCCAGAAAACCGCCCGCAGACCGTAATGCTGCCAATGGGAACCGTGTGAAAGACCTCTGACCTACTGAATAGCCTATGACCATCAGAGTGGCGATCAGACACCGAAGCCCAAGATTCAGGTGCTGAGACGTTTCACCAATAGCCGAATGGACTGCTTACGCAAGGCTCCTTCGGCGTCTCATCACGGGGAGATGCGGAGAAGTCTTGACTTTCCTCAGGGAAATCACTCACGTATTGCAAGGAAGGGGGTCCACCATTATCTGAGCGGGAGGATCAATCTTGCTAGAGGTCTCTCTCCTCCAAGTTTTGAACAATCAGACGTCACCGCTCCTCCCAAATTCCAGGAATCGTGGGCTGTGATAAGAGTCGAGAGACGAAACCGATAGCATCTTCATTGGCTTCCCTACAAGCAGTGAAGACGTTCCGTAAGATCAAACCAATACGCTTCGTCGCCGGAGCTGGCTACCTGATCGAAAGTAAGGAGAGTCCTCCTTCCCAATAACTCGTGGACGGAGGTCCCAGGATGGAGGTGGATCTGTATTCGGACTTGCCGACAAATACACTGCCCCTTACCGAGTTCTTCCTTACAGAAAATTCTGCATACCTGCTGAAGTCAGGATGTTCGCTGGCAACACCCATACCGGTCGAAGACATGTTCATAACGTCAAGATGCGCGAAAAAAGCCAGAGTGAAGACTGCACATCATGGGGGCTTCAGCTGCGGTCGTAGACTCCAGCGACCGTGTGAAATGAGCCACGCATTCACAGGACACCATGTCAGTGCCCGGAACATGGTCATTGTTTTCAGAGCACTTGTTGCAGGCAAATGTGACAGGTCCTCAAGATGAACGCGAAAGCGGGTCTACTTTCTGTTCCATGTGTTTCCGGGACGACTGTGTATATATGAAGTCGTGATTACGCGGAAAGAATCCCCTTTTTCGAGCGACTTCGGAATGAATCCTACTATGCATATGATGTACATGGAGTCTCGACCCCACGGCGAAGGATCAAAGAAACTGTGATATTTCCAATCCACTTGCTTCGTGTATTGGAGGGATTCCGCGGAAATCCATGGAATTCGAGCGTCAAATATTGTGATCATAACGAGAGTTCAATCACAGATCGGAACTTTGGGTTTTTTCCGAATGTTTCGCTCCGGATAACTCGTTTCCAAAAACACCGTTGAGGGTTCAGAAAGATAAAGTGGCGAGTGATTAGCCGGTCGCGACGGTGCTCCACCGTGAATTAGCCTTCCCGCCGCCGAGATATTCGCGGGTGGTGGCCCCGAGCCGGCCTGCTCGCGACTGAGTTTCGAGAATTTTTCAAACACCTAGCCGGACCTTCCACGAACAAACTCACATGAGCAGAAGATATAAACCACGGAATCATCCTTCTAATAAATGCCATGTCACGAGTGATAGTGGGAACCATTTCTTCTTCGTGTTATTCCAGTGTGGTGTACAATTAATACCTTGCTCTGAGGCGAGTCCGACTGCGAATGCCGAGGAAAATGGAATGCCTGATAGAATTCGGATAGAATCGGCTCGTCAATTCTTCGTCCGGAGTAGCTCAGAATAGTTTCGACTCGAGGCAGGGACAGTCAGCTGATCAGATGGAGATAACTTTTAACAAGCGTACGGGGGTCCGAAACTTCTTGACTGTTTCTGCTCTTCGTCGAAATGGTTCGTAAATCTCACTCGCCGTGCTCCTCTGAAGCTGTTCGTCCCATTCGTAATTGTCGCGAGGAACAGCGGCGGATTCACGAATTTGCCGCCCCAGGCTTAATCAGGATCGCCGCCCTGATGCAACCCATCTGGGAATGAATCCCGGTTCTTCCCGGCGCTTGCTCCAAGTTTTAAAGATTTCTTTTCTATCCCATGAAAAGCCTAAGGATCCGTGGACATAGAGATCGTCGCCACTTATTCAGAGAAAGAAATCAATCCAAGAGAAAGAAAAAAACGCCTTCTCAGAATAATTGAAATCACGTCTGGCTGCTCGTTTTTGAGACGGCTCTTCGCCCTCTGAGAATTAGAGTCGACGTCCTCGTCTCGATCTCGAATGATTTCACTGAGTGCGTTGTCGAGGATCACAGAAGATCCAACCAGGATTTCGCCGCCCCCCGGAAACTGCCGCCCCAGCCTACTAAGCCTACAGGGTAAATCCGCCACTGACCGGGAAGGTCAATCACGGACGCCCCCGGATAGCGCGCTCATGCCAAGCGCTAGAGCTCTCGATTGTTTTCCCGTATCCTCGCCGAAGATCATTCCTAATTGTTTATCAAAATGGTCCGGGAGCTGATCTTCCACCCTACAGGCTCCGACTCCGTTCGGGAAGAGCCTGAGACCGCTGGGAAAATAAGAAATCCGCTCATCGAGAGGAAGCACCTGGTGCTGCGATTCCAGCCTCGTGGAACTCGCGCATGATGGATCGGAAAGCGTAGGGATCGTCGCCGGCTCTGAGAATCGGACCGTTCTCGTAAGCCGTGGACTCCGCAGACGACAAAATCATCGAATCTGCGAATATGTCGCTGCGTGATACTTCCCTTCCGACTCGATCTCCAGCGAGACGGCTGATTCCTGTGATATTGCTTTCACATTGAGGCTAGATGCCATTGTATAAGTATTTATTTGTGTTGGGCGCCGTCCCTCATCTGCTCTCAGTGCCGAGCTCACTGACCGAGCTCTGATCAGAGCACCTGCCAGCAGCGAAATCGTGCTTAAGACCGAATCCGTCGAGAATCGGTCCGCTAGCTCAGCTTTCTCAGGAGTCTCCAAGAATTGTTGAGGACTGCTTCACGAAAGGACGGCCTGCCAGCAATCTCTAGTTGACTCCACAACCGATGGCTGCATCGAGTCATCCACGGCGGCTGTTCGATTTCATCGAGGGATACCATACAATCATTTCCGATGGTGACGACATCGATGTGGCGTCCGTCTCCCTGCCTCAAACGAATTGGCGTTGAGCGATGACACTCGACGCTGTACCTCAACTGCCAAAAATGGGGCTGACGAAACAAAACTAATCTTGCATTTTTCTGCGACAAAGGAGCTCCGAATGAATGGCACCATCCTCGTCAGATGCAACATATGCGGTTTGCACATGTCAGACATGTGACATGACGCTTCTTGCACCGCTCAAGCGCGCCGTACACATATATAATATCAGCGCGAGGCTATAGACTCGGTATTACAGGGATTCCACAGTCATCGCCAGATGTGATCAAAGAATCGGGAGAGCAGCCGTCGAATCGCTTCCGAATCGTCATTTAGTCACGAGCGCTGCGACATTGGCCTCCTAAGTCTTCCTCCGCTTCTGTAGAACTGCCAAGCACTTCGAGCTTTCAGTCGGAGGTCGCAGATCGAAACCAACGCTTTTGATGGTTCCTTGGAAGGGCGTTGAGGTCTCTTTTCGTGCGGAGACACGGTCATATGCGAGTCGTTCCATGAAAACTCCGTCCGGAGAGCGGCCTGTCCCCTTCGATTCCTCTAACCGCTAACTTCTCCGCCAGCGTGAGCTCCGAGCCTCTCGAGGCATTCAGATCAGCGGGCTCCTGGAGCGGAAATCGCTGATCCGCTGCTCAGTCTCTATAAGGCGATTCCCGAGCTATCGGCCGAAGGGTGGCTTGACACTTTTCCGAGGATACGAGAGCCAATGAATGACTCAATCCGACCCGCGGCTACAGTGACTCAGACTGAAATGAGGAGCTTTTTATCCATCCCGGGATTAGACATCCTGTCGATACCGGAACAAGAGAAGTCGCCTAGAAAGTTGTCCCTCGGCAATGCCTATCGCTCGTTGGCGGATTATCATCAAAGTTTGGAGGCCAATGGACGGAGAGATCGACCTTTCGGGAAAGAATCATACCTATTCCGTTGTTCATTCCGACAAGATCGAATCGGAGGTACGCGTGAATTTTTTCAGCGCGGAATCGAGAAGCCCGGGTGCTTAATCAAGCTCTTAGCTCCTCCCCAACAGACGTAGTGTATTAAGAGTCTCGGATGACGCGAGAGGTACACAGCCTCTCCTCCTCGCATCGGCACATCGTCATGACCGTCCATCTCCGGAAATAATCGCTCTGACCCTGTGGGCATCTTCAGACTCGAACGGCGAGCCGGTCTCTCTCGCGCCGGCATGAGGGTCGATTTGTGGGTCACGTCTCTGTGCGTAGAGATAAGGTACAAATCGATGATGTAATGTCTCAAAAAATCCACGAGGAGACGACACAACAGTGTGCATCCTCTCACGTATCCTCCGGCATGCCTATCTGAGGTCTCGCCCGTTCCCTTCCAATGACCCGCGAGCCACTGGGAAATCTTGTTCCACGGCATTCTAGCATTCCGCGGCTTCCGAGGGAAAGTTTCGCCCTCGCCAAATTAGAGGAGGCCGGAATGGTCGCTCCGGCTCGCTGCGATGAATTACGGCAATCTCGAGACGCTGCTTTGGAAACGCTCAAAATGGGGACCCTCGCATCTCCGCCAATAGACCGGTTCGTGGAAAAATTGTTCATAAATAATATTTCGAGCCCTGCCATCGATCATTGAGTGTGAATTCTCCCATGGAAAATTTAATTTTTCCTCTTCTGTAGTCGGAAGTCCCCAGACAAATCGTTCATTTCTTTCGAGGTGTTCCTAGTTATCGCCCTGGAGCGGCCCCTCTTTCTCCCAGGGATTCAATACGTCGGTATTCCCACGCAAAATGAACCCCGAGCGCCGCTCTCTGTTAGATCCTCCTATCGCGCCTCCAGTCGGAAATCGGTTCGTCGAGTAAATGCCCACAGTCTTGGGATGATTTGTGACAGCCTCGATCGCCTGAATCTCCTTGGCACCTTCCATTCCCGGGGTCGAATCAACAAGCAATCGTTTGTGATCTGTAATCTGCCGAAATCCTCGAGAAGATCGACTTAGGAGATCTATGCTCGCCCTTCTCGAATAAGGGCCGATGATTCCCCTCTCCTTCGATCATTTACGGGTATACCTCCCCCACTCGGCAGCAGCTTCGGTCTTCCGCCTTGTCTCCCGAAAGGACCCTAACTAGTTTCTTGGTCAATCTCAGATTCAACCTCTCACTATGCGGTTCATTCCTTCTCGGCTTGGTAGTTTTGGTACCGTGGAACTTCCTCGTGATGGCGGACGACGTGAGTACAGCACTTTGAGTGAAGCTTCCGAGCTCCGACCGAGCAGACCTCACCTTCTCAACTTGATGGTCTATTTCAGTATTGGAAATACAAGTTCCGGAGCGACAACGCTACCGATGGGGGAAACAGCGGAGAGATAAACGAGAATCAGAAATTCTTCATCTCATACCTCAGCTCGGTTTGCAACGGAATTTACCTAGTGGTTCTATTTTTGAACACTATTTCCACCGTTAGAGTCAGCAGTGTCTCCAGGTGCGAACCTCCGAAGCACCGCAGGCTAATCTAGTAGGATTCTGGATAAGCTTTAAATTGTCGTCTCTGGATGAACCTCAACTTGAATTCCAGGATATCCGGGTCCCTGATCGGGACGACCTTGGCCATGATCCTCACGACGGTTTTCGTCGAAGTCAATACCGATTCGTGTGCGTTGCACTACTTTGTGGTCTTAGTCAGCGATTCTCTTAGTAGACTACGATGCGGCTTTGCGCGGTTGCAGACGAGCTTCATGTTGATTTTATTCTTATCCAGGGAAAGACGAATTCCTGGTGCTGAGCTTGGTGATCGCGGGCCTGACTAGCTGTAAGTCGAAAGACGATAGATCAGTGAGTGGCACTCAGCTCCTGCTCTCGCACGTTGTGTTCCTTATTTCCGATACTGAGTCTTATGTGAAACGAGCAAGACTGAGGCGCTCCCTAGGTTCACCCGCCATGATCCCGACGCTGAACCTTCGCAATATGAGCAATCGAATTCCCCTTCATGAGTTGAAATGAGGCATTATTCGAACAGTCCTCGTCGCGATCCTGTCGGGTTCCTCAACCGGGATTTGTGGATTTTTGCCGCAACGTTTCATGGCGGCTTGTTTGCTCGGGCAATCAGTCGGCGGCGTCCTCTGCGCATCGGTTCAGATTGGATGCCTCGCGTTCGGCTTCTCGTCCCAAAAAACGGCTCTCTTGTTCTTCAGCATCGCGATCTGCATTCTACTGATAACGTCCATAGTATGGCCGCTTATGAGATCCACGGTAAGCATCATTCCAAAGAAATCGATAGGTAACTCAATCTAACTTGGATTACGGAGATTCGGCTAACAAACTTCCGAAATACAGGATTTCTTCCGGCATTATCAGCGAATAGCTTCATGCTCGGATGATGTGAGCGTCTCGGATGTCTCGTGCATGCCGTACGGGGGTTCCCGGCTGACTGTTTTTTGGCGCGTTTTCCTGCAGGTAATTTCTGTCCCTCCTCCCCGAGGACAACCCGAGAGAACTTGAACTTATTGACCGAGCTCGTCATATAATCGGGATCGGGATAATCGTTGACGAGCGAGAAACCTCCATGGCTCGATTCTAGCGCGACGATGCTCTGACGGTTTTTCTCCTGATCGAGCTCTGATTTCAGGGATGGCAATTCCACATCACAGCTCTGATAGCCGGCACCTTCTCTATGCCGATATTCCCCAACCTCGGATACGCAGGACAGTCAGTCAACGTAGATATTTCTCCTTTCTTGAGTGAGTACATAACCAGCATCATACTTTCCGAGCATTATGCGGAGCCTTTTCGTTCATTTGTAATGATATCCGATGAGAATGCAACGCGAAAATAAGCGAATGACGCTCCTGATATGCGCAGCCGTCCGGCTGCTTTGATCACCCGCCTCTCAGCGTATTCGAATGCCTATGATTTGGCACGAGTCTCGCAGGGAGACACCGCGGGATGCCATATTACGGGCGAGTCGTATCTCAAGTTCAGCCTGACTTATTTGTAGAAGTTACCCTCGTCCATCGCAGCACCAGCTCGGCTATTGCATCGCGTGAGAAACCTCTGAGACGCGGTGGTAGTAGTTTCTCCGTTCGTGGACATTGAAATCGCGCCCCAGAAAACTGGGTGGAAGTTTTTCAATCCTGAGACGCACGGAACAGTAGCGGGTTCATCGACCAATGGAAGGAATGGATGATCTGCAACTTTCACGACTTCGAGAAGTTGATCCAGGATTTTCATGCGGCAACCGTGAGAAAGGAAGAAGACTCTGTGCAAAGCTCTCAATAGGCTCAAATAGAAGCAGTTGCCTCGTAGACGCCAGAAATTACACGAACCTCCGTCGATCTTGGAAGCTCCTCTTAGCGATTTCGCGGTACAAGGGCACATCACTCGTCTCTGACATGAAGTCAGGCAAGGCAATCATCGCATAAGCTCCCCGACAGACCGGGGATCAAACAGAAAAACTTTTGATTGCAAAGTCCCATCTTAGTGATCATCGAAGCATGGTGCTCGGCGAAAGAATCAAGATCAGGGAGTCATCGCTCCTGAAGCCTGATTCCTTGCTCGTGCAGGACTTCGATACGAAGGAGCACAATCCTGGGAACCATACCATACCATACCGATTAGGATTTGCCTAGAACTGATCGTCATTATTCGTTGATCTCCTCATCAAGCAGGTTATCTTTTTCATTCTTCCGATGCATATTCCGTCGCAGTGACAGTCTGCTTCATCTTCCAGAGACCTTCTTCTTGCCCTTGGCTTGCTCTCTCACGTACAGCTTAGCAGATGTTTCCGGAAGATATTTCGAGAACTTACGTCCTTACGTGAGTTTTCCAGATCCCTGCTGTCATATCCATGTTGAACCCAGGAAGTGCAACCAGTCCCGGTAGTGACTTCCACCCTGCGATGTCGGCTGATTCTGCTCGCATCTTACAGAATCCATCTCGAAGGAAGCTCCTCTTAGCTTTGTCCTTTTCACGAGTGCTGCTCATTCCACTCTTGTTGGTCTGCAACCTGAATCCGTTGAAGAGGAATGTGACTGAGGTCTTGATCAGGAGCGACGAAGTGTTTGCTCTCATAATGCTGGTCGCGGGCTTCTCAAACGGCTTTCTTCTGAACGCCGCATTCAAAAACAGTCCTGGGTGAGTTCCGACCGGGAAAATGAGGAGACTCCTCACTATGGAGTCTGATTGAAATTTTCGACACCATTTGCGGATTGGGTCTCGCACCATATGAAATGGCAGGCAGAGGTACCGAGTAATCAATGTTTGACTCGATTTCATTGCAGAGCAACCTCTCTGGAGTATCAAGAAATATCGGCTACAATAACCGTGTGTTTCTACGGAACGGGTGCTACCCTCGGATCGTTACTTTCGATCCTTCTCTTGAAGCTGCTCTGATTGCAAGATATAATATATATAATATAATATAATACAGTATGTCGCGGAATTTTGCGACTCCGTGACCGAGAATAGCGTCACTGCGAAACTGACAATTTTTTTCTGAAAATAGTGTTTCCTGGGTACCAGGTTAAGTAATCAAAAGCGTCCGAACAGAGTCCTTACAAAGCGTTGACAAACGAGAGCTTGTGCAGAGCCGCTGCGAACTCACTGCCGTCGATCACCCCTCTCGAACTTCATCCGGGTAGGTTCTTGGCTCTCGTTAAGACGAAAGACTTGTACCCGGGCCCTCAGCCCCCCTCCCCCACTAAAAGATCCGGGTTTGAATTCACACGACCGATCAAGATAGGAGGTTTCGTTTATACCGTAGTCGACTTTATTTTATCGGAAACATTCATTGGGTCAAGCTTATGATACAGGTATGTTCAGGTCATGTAGGAACAATCGCTAGCAGCTACAATCTTTCAATTTCAGCCGTAGTAACCACCGTAGCCTCCGTATCCGCCATATCCGCGACCGTAGCCACCGTAGCCACGGCCGTATCCATAGCCGCCGTAGCCTCCGTAGCCGCGGCCGTAACCCCCGTATCCACGGCCGTAACCTCCGTATCCCCCGTATCCTCCGTAGCCGCCGTACCCACGTCCATAACCACCGTAGTATCGTCGACCACCTCCGTAGAAAATGGACTCAACACTGACCACCGCCACGACAACAACGAGCAGAAGAGCGAGGCAAAGGCGGGAGTTCTGGATCAGAAAGTTGAGATTCGTGTTAATCCCCGTTCAGAACTTCGAGCCGAACGTAGTCTTCAGCCGAAGATCGAGGAATGCTTCTGGATTCGGACCAGGAACTCACCATTGTGTGGACTGTTGGGAGTTGCTGCAAATCTATGTCTCCAGATCGAGAACGGTGCCTTTTTATATCCCATGAGAGGGTTGACACCTCGATGACGTCAGCAGCGATGTTCTCGTCCAACCGAAAGTACCGAACCAAGGCCAGCAAACGTCACTGTAACTCTCTGCAGCATTCATTGATCTATCTCTCACGAGACTCCCCGCGACTTCAGCCCTTTCATCGTCCAACGACTCAATACGAGGAGCCGCATGACGAGAGATGACGCGTTTGCGGTCAGTGCTTGCTCGCTGCCCATGCACAAATCTCGATGGCGATGTAGCAAAGCACGTGGAACACTTCACTGACAAAATCGCAGAACACACTTGCTCATCTCTATGATAATTCAATCGCGGATTTTCCACAGAAAAGAGGAAGACGAAAAATACGCAAACAATGAAGATGAGGGGGAGAAGAAGAGGAAGAGACGCCGAAAAGATGTCCTGCTTGAATGCACGAAAAGTGACAACACACTCCAGAATCATCTACACGTACTTCTGCTGTCAAAGATGAACTTCGATTCTGATGGCTTTCTCGTCGGAGAATTTGCGTCAGTGTTCCTTGACCTTGATCCGTCGCGCAACTCGACGGGCCCGAAGACCGGACCCAAGGAATCAGAAGGTTCAAATCTCACTCCGATCTTCGGGTGGATCACAGAACTCGAGCTTCAAGCGGATCCGACGCTTCCGAAAAAGATTTGCCTTGTATGTCTTGACATGTCTTGTATACGTACAGGAACGCTCAAAATGGGTCTCGAAGTTGCCTCCCACTCATCGTCCGGCTCCAGAGCAAGGTATGAGGAGGGCAGGCAGGTCCGCCGCGCCGTCCAAGCAAGGACCAGCAGAAGCGAGCTGCTCTCACTCAGAAGTTTCAACTAGGAGGCCAGCGACGATGCATCTCGTGACGAGAGCTTAACGGTCACGTCTGTCACGCTTCGATACCGGTCGTTCACACTGATATCTTTATGCTGGGACTTGAACCATATCTTCCGCTGACTGTGCATGCTTCAAAATCGGTCACGGAAAGTCACCGAGCAGAAAGCTCGGGCAGCCTCGGATCGGGACAGAAACGATGGATACCTGCCGTGGTGATTCGTCGGATTCAAGTTCGGACTCGCTCCGAACAAGGCAAAAGATCGGTCCGAGCCCGAAGCGCTCCTCTAGAGCTCCTCGCTTCATGACGCATGTTAATGATGCTTGCGATTTCTATTCTGGACTCATGTAATCGCGGGGATTCACTCTTGATTAGGAGACGATCCGGTTCTCCGGCAGTGCGCAATGAATCGTATGCCGCTCGCAGTACATTCCGTTCCGCAAGGATGATGACAATCGAACTGTTCCGATCGAATCTAAATGAAGATGTTCTCATCACTGCGTTGCATCAGAAATCAGAACAGAAGAAAGAATCTGGGAATTCCTCAGATGGTCTGTCAACAAACGATATCGTACACAAGAGTGACAGTCTTGTCATAACGCCGAAAGAAAGTGCTCGGTAAACACGTTCCGGAGCTTGACTTCCGAATCGAGCGGCTGGTTCTACTTGGTTCCCGAAGGGAGTCTCGAGAAAAGGCTGGAACTGTCGAAAGGAAAATCAGCCGATGGTGGTCCGAATTCGTTCAGAACGTCTACCTCCTTCTTTCGAATAGAGCTCCGCGATCCGACCGAATCATATGACGTGAGCGAGAATCACCACAATGTTCGGAGAAGCCAATTTTTCTGAGCGGGACCTCCAGAACGTAATACGTCTTGTACTGCAATCGGAACATGGTCATAGTCCACGCAGTCAATCCATAAACTGAAGTCCCAGAATATCTTTTCGCGCGCCTCGGCTCCTAGGTTGAACAAGACACGCGATGTCATTAATCACATCTTAGGTTGAAGAAGATCGCTCCCTGCGGCCTCATACTCGACGTGAGCGTAGGCTCGCGAGGTCTTGTTTCGGGAATACCGGAGCAATGCTTGAGTCAGATCTCACATGTCTTCGGGATTGTTTTCGTCAACAAACGTTGCCAAACTCCTCTTGCGCGATATCTAATCCAACGTCTGTCCTTTGGGGATAGGGTACAGGTTTCGTTCTACGAGCGGAGATAATGAGTTGTCGCGTTCAAGTTCAGGGCCCCGAAGAACACAAGAACATATCTTCTGGATCTCACCCGGAGACGATAAAATCTCAAAGCAGTCGATGAGCGGCGTGCGGTATCCTGCTCTTGGCTCCCGAGACATGGCAGTGTCGAGCTCGTCAGGCTGATCTCCTCTTTGCAACAGACACGTGCATGCTCGAGCGATTCCCCAATCGATCTTCAACGGCGACGAAGATCGCAGTGTACGTCACCATTCTTGTCGTCCCGTTCACCTGGACTCGTGATGAAGGAAAGATGGACACCTATCGAATTCCGATCTGATGATGGACCACCCCCTGTTTGGTACGCTCAGCAGATCGGATGCCCCCCGACGTCTGACGTGAGGAGGAGGGGAATCCTTGATTTCTCAGTCTCCCACGAATCCGCGGTGGTGCAAAATCGATGAATAGGGACTGTTGAACTGTTTCGGAGGCTGCTCGCGACGAATGTACCTTCTGAGAGTCCGCACGATTGGGCTTGCTTTCACGACGAATTCCGCCAGACCTCCATGCTCTGTCAGCTGAGTCTAGCGGGCGACTTAGGATCGGGCTGATTTCCGGAGCTGGCAGCGACCTCGAAGGCACCGGGAGGCGTGACCAAGGACGATATCACAGCGATTGCGATGTTTCACTGAAACACACTCATTGACAATGAAGACTTGGTGGAGACGACGGCAAAGAATATCTCAATATTCAAGCTTGCAACGTCATGGAAGATTCTGTGCATGTCAGGAGCTTCCGCCGGAATGAAATCATTTTCCGAGGTCTTCAGGTTGGAGTTCCTCGAGGCAAGGAACATGGACGACCTGCGTTCTGTCTTCGTTTTCTGCGCATAATCCAACAAGAGACTCCCCGTGCGTTGTTCGGATCTCTCTCTGATTGAGATGCTGTATAGAAAGAAAGAGAGCGAATGGAGGCTCGACCTCAAGCGGATATCGTTTGTCTGCTCTAATTGCCAGGAACGACAGTTTATGGGCTTGCACAAGCTTCTTCGGCACGGAGAATACTCGGAGGGAGTCCTTACCACGGTATCAGGAAGAATCACCAGCGGAAAAGATCGCAGCTGACGGAGAAGTAAGTTGAGGTCATCAATCTAAGAAAAACTTGGAATCGATACGTCTCCATGGAACAAATTGCCGCTTCATTTGATATATCTATCGGTACAGTCATAGATGTGGGTCACAGAAACTCAGGCGTGAATACACATATCGAGTTTGATTCCACGGAATGCTCTCAGGGGCTAATAGGGAGTCGCGAATAGAGCGGTGCTTGGAACCCCTGAGATCCCTCAGGAACAAAGCGGCCGGATGCATTCGACTCTTTCCGTATCAGAAAATATTCAGAGCTGAGGTCAACCATCATTGCCAGGAGCGAAGCCAGTACGAAGCTTGCATTGGACCGACGGCGGACCGTCCGGCGAAGTTCCCGTGTGCTCGGGGCGGTCTCGAGCGATGGCGACGTTACCAAACCGCCTTTCTTCGAGGAAGTCGAATCTGTGTGCAAAACCAAAATAAGATCGACGACACCGATGAGAGTTCGAGCGAAGGAGGGAGAATCGGTATATCATTGGTGAACGGTGATTTTATTGATGACATGGAACACATTCGACGTGTCATTATTATGGAGTTCATTCACTACAGAGTAATACGAGAGATGGGGAGCGGCACATGTAGTATGGGTCACACCAGATCCATCGTTTGTCGCTGTGATGCGATGGATCCTCCATACTCTCGGCTGTCGCACATCGGAAACTCTTTCAATGGAGTCGTTGGTTATCCTCGAATCATAACAATCGTCCTCTTAAGAGATGTAACATATCAACGCTTCGGCGGCCTCCAACTTAAAATATTTAGCGGTTCTCGGTGATTCTCGAATCGATTCATCCTCGACATATTCGACGTGAAATTTCGGAGTTCAGGGGTCGCGGTCACACGGAATTCATCAGCTGGGCTTTGGCACAGAGGCTTGGAACCAGAGGCAAGAGTGTTTTCTGCAGTGGTTCAAAAAAAGAGAGTGGATTCAGCGTAGAAGTCGGGGAGGGGACAGTGCTCTTCGATTATCAACGCAGAGTCTTGCCATTGTCACAAGACGAGCGTTTGCCGAAGTTGTTCCTTGGGAAGCAGAAAAATCGAAAGTTCGCGCAAAAAACACAACGGTGAATGACGGGTCACGGAGACGTCACGCTGACTGGCATTCTTCAAATGCACGCAGGTGTCTCTCCGGTCGCAGGTGCTTGTGAGGGCATATGTATGCAGGTGGAGTGAAAAAAGTCACAGTGGCTGATTTTCTGGATGATCGTGGTGATGGGCATACCGGCTGAGGTTCTCGAATAATTTATGATCAAGCCGTCACGAACGATTGGGGCTGAGGCGAGGTAGAAAGAAAGCCCGAATCATCAGCAGAGAGATTTCCGCCCGTCGACGCATTTGTGTTGGCTTCGGGGTAGAACGTGATCTTTTGCTCCTTGGGCTGTGGGTCCACCACATCCAGATCGGTGTCCGAGTTCGCCTTCTCCTCGGCCTTGCTGCACTCAGGTTTTGTCTGGAATGGTCATATGAAGAGACATGAGATTCCGAGAGAAATAAACGAATTTTGAGCAGAAATGAGAGGGATCCGGGTGAACAAAGACTCCTAAATCTCCAAGATGCAACATGCCGATGGTCGACACCCTCCGAACTCGGAACCCTCTAAGTAATTTAAACAATGGACCGTGATCCATGATCCGATACAAGTGCACTCCGGTGGTCCCGTGCTGATAACGTGTGGGGTCTCGGAATAATTCAAAGAGTAAAGACTTTACTCCATGACTAAAGACCTACAGCACGACGGGGACGATTCGACCGCTTGCTAAAATGTTTTCTTCAACACTCCCGCGACCTTTTTGCCAAAACACACGTTACCATACTGGACGATTTTATTTCTAACAGACAATGGCCACGCTCTTCTTCTCTGAGTCGGTTCAGTTGCATCCTGAAGTCGTTAGGAATGTTTCTTTGGGTTAGTCAAAGCTTTGATCGAGCCCGGCAGTCTTGAGGAAGGAGCTCGAGCTCGATCAGTGTAGTAAGAGGCTCCAGGACAGCTATCCACCATCAGATCAAGCCACAGTCAAGCCACAATATGATTAGCGCATAGCAAAAGGATTTGTGGAAATGAGCTGAGATCGCCGGAAAGGCGCGCCTTATCACCTTTTCCACCTTCGCAGCTGGTGTCGGACTCTCCTTGGGCGAAGCGCACACTGACGTCTTTATGTTTGTCACAGTTCTGCCGTCAACATCGGTGACGACGTTCACGTCAACGATTGATTTGTAGTCTGAGCTGGACCCGGTACTTTCGCGTACCGTCGTGCCATCGATTTTCTCAGAGATTGTTGTAGTGGTCCGAGTCGTCGTCGTACACTTCTCTTTCGGCAAGACGTTGTTCAGTGAACGCAAGTAGGCGTTACCGGTGTACCTGTATCGTGTTTTGAAGAATGATCGATGAGGAATCTCATCGGACCGATCTGTTTGCAGAGGTGGAAGCTGCCATACGCAATAGTCCATCTGATAGATTGCGAGTCTTCTCTGCCTTTTTCTTTTACCTGGGAAGCTGGGTCCTGGAGTTTCTCAAATTGTTCGCGTTCTCCATAGAATTGGTGACCGTCGTTGTGTGACTTATGGTCCCGTTCTTAGGCGATGCCGTTATCAACTGGTTGACCTGGGCCTTACCGTCAGCGGCGGTCAGACCCTTTATTTCCTTCTCTGTAGAAATCATGGCCTTTCGGGGTAGCTGCGAAATCGAAGTTGGCCGTAAGTCAGTTATGTCACCCGATAACACCATTCGATGCAATATGTCGAGGAATCAATCACGAAGAATCAATTGACGCAATGCCCGAATAAAGTATTCCATCGCCGTGGAAAAAATATATATATATATTCACGCGGGCTTCTGTGGAGCTAAATAGTCACCTGTGGCGAATCTTCGTCTGTGCTGTGGAAGAGCACACTGCTGTGTTGTCTGAATCGTTCGGTTTGACGGTAGAGGTCGGTGTTCGGAGGCGGTGCGGGGGGGAATAGTGGGGGTCTGTTCAGCCTACAATAGCAAAGCATTGCTGAGATGTGTGCTTATACGGAGTATATGGGATGTAATGGAGAGGGTTCCCGATGCGATCATGCGAGAAACCGGCCATCTTTTCGCTCGAGGGTAGCATTATTAGGATATTTACCTGTACAAGCCACTCGTTGGGTACGGAGGCAGTGTTGGAATCTTGCAACCATTAGGCGGCGCAGGAAGATATCGTGGATGAGTTTTGCGTAGCTGCAACGGACTCACGTCACTCATAGCCGGAAGCTTTCGGACCTGGTTTTTCCGCCGAGGCGGAGACGAACTGCGATGGCGACAACAAATCTCCTCCGAGCACTGTCTGCGGTTCCGGTTGGACCTGCATCGGAAGAGGACGTGTCATTCGGAGCTCAGATCAAGCGTTGATTGCAAGACTATTGGGGGGAGCAAGATATATCGAAGAACAGAGTTCGATCGCGAAAAGTCAAATCTGTCAGTAATACGAGCTATAGGATGAAAAACCTGGAGTTCGATCTGGAAGAGGATCTTCGTCTAGAATGCATTTCTGTTCCGCTGTCCTCCAGTGTGCCGTCACTGCAACACGAACTCTGTTTCGCCGTACAATGCCGGGCCAAACTCAGAGATCGCGAGGGAATCTGGAAAATAATAATTCTTGAGTGTGCATTGAAAAACGAGAGATGCTGCAATTCTATCTCGGGCAAGCTGTAGGAGGAATCCGCGTCAAGCTACTCCAGATAGACACGCGTCGCGTCCAATCACTCGACAAGGAGTGGGAAGACATGAGCAGGTGCTCGTGCGATCCCCTCTAGTCAACAATCAATACTACGGCGGAGCTCACGAAAAACCGGGGAGGCGATTCTCGTGGAACAATACAGCGCGGAGTCAGGTGCCCAAAAATGGATGCGAGCTTCACAAAAACTGTCCTAAGCGGAAAATATCTTCGGAGCCGAGCATCTTGGCTACCGCGCCGTCAGAGCGGAGCCTTCGCTCCAAAGGAATGAAGCAATCGAATCAGCGCCGAAGATCTCATTGCGACGCTTCCAGGGAAAGCCATACGTTGGATGTTTTGAATATCTCACCCGTCGGTCGACGGTTAGCTGAAGAGCTCAGCTGTTCGAGGGGGTTAGACAAGAATATTGCTTCCTTATCATGATTTCCCGAAGCGACCGAATTTCGCTGTTTCTAAGCTGCAGAGGCTTCTTGAATTAGTGGAGCCCCGCGTACGATACCGCTCTTCATTAAACGGGAATCCGCAGATCCCAAATGATTCGAAGGACCAAAGATTCGAAAAGATCATACTTGAGCGTTTCAGCTCAAGGACGACCGATTGGAGGTTTTGAGGAGTCAAGTTTTCCTCCCGTTGGACCGTTGTGCCAACTCAACAGTTTCCTCCCCTCCCTGCATTGTGACAGCATAACAGCATCCTATCTGACGGCTTGTTCGCTTAGTAGAAACTGATAAGCGTCTAGGGATTCTCCTCTTTCTTGGAGCAAATTCGGGCCAAGCCAACGAATGTCGGTTCGTCAATTCACTCAAGGTCTGTGATGAAACATCGATAGTTTTTCGTTCTCTTGTCGTCTGACGACCCAGACAGACTGCTAATATCGTCCCAAGAGAGGCCTGAACTAGAATGTTCACTAATGTAATAGTGGATATAATAGAGGCTCTGATCGCGAAGTCAGCTCCAGTTGAAGAGATCTCTGTCGTCGAGAATCGGTCCCGAAGCGATCGGCTGCTGAATTGCACTGAATAAACGTCACACCAACCTCTGCCTTCGTCTCCTGAACTTGAGTCTGTTCTGGTTCGAGATTAGTCTGCGTACTCCGCGAGTGGAAGTTCACGTAATCTGGATCCCTCCAATCTACGGGCGGGAATTGAGCCGCGAAGCTCAGTCTCTGTTTCGGCATCGATGTTGGAGGTGAACCGGAACTTGACGAAGAAGTCGTCGATGTGTGATGAGTCGTGGCCGTCGTCGAGACAACTACGATCTCCGGAGAGCTCTTCTCTTTTTTGCGGAAGAACCTGGAGAACATAGAAGACCGCTTCGGGCTGTCACCTGCGATGGGGCAATGAGGTTAAACCCGATGGAAATCCCGTGAGCGCTCGGATGCGAAGAGGAAAACTGTATTTTCTTTCCAATGGCCACAAATGTGTTAAGATCTACAGATTGGCATACCGATCAAGCGGCTTGACTTGTTTTCTTTCTCTTTTTTTGTTCGCGTTCTAAATGATCGGCTCTGTGCGCTGAGAGTTATCGGACGCCAATGTGATCGACCAAACGAAAGCTCACATGTGGAAGAATTTGAGCTTCCACAATACATATGGCGACACCCACGTGTGGCGGAGGGGCCTGGCTGGAACGCCGGAAGAAACCCGGCCTAGAAACGACGAACCCTATTCACGCCGTCGGCCAAAGAGCCCAATCAGTCACCATGAATCAAAGGATGGTCTTTTCAAAACACTTTCTTGAATACTTTCCTCGTGTCCCTTCTTTTGGAAAGGGCCAGGAAAACTCTACCGCGACGAGGTCTATGTCGAGAGCTCGGAATATATATATTAGAGATGATGGAGAAATCTCCTCCTGAGACTGAATTCTGAGATAGGACATCTCGACCAAGATCATACTCGAAGCTCCGTGTCTCTAGCGATCGACAATCTCTCTGTCAGTCCAATTCGCACATTCGATGAATCCAGTTGATCGAACTCGGAATCGAAATTCAACGACAAGCCTTTATAGCGTTGCCTGTGAAATTCCTCCAGCCAAGGCTCCGTGCAGAGTCCACTTACGCTTAGCTAGCTGAGGAGTCTGTGTTTGCTGTAGGTGCCGGTGCTCGGGATGATCGTTCAGGGAACTCTTGCTCCGGTTGTAAAGTCTCACCGAGGCGCTCCGACAGAGTCCTTTCTCGCGATCTCTCTCGCGCAGCAACCTCATCGATGCGGATCGTTCCAGCGTGCTCTGACGAGATTCTCCACTCGAAGAATTCAGAACCTGTTCAGACACAAAAATTAGATACGTCTCTTCTCCCGAGCAGCTGGCCGTGATCAAATCTGCAGGTATCACAATGACGACCACGACGTTCGTTTGAAGATGCCGCCAGGCCAAGGGTCCACAAACGAAACACTGAGACGAGTCCAGCGAACCAGAGAAATTTAAAATGCGCAATGCAGCTGCCCAGCTTTTCACAGCCTGTGCTCAGCAGCCGATGCAGCAAGTGACTTGTGCCGTACGTTTTGCAGATCAGATCATATGAACACGAAGGTGATACCCAGTTTAACCCCGAAACGGAATAATCGACATGGATGAAGAGGGAAAACAATCAGAACGAAGAAACATCACGTGGGACGACGATTGGACCCCTCGGAGAACGACATGCACTCGGATACGAAAAAAAAGAAGAGGAGATAGAAGAACCCTCCGCACAACTGCCACCACTATAAATTACGACACACAAAGGTTCTTACACGCTGGCTAGTCCACTGCTGGAAACAGAGCTAAATTAATTTCTCCACCGAGCTCGAGCACGCTCGCAATAAAAGGATGAAAAGAAACAAAAGCGAATGAAAAACTATCTAATCTATCGTCAGAGAAATCGTCCCTCGCAGTGAGACCGACCGGCGGTCTGACTGTGAGGTGTGTCCGGCAAGCAGCTCTACGAATAGCTTATCTGTATTGGAAAGAAATTAAAACTATTCTCGACAAATGAGCGAGTCGGATGATATAAGTTTTTTTCTTCTTCAATTTTCTTGAGCCGCACCTTGGCTGCGTCGACTCCGTTCGTGAGAAGACTCGCTCTTTTCAAAGTGGGAGTGCTTTTCATGAACTGTTCGGGTTCCGCAACCCTGTAGCCGTTCCCGGTGTGGTAGAGACGTCGCTCTCGGATCAGTGTGCCCAAAGTTCTGCGGATAAAACGAATGATTGATCAAATTAGCAAGGAATCGAAGTACGCATCGGATGAAAATTCATAGTTCGAATACCGATACCTATACCGATTGAGTAATCAAATGTACGGAAATGAATACTGAGCGGCTCCGTTCCTCGGGTCGTTCCCATCAAAGAGAATTATAACTCCGTCTGTTTGTATGCGGACGTCGTAACGGAAGGAAAACTTGCTTGCTCGATCACACTCACACCGCTTGTTCCTACGACATTTGATTTAATAACATTCAGGTGCGATTACATACATAATTATCGGAATTGTTCGATTGACTCCAGCTGCCCATTCATTGATTCAGTCACTTAGCGCGCCGCGGGATCCGGCACCGGACATCCGAAACCGTTCAACCAGAAAAGTCAATGGACAGCGAGTCCGAAATCGAACCGTTTGATGATTGGTTTCGCTTGCTTCTTGCCGCTGGTGAGATGAAGGCGAATGCGTTGTCGTCTCAACACCGCGAGCCGGCACGGGAAACGACGCACCATCTCCGAGACGAACTCCTGTTTAATCGTTCGCTTGAACTATTCACGGATCGATCGATCCAATCGGTTCGTGGTGGAATAATTGATTATTGTTGAATTCTCTACCGAGTCGCATCCCGGCCGGGGATGCGACCCGGGATCGTAACGAAAAGCGACAAGCGCAGACACGGGAGCTGGAGCAGCTTCCATTGACACTGTCGCGCAGGTCTTCCGGAATAAACTTGAGTGGATGTCTTTGATCGAAGCAGATGCGACTTTAAACAATCAATGAACCGATGACGTCACGGGATGAGACCGGTTCACGTCGATCCCTTCACTTCCATCTTCAACTTGGTCATCCCATCCCATGACAATTATGAAGTCTATCATTGAAGTGATTTCTTTCCGTATCGTCAATGCTGTAACCAGATAGCATGAACAAAGAGTACGAGCCTCCGCCCGAGGGATTTCGGAAGTTCCGCTAGGAGTTCGGCTTGGTCGATTCTGACGGGGACTGAATTTCATCGAAATTCTCGACAATAAATTTGAATGGTAGAAAAACCCCAGGTTTCAAGCCGCACTGAGGCGACCGATGCCCGGACCGACGGAACTTCTGGTGAATCGAGCACGACATAAGAGCCTAACAGCTGCGCATGACCTCCGCTGAGGTCATCCGCGAAAGGTGCGCTATGATCGGCGATGATTCCATTGCCACTACAGCGGCGACAGCAATGGCGGCCGCAATGATGGCTATCCGATGAGGTTCGGACAATAGAGCCTCATTAATATCCCATAGATATTAATTTCATTTCAGACGAATCGAGTTTTTCGCTCAATGGTAGTTTACTACGGGGAATCGGGGTGCAGCCAATCGCTACAAGCTTGGATGGTGTCAATTAAAGCAGTCGACGCAATTATCTCGTCTGTTCCGTGGACCCGGTGGAGTGTTTCCGACAGTTTGTGAAAAGCCGAGGTATTGAAATAAGTACACTGACTTAATAAATTCTGTTCACCCGTTCTGGTACACGGGGAACGTTCACGCTGGAGAAAAACAGGATCTGACACCCTGGATCCGGAGCGGCTCAGTTCACTGGGACTCTTCTTGGAATATCGAGAAACTCCGGCACTTTCACCGAACGGTATTCGGCGATGGTAAGTTCGCTCTTCTCACTCACTTGTAAACTATGTCACTAGGTGGTTTCTCCATGCCTGGGTAAGTCCTCATGAGCTCCACTGTGAGTGAGTCCAAGGTGGCAACATCTCCTCGGTTTGTGAGGTCGAAGACCGCCTTGCATAATGCTTCAGCCAATGGCGCGAACTGGGTTTGCAGGACGCGAACCATTTCAGCTTCGGTTATGTCTCCTGGAAAAAAAAAGCTCGAGTTAATTCGTCGCTCGACAAGCTTTCGATCACCACACAAAAAGCTCCGCTTCTAGTAGGCTAATTATTGCCGGTCGGTCGATCGTCAGCGAGCCTAGTTCCCTTCCATACGATGATGGACAGCATCGTTCCTGTTTGAGGGGCACACTCGTAAATTAGGCTTTCAAAGCTGATGTTCGTGAGAACTCCTGTAAGTCACCCAACGACGATTGTCAGCTTACTTCGATCTGCAATTCATGAGGGTTGCGTTGACCGCGGCCGGCCCTCCTCCGGTTTCGAAAATGGTGCCTCGCTCATCGAAGATGAGACCGACGGAGCCGGCAGCTGAGTGGCTAAGGCGTCATTTTCTCTCAGTCCGACCGCTGGTCGGTCGCTTCTCCGAATGTTTCCTCGGCAAAACAAGATTCCGATGCGATAACGAATGATATATTGCCTCGCGAGAATCAAAATGCCAAGAGCCTTGCCAATGTGTGAAGTCTCGGGGCTTCCGCCCGGGAGTCATTGAGCGGCTGAGCGCGACAGCTCCCACGGGAGGAACCCATTCCCGACACAAAAGATTCCGCTGATGAAGACAAAGACCGTGATTGAATTTTCTTTTGTGGCGCAGCGCGTGTACCGGCGTCGGAGAGAAAAATTAGGATCAATGGCGCCAACGGTATTTTTCAAAAAGCGTCAGCAATCCATACGGTTCGGTGGACGGAAGGCGTCCGGGCGATTCCAGCATGGGATCGACGGGGAACAGTCCGGTCAGGTTCCGAAGCCAGAGGGATCCGGTGGGGATCATACGCTTGTGCAAGCATCGATATCATTCGGTATCAGTCTCGTGAGAACATCGCGAGGGGAAGACGACCCGTCGTCGTATCATCGGAGCATCTACTTTGAGGTCATGTTCTTCTATCCAAATACGTCTGAGCACGGTCGGATGTAGGAGGGATACCACCGTCCCAGGGTGACAATTCGCCACATCTGCCTGAAGAGTGGTAGGAGTTCCGAAGTAGCACATGAGAAACTCGGGAGAGTGTGCTTGGCTCAGCGACGCTCTAGACTTCGGGATACGCCGTCGGCAACGAGCTTTCAAGCAGTATTCAGAGCTATTATTGACTCAGACAGCAGTTTCTAGTGATGAATTGTCTATCTATGTACGTCTCTTTTCCCTCACAGCCCAGGAAATCCTGAGACCCTACTTCCGACCATGCCACGCGGGTGCAGAGCTTCCCATTCGTGGTTTCTGCCATGTCGCTTTGAAAAGATTTGAAACAAATGGGTATTCGTTTTCAAAGTGAGTTCCGCCCAATCGCGTAGACTCAGAAGAACGAATGAATGCACACCAGTTTGTTAAAGGTTGACCATCGATTTGTTTAATTTATTTTCCTGAAGAATGGGCGACCCTGGATATTTCATCAAGGATCGTGTTTCTTTTTTCGTCGTTGCTGCCGCCATTCGAGGAGAAAGCCACTTTCTTTCATGGCTTTCGAGCTCCGAAGCTTTTTTATCTATTTCTTCGACTTTCTGTCTTCGGAAGCCATCAGTAGCTCTTGAAGACAACACTGAAAATTAGTGGGTCGTGGAATTCCGCAGGATTCGACGCCTGCCGGATCCCGTTCCAGGACCGCGGCTTCGCAGGGGGGCCTAACAAATGGTGTATCTATCAGTCCATTGGAAGATAAGTCGCAGCGATACTTTTCCTCGCATGGAGAAGAAAACGAGATCGCTTAGATTTCAGCGGGGAAGTATTTTTGCTAGAACAGCGATCGTCCTTTCTATATAGAAAACTTGGTTTGAATCGCTGCCTTTCAAGCTTTCCCGCTAGGTCTCATTCGAACTCGTCATTCCATCTCGTCTTTTTCTTTCTAGATTCTGTTGTCACAAGTCCGGAAGTCCTGCTGAACGGTCCTTTGATCGGAGCAGTTCCGAAAGAGAAAATGCCCCGGCGCGGCATGGAACAGTGCAAAATCGTCCACGGACCGTCAGATGTGCTCGCCAGTCAAGCGGTTTCTTGTTCCCCGGAGACACGTCGCTTCGGCGAGCCTCAAAAATCAGTGTTGCTTACGACGCCGCCGTTGATTGATGGATGAGCGCCTGTACGGATGCAGTCAATAGATGGATGTGCGATCGATTCATTGATCGATCTTTCATTCGATGCCCCGACGAGTAGATCCAGGGGCTAGATGCGGAATGGATCATGGTCTTCTAGCTCAATCAAAAATGATCGTATCAGCTGATGATGCGTCTGTCCGCGGGCGTTTCGAGATGATCGGGTCCGATGGCCTTATCAAGATAAAAAAAAGAAGAAAGACAAAAATCGAGACGCGCCATCTGTTCCAGCGCTTCTGGCAGGCTATGACCGGAGATCGGGGTTCTGAGCGTTGGAGGGAATTTTTGGGAAACTTCAAAAATCAGACCAGTTCAATCAGATCCTACGCATCCTTCACCGATGGCTCGAATACACGGGAAGACTTCGGTTCTACGAGCGTGCAATCCGGAGAGCCGGATCGCTTGCTGCGCTCTCGCAACCGAAAATGTCTCAATTGTTGACAGAATGTTATCGCGTCCCGTGATTATTGCCGACATATGAGTACTACGGTTGAACTAGACGATGCTTACGCGGGGGTCATCCCCTACTCGCTGCTCGGAGGAAGATCTGCAATGCAGGTGGCATTTGTCGAAGACGTCGCCGTCTTCACCGCACTCGTATTGCGCAACGTTTAAACACGATTTTGTCACCAGCGCGAGCGACCGCAAAGACAGAGACATCCGAATGAGTTCCTATAGGGGTATGTGTTTGTCCGAGCAAGTATAATTCTATCGACCTGTCTGTTCGTCTGTTTGTTTTCTCCGCCGGCATCGGCGGCATCAAACGCGAGCGAACCAGTGACTGCCTGTCGACGCAAGGCTCAATTTCAAGCGACAAGGCGAGTGTCCGACCGGATTGACGAACGACATTCGTTGCAATGAATAGTCGGATAAAGAGAAACTGGTATAAGCGGATGTTTGTTCCGGTCGGGTCAGAGGTAAAATATCTTCAGGAGCGACCTCAACGAGCCACTCAGGGCTGCGTTGTCGGCAATCGTAGGATCTATTGTTCTCGGTTACGAACACACGGTGATTCGACGACTGGCCGTTTATTCATTCCTCAATTCGTCGTTCGGGCGAAGCTTATCGCTAATTTATCAGAATGCAACCAATCCTGCCTGCCTCGCTAAGCGTACTGAGAGCAATCGGAACAAGTGAAGTCCGATCTGCAGCCGCTGTGAGTACTGTACGAGGAAAATTACCATGCTCGAGCAGGAAGGGCTCACTTCCCCCAACGCTGCGGAATTTCCTTCCCTGGACGATTTTCTCTTCTTTTTTTGTTGTTTCTCACTAGCCACAGACGTCTCGTCTCGCATTCGGGGGAACAATGGCGAATTATAGCATTGCATACAAAGCGCACTCTCATCTTTCCGTTTGCCACCGATTAGTTCTTTTTTTAGGGGCGTTGGACTTTTGTGAGCCAATAGAGAATTCAATTAGATTTGTGAGTTCGTGTTCGTTGCGTGTGGTCGACTCCGGGCTTTGCGTGCCGACTTCGTCTCGCTGGGAGCACCGAGAGAAGTCGCTTCAATTACGATCCTTCCATTTTTTCATTGTGCGACACTCCTAACCTTTTTTTGAGCGCTTCATGTCTAGAAGATGATACCTTCTCTTCTTCCACATTGTCGCTCTCACTGCGTTATGAGCGTTCGCGCTCGGTCAGTTGACGATGCCTTCGTAGGAGACGCAAACTGGCTGTTACCGTCACCGTCTCGATCCTTCACCGCATAGACATGAGGGGAGATCCGAGCCCCAACGACTGCGGATTTATTCCAACCAGGTAACAGGAAGCGGGAAGAAATTCAAATAAATTGTTCGAAGCTTCAGCTGCGATTCGTACTTCGTCACCTAACCGGTCGGATGAGCTCTATGAAAATATCTCGCGTCGACTCAATCGATGCCTCGACTTGTTGTGATGCGTATCGTTCCATGGCGCTCATAATTGATCCAAAGGAAAATCAGCTCGGCCCCTGCACCATTCTTGCAGAGCCCCCGCAGGAAGAAGCTGAAGACCGGTTCGGGATCTTAACCGCCCGCTTGAGACAACTCTATCGCCGCGCCGAAGCCGGATCAGAAAATCAGCTTCTAACCCTCTGGGCTAGGCTCTGGGCAACTCGCCTACCATGCCGCGGATATTTTTTCCGAGGAACTCGCCGCGTATCGAATGCTCCTCTTTTATTAGTCGACGCGTCCATAGTCGTTGACCGATTCGTTCTTGCCCGTTGTCACAGTAATGGTTTTACGATAAGAATTAGCTGTGCGTTGAAAGCAGCGCAATATATATCAAGATTCAATAACTGTCTCGATTGATTGCGAATATCACAAATCATGTTTATGCGTAACGAGGAACTTCCGCTCAACCAATCGACGCGGACCGAATCGGAGCGATTCCATCGACTGTCCTGCATATTCTAGATTTCCTCGCCTACAACTTCCAGTCGCTGTCGGCATTTTCAACGGCGCAGCCCCTACCGAGACCGGAATCAGGTGAGATTCACGAGACGCCGGATCACCACCAAAGAAGCGATAGCTGGTCGTGCATCTGTCGACGTAGGAAAGATATGTAGTTTCGAGCAGTGAAATGATCAGACATCGACTGAGTTTTCGGTACGGTGTCCGCTCGGATTAGCGAGACCCCCGCGGCGGGGATCCCTTCCCGAATAGACGCTTTAAAGAGCTACCTTTCGATGAGCATTAACTGGGGAGCGCGAAGAATTATTCTTCTGCTTGAGTCTACAGATCTGAATTCTTCGCCTTGAGGAACGAAGCTCACATAGAGAACCGATTTGAGAATTCTCTTCCGTCAGTTATTTTTTCTAGTCTTCCCTGACCGGAGGAAATATTTGTCGCACGTTTACATCAAACAGAGGCGTGCTTCTTCAGCTATTGGGCGTGCCCGCGTCGCAGTC